AATTCCGGAGCTATGGAAGTATTGCTGGACCGATTCCCGCACTTGAATGCATCCTTTTTGTTAGCAAAGCAGGACGACTCGGACTTCACGGCCATGATGCAGAACAAGACATCAGCTGCACAAGATCCAAACTCTGGTGACTCGTTGAACGCAACCGATACTAAGGCTCAGCTTTCAATGGTCATTGGGGTTGGTTACTGAGATCCCTCTTGAGAGAACAGGGGAAAATGAAGGAAAAGCAAAGGGAGAGGCATGGGGCCCATTTCTTTCAGAGTCAGTGACCATTGAATGCTGAGCTTTAACAATAAGAGCTCCACTTTGCCAGCAACTCTCTCTATCTTAGACACACTCCTCCTAGTGTACGACGCAGTCCGGTGTCCCGGATGTGCTGGCCAAATAGAGCACCTAGACTGGCAGCAGGCAGTTTTAGAAGGACACCTGAACAATGGGTCGTCCTCTTCTTCCAGCATGGCTCACGTCTACGGCACTGAGCTGTCTTTAACAGCTCCAGCAGGCTATGAATTCGAGACGAGCTGTGGAATAGAACTCGATTTGGGTACGGGGATATTTGGATCCGAAGCGGGGAACGATTACTGGAAGTGTCACCCGCTGACTTTTGATGCTACGCCTTGGGGATCGGAGCTGGGATTGGGGGATGGGACTGGACGTGGAGGTGGCCAATTCCAGCTCAATGTTACTAAAAATACGAGGACTACTAGCAATGGCATTTCCTCGCTTGCTAGCGGCAATGTTGTGACTTCGAATGCGAGCAACAGTAGCGCAACCACTATCTTCACGACGCAAAACGCAACGGGAAATCTGTCGATGCTAAATGGGACAAATTATACTTCTGCCATTGGTCAGAATGCAGCTTCAAGTGCTACGTCGTCCTCATATTCTAGTACGTCAGCGTCAGGATCTTCTACATCAACCACGGGAGCCGCTGCATCTGCTCAATCCACAGCATCACAATGCCCTGTCTCTCAACAGCTCACATCCACTCGGCAGACTTCTGACTACGTAGCGCCTACGGCATCACCCCAATTCACCTGTCGAGGAAGGGGCAATCAGATCCGCGTCCAGACGAACAATGTGAGGCTGTTGCCAGGTTCGAAATATGTGATGAGGTTTCGCGTGAAAGCTAATCCGGTCAAGGTTCGAGGTGGTGGATCCTCGAATGCAGCAAATTCCTGGCACCTAAGTTTCGCTAATCAAGAAGCTTTCGTACCCGGAGTCGAGTTGGACACGCTGGATCCGATGACAGTTCACCCAGTCTGGACAGCGATAAGACCCCCAGATTTGACGAAATCGCGAACTACTGAGGTGCTGTTTGATGATGTAGGTCTCGCTGGAGGTGCCTCAGGCTCGGGTGGAAAATCGTCCCTAAGAGGACCGCGAGTTGGCGCTACAACCACAGGCGTAGACACGAAGAGTGTCGCAACAGGTGTGGTTGCTACTCGTGTTCGCGCGAAAGATATGGAGACAACGAAAATCGTTGTGAACCCTGTCTGTGGGACAACGCGTCAAGACACTTCTACAACGACTTCAAATCTGGTGTCCGCTTATCATCCCGTTCGGTTTGCTTTCGTCTTGAAAACCGCTTTGCCTAGTGCATTGGAGTCCCCCACAGGGTATGGAAAGATTCATGTGAAAGCGCCGAATGGGTTTGTGTTTGAGCACAATGACATGGCGGACTATCGCTGTAGATTTCAGCTGGTGGATTTGGAGGAATGCCTGCTGTGCGGCATTCCGATGCCAGTGGAAGAGTTTACAAGTGGTGATGGTGCGTCGACTTCTTCGGATTCATTATCATCATCATCATCTTCGACAAACCTCCAGCATCGCTGTCGCGTTGGCATTACCTCCCCTCAAGAAGCAACTATTTTTCTTGCCGGGGAACGAGGATTGACGACCCAAAGACGTTATAGTCTGACGCTTTTCGTAGCGAATCCGAGGGTGTTGATGGTGCGAGCAGTTGCATGGTCGATCCAAACTTACCTTAGAGATGCAGAGCAGTCAAGACTGCAATCCACCGAAGTGTTCGCTCCATTTGACGAGGCTCATTATGCTGGCTTCGCAGTGCCGGACCCAGCGCCATTGCTCCTAGTCGAGCAACCCTGCAACTCCGATGGGGCATTGTTGCAACCGGCAAGTGGGCACAACATGTTGTGGCAATTCAATGATAACGTAAGGTTGTTCGATGCAGTGACAGTCTCCGCACCGAAGGGCTACGTTTTGGAAGATTCAGCTTTGCCTGGGCAGTGCATAGGATTTAGATTCGACCCGATCGCTATGCGCGTACCAGACACAGCTGATGTAATGAGTTCAGAAGGCATGAATTTGCAGCAACTGCACTGGTTGAGGCGGATCTATACTGCTTATCTGGAGCATGCGGAGTTGGACAGGAGAAGAAATAGGACAGCTGTTGGCGCCGTGTTGGGTGGACAGGACTACTGGGCAATGATTGCGGATTTGATGCTGGAGTATACAAAAGCGGCACAAGAAGGACCACAAGGGCAAGAGGACCAAGACGCAAGAAGCGGGATCATACCAGTATTAAGGGTAGGTTAAAGGTGCTTTTGTTGCCGTTTGTTATGGCTCTCCTAAGGGGGACGGCCAGAACAAACGGGATAAACGAACACCAAAAACCTACCTCTAACAGTAAATGTCCTGAGTGCGGTTGTCCGCCTGTTGTTGGGAAATCTAGCGGGTTGGGGTCTGAGGTTACCAGCGGTTGCAGCTGGAATGTCGTCACAACAGCTAGCGACAGGGTCCTTCCATTTCGTATCTTCAACCTATTTTGGTGGTGAAGTTTCTTCGCTGCCCACACCGACGACAACGACCTCTCCGCCTCCACGCGCAGCGTCTGTGCCTGTTGTGCCCCTACTGGACGAGGTAGAGAGATCTTTGAATGAAGCTAGAGATTCTGCGTCACAGAGCGGAGGAGCAGAGGCAGCATTACTCACTACAGCTACCGCGGTTTCGTCTCTCTCTAGTACTGCTACTTCGCAAACAAGCACAACGAGCAAACCTCCTCCTCCTGAAGAGACCGTAGACTTTGAAGGACTGGGCTACAAAATTCAGACTTCGACTCAGCAAGTTTGCTTTATCGCGGAAGAACAGACTTTTGTCCAGATTCCAGATTTGCAAAAAGTCGAATTATTGAGGGTCTGGGAGCCAGTTCCGTCTGGTTTGTATGTCATTGACGGAGAAAGGTCATTTGTTGAGAGCAGCGAGAATTTCACGATAGGTGGACCAACCCAAGGTCAAGATGAGATCGTCTCTCTTCATACCAGACGCAACCTACCTATCCCCGTTATGGACGACGACGCAACGGTCGAACGCACTAGGAAAGGAGACAGTGAGACGGACTTTCAATACGATCTTCGACGGGCACTTTGGAAACGCAGCGACCATTTGGCAGATCTATACGGTTTTCAGTACGTTGATAAGCTGCACTATCTGATGCAAAATGTGACGCAGAGTTTTGCTTTAAATGTCTCGACGCCGTTTCCGCATATGGCAGATTCTTGGAGAGGATTGACGGCTTTTGAAGGGCAGCAGTGTGCTTCTGCACATGGAGGAGCAGAGAGTGCTTCTGCACATGGAGGAGCAGAGAGTGCTTCTGCAAATGGAGGAGCAGATGGAGAGGCGCTGTACTATTCTAGTACTGCCGAGAAGAGTAATGAAGCGTATGGGAAACTAGTGGAATGGATGACGTTATTACCTGGCACAGGACAGAGTAGCGCCAAGACAGTTGCTCCTTCGACATCGACTGTTGGAGGCTCATCAGGAAGTAGTTTTGATACAACACCGGCATCTTCTGCTGGGTCGTTTGAGATCAAACGCTATCATCAAGACGCAACATCAAACAACGGTCTCGTTTTTCCAGAATACGCTTTCAAGCCTATGCCAGTGAAGTCTGATGTTTTTTGGTTGCATTCGCAGAATCTCTGGGCAAGAGATCGAAGTACTGAACCTACACCTGAGACAATCAGCATCATAGACAAAAATACCGAACCAGAAAGTCGTCTCTATTGTTCCCTTGTCAAGTTTCCGATCAAGTACAGAGGAGCAAGAGAGCAGAGTGCAGAAGTTTTAGAGGCGATAAGGAAGACGCAACTTCTGGCTGCGGAAATACAGTACATGCGAAGGGTCTTGTTAGTGGAGGAGTATTATCCGGAAGTGTTTTTTCACCGTAGGGCGAATGGCAGTACGACGAGCAGTGCTGGAACAACTCTATCGGGGTCTTCCCTTGACCTATCGGAGTCTTCTCGCGACCATGATGCGTCTTCCAGCTGCGCTCGCCGAATGGACACCCTTCGACAAGCAGTGCTGCTGAGATTAGCGGAGAATCGTGGAGCACAGCAATTCTCTGCGACGAGTCCTGGAAGCGGATCTCACGAGATGAATGGTGCGCAAGCACAAGAGAAATTCCTATCCTTCCTGCAAGAGGTGAGCGAGCTCTTTGACACAAAGAAGCTTCAACTCGCTGGAGATCTTTTCCGCGAACAAGATGCCCTCTTACAGGAAATGTACACAAACTACGGCGTCAATGCATCAGGAAGGACAGGAAACGGGTTTTCCTCTTCAACCTCGCAGATCTTGGCTAGCGATTTTGCTTCTGCAGCAATGTTGCATCGCGAACGGCAACAACAAATTCGTCAAACGGCACGAGTATGGGAATTACACCGCAATGCTAGGAACGCAACGCCAGCTCCAGTCGTTTCTAATGTTCTAGCCTTGGAAGAAATTTTGGATTTTCTTGAACTACAGCCTACTTGTGAGCAGATTCGAGAGCGGGAAGCAAGGTTACCGAACGTCGACGATGTGTGGGACAGTGTCAAGGATATTGACCCAAGGGCTGTGGCGTTTAAACCCTATTTGGCAGAGGAGAACAAGGACATACTGGAACAACTACCAAGTGGCACGAGCTCTTTCATAGATCCTACTTCCAACCTTGACGGGGACGACGAAGCGGGAAATGCGTACCTCCTGAACGAATACCTCGAACAGTTGTCAGAGGAAGGCAATTCTGGTTCTGTTGTTTGGATCCTGCAGAAGCACTGTCAGAATTTCACAGTGCCAGCTGGTAGTGAAAGAGCCTGTTCACCTGGCAGGATTCGCTTTGAATACGAAGGAAGTGAAAAGATAAATCGGACGAGTGAAACTTCGAGCAGTGGCAGTGCTGTGTCATCGGAGTCGGATGGAAGCGCAGACTCAGACAGCAGCTCTAGCTCCAGCGCCACGCCAACAACATCTTCTGGGTCGTGCCAAGCTCAAGCTCAACATCGTCTAGACTACGGCGGTGTCAACGTAACCGACGCCCTCTTCGACTCGACCCCCTGGCTTCCTGCGAAGAGTTTTGAGTCTGAGCTGGGGAGTTTTCCTTACAAGTCTGTTTCGCTCAGGAAACAATTGCTAGAATTTGAGATGAACAAAGCGGCAGCAGATGCAGCAGACCAAGCTGCGTCGAGTGGTGCTAGTGCACAAACAATTCAAATCCCTATTGAAGAAGTTCTCCTAGATCAAGGCTCACCTTCCTCGCTAGCTTCTTTCGAACAGCAAGTCATCCGGCAAAAGGAAGCGGAGGAGGCGGAAGAGCGTGCTAGGGAAGAGGCTCGCAGTTCAGTCATAGCAGCTTTGGCGAGACAAGGTGGTGACAGTACCGCACCAGAGGAGGCTGAAGCAGCAGCTTCGAATGAGATGCTACAAACGGCTATTTCTGGTGGGACCTCTAGGACTTCAACCTCCTCAGGAGAAGATATTCCAAGTGGACAGCAACAACATCTGTACGAGACTACATCGAATATTCCTTGGATTCAAAACAGTTTTTTTGGACCGGTTGTCGAGTATTTTTTCAAGAAGTCTGGTGCGCCTTCGTCAACGTCAACGACCCTGTCCAACACGAAGATGGACGAGCAGACACGAGACTTAGACGCATCATCCATCAATGCTCTGTTTAATTCGACACTGAACTGTAGCTGCGTTTGCAAGGAAGACTTCACGACTGTGTGCACGAATGAGACAGTGAGCTATGCTAGTTTGTTGGCAAATGCAGCTGCAGCGGGAGAGATACTAGAAGTGGCGATTCCAGGAGGTGGTGTGCAACAGGAGACGCAGACCATTTCTGCAGCTCTTGGGAGTGGTTCTAGCAACACGTCATCCTCAACGACTCAAGAAACCACTTCAACTGCTTATTCCTGTTACCACCTAAAGGGCAATCCAAACATTACCAACATCAGCAACAAAATTTCTTGCGAGATAGAAGATAACCTGGAGAAAAACTGCGGAGCTACCCGTTTAGTCTTCCACGCAGTGACTGGTGGTGGCGGCCGAGGACAATGGGCAGTGCCGTCTAGGAGTGTTTCTTTGTCTTTGGAGGGTCTGTTACGGCTAGCAGCGGAGAACTTCACAACTTCTACAACTTCCAGCAACACTCCGTTTAGAGTAGAAAACTTCAACGAAGCAACACGTTGCACAACCGCACTTCAGAATACTTACGCTGCCGCAGCGAATGAACTAGCAACACAGTATTCTCTACGATTTCGAAGACCCAAGAAGCTGTACACCGCAGATGCGATCTACTACTCTAAACCACTTCTAGGCGTTCCTCGTCATCGATGGCGATTCAACCTAACTTTTGTGCGCAACGTGACGATGACGCAGACAGAAAGAGCACAGCAGGAGCTGAGAAATTACAAGATTCGACAATTGCCAACGTGCAAAGAAAACGTCGTATCATGGCCGAATATAACAGCCATACACCCGAAGTTACTACTTGATACGACAACGGCAGGAGGACATGGAGGATCACAGAGCACTAGTAAAACAGAAACTGATATCTTCTGGTCGGCTTTTATCCAGTATAGGAATCCAGAAAAACAACCAGCGGTTTACGAAAATTATTGGACATCACGACACTTTCGACCTGCAACTGCTACAACGACTGCAGTCGTAGCCAGCACGTCAGGCAGCAGCTCCTCGTCTACCTCACAAAATGCAGAACTAACTCTCCCCCCGGCAATCTCCCCGTATGCACTTGCTGGCTTTGACAGATTTGCAGCATTGGGGGAGCGGACCGTGCAGTCATGGGGTGTAGCCAGCCAACTTTTTGACATCAGCGTGGACTGGATCAGTGGCACGTGGAGGAGTGCAACACTGGAAATCATCTTTCTTATGGTGACACGATGATGATAGTATGGTGTAAGTAGGTGCATCAGATAGTCTTGTGTATTTTGTCTTGTTGAGTTTGATAGAGCTGACAGCAGTTCGAAACAGGAGCGGAATGTGCGTTTTCCTACTTGCTTTACCATGATGTTGAGGTCGTAGTCGATTGTTACATAGAATGGAGGTCACCTGTTGTCACTACAACCATGCAAAAGGCGTTGGTCAGGATTTAAATTGAATCAAAAGTACATATAACTGAAAATTCTTGGATATTGCATTTCCAACTTCGAATTTGAGTCTTGAAATCCTATGAAGTCGAAGTCTTAGACTCAATTCGTCCAAATTCTAGCATATAGCATCGATATTGTGCAATAGTAGGACACACTACAGCCTTATCTGGACATATTGAGGACTTTGGGTCATTTCTGTGAGAATTTTCTGCTCTTCTAGGATTGTGCAACTTAGTTGCTGAACATCTGTCGATTTGATTTAAATTTGAATTAAAGTACATAAAACTGAAAATTCTTGGATATAAGAACAAATGAATTCGAAATTCGATTTCGAATTTGAAAAATTTCTAGAGTCTAGGAATCTACGTCTAAAGTTGGTCTACTAGTTTGTATGAATCTTAGTAGAATTAGTTTGGCTGAGCTACATGTATCCAAGTATTAACAACACCAACATGTTCATCATCGATATTCTCAGAGTTGGCATCATCCAGGATCTAAATACTTTAGAGATTGATCTAGATACTAGTGCCAAGCTAGTAGTAGAAGTACCTGCTCGACGCTCCAGTCTCTAATCCTAGTGCAAGATCGGCTGCCGATGAGCTTCGATTTCATGCCAAATTACCAGTGGGGTTTGACTTATCCGACGCTGTTGTCGAGTCCCTGGGCTGGAAAACAACTAGTGAACTTGTGGAGGAAGAAGCACAAGCACAACGAGGGAGGAGCAGCCGGATGAGAAGGAGAGAGCTGTCGTCGAGGGTTGATGAACATCTGCATTCTAGCCGTGGTAGTGGTCGCCTGGGAAATCAGCACGTTGTGGTCGCTGCAGATGGGTCGTCTGCTTTGAAGACGAGGGCGCATCAAATATACGAGGTGGACGAGCCAGTAGTGCTGTCTCAAGAACGTGGTACAGGAGGCCAGGGGCGTGATAAACCAAGTCGCGCGCAGAAGGCTTCATCATCTACATCTGCTACGCTAAAGAGTCAGTTAGCGTCATTGAAACAGGAGGAGAGGCTTCGACGAAGCGGCAAGGATCGACGACTGGGAGACAAGGCGATGAAGCATATTTCTTCAAAAAGAGGTGCGAAGTCGAAGTTTGTAGCTAGGTTTTTGCAGATGAAAGGTGCAGCGCTGAAAACAATGAGGACAGGACCATCAACACGCAGCCCTCGTTCTCTTGGATCAAAAAGCGGAAGAAAGAGGGGGATGAAAACCAATGGTGCTTCAATCACGAGCACAAGTCTTAATGCGGGAGGGCCTGCAAAGAATAGATCAACTTCAGCATCGAAAGGTGTTGGTGCACCAAAGACCAACAGGAATAGCCCCACGAAGCGAAGTAGAAGGAGCCTCGCCCCTACATCTTCAAGCGTCTGTGTCGATCCTCACATTGGTTACACCAAGCTCGACGCGATTGTTCCGACATTCCAGCATAAGGAGAAGATGAATTTCGCACTAAGTCCCTTTCTACCTGCCGGACAGAGCATCAGACTAAGGATCTACAATGTAGTTCTGCCGCAAGGAGGAGGTGAAACGTACTTCGATTTCGAAACCTATTACCGAGGAGAGCTTCAGGATAGCTCGATAGACTGCTGTCATCCTGCTGCATCTTCGAGTGCTGATGGTGCTAGTGGAGCTGCAGGTGGAGGCGCAGCTCCTGATGGAACAAGTACTGGGTCTACTATGAAACCAAAATCTGTTATCATTATCGTACTTTTCTACTTCAGAAACTTGATAATGATAACAGATTTTCTTTTCATATCTGCTGGGAATGCAGGTGGAGGAGCCTCCAATACCAATACCAATGTCCGCGCATCCAGTTTCCGTATTCCCCGTGCAATTCCAGTCGTGGACACGAGGCTAGCCCACGAGTGGCAGAGATTCACCCCAACGCGTTATCCAGTGGAAATATCTCTGCCGCCTCGTTATGGCGACACCGTATTCGCCAACGTTAGGTTCTACGCACCGACCGACCTGTTCACTATGAAGCGAAAATCTGTTATCATTAAATCACAAGTTTCTTAAGTAAGTAGAAAAGTACGATAATGAAGATAACAGATTTTGGTTTCATATTCACCGAAGCAGCGATATTGGCAGCACAGGCAGCGGCGGGTGCAGCGGCAAATTTTAATTCAGGAGGGACGTTGCAAAGTTTGTTATGTTCACGGGCCATGGCTTGTTTCAACTTCTAGAATCATAAGATAGAAATCTAAATGTCTAGTACTCATGATGAAGCAAGTTCATTCTTGTTACTTCATCTAATTCTCGTCCCGCCCTCAACCATCTCAGCAGTGTCCAGGACAACCGGCAGTGTCCTACAGTTGGTTCCAGCAGCTGGGTACGAGATATTTGAGACCAACGGCTTCTGGGAACTCAGAAACGCTGCCGAATGCCTAGTCCCTAGCGAGAAAAAGGAGAAAATAGTAGCACGAACTCAGCAGGGGTTGTGCTACTATCCGATGCTGTTTGTGTTTTTGGCGGAGGTGAGGAAAGTTATGTTGGATGGGAGATGTCAACTCTTGAAGTAGTCTGGGGGCTGATATGCTAATCAGTGACAGACTCCATGAAGAAACTACTCTTGAAGTAGGGGGAAGTAGCTTGCGCTCAGGGATGTTCGGAAAAAATAGTTTGGCTTCTAATCCAGCGACCACAACGACCTTAATCGACAATCAGGAGAAGACCTTCAAGCAGCAAAGCATCGTCTTGCTTCTGGGAGACGACAACCAAATTTATGGGTGCTTACTAGGTTAAAGGTGCTTTTGTTACCGTTTGTTAAAATGGCTCTCTCCCTTAGGTGGGGACAGCCATAACAAGCGGGAGAAACGAACACCAAAAACCTACCTCTAACAAATGGCTCAGGAGCTCTACAACTTGTATCTGTCCGTTTTGCCTACGGATGCGTTCAATCTACCGCAGAATTTAGTTCCGCCGACTCACGCTTCGCAGACGTACTTCAGAGAAGCTGGAATTTTCCCGTTCTTGAATATCACGTCTATGCAGCCCTCTACAGTGACGCCAGCCATCGTTACCGGCACTTTGACTTCAGTCAAAGAAGCACAAGACACTGTCGTATTGTGGGTTCCACAGTTGCAGAAACTAGCTGCAGGCAACCAAATCCACAAGGGTGGCATCTACACGATCGAATTGAAAGTGCGGGCACCTGCTGGAGCGCCTGGAGATAACGTGGTGGCTGCGAGTGCGAGCAGTGGGAATATCGATGCTACTGGTGGAGCAACAGCCTCCTCTAGTGCTTCTGGCGAATCTGATGATAGTGCTACAACTACTACGGGGCAAGGACCTACTGACTCGTGTCCAGCGTATGTGCCGACAATAGACGGTATTTTTGATCCGACGGGTGGAAGCTCATCTGCCCAACAGGCTAGTACAACATCAGCAGCAGTGCCTACCTTGCAGTCCCACTGGGAGCTTCTTTTCACCGATCGCGCATCTATAGCTGCTGGCGCAAATCCCTTTGACAGAGGTGAGTTTGAAGATTTCGAGCTGTTGCATCCTTTGCCGTTTCGTGTTAGGAAGTCACCGGTTGTGCCGCATGAGCCGGAGACTGCGATCTACGGTGAAGCATGGGCAGCTTCCGGTGCTCCCGTTGGCAGTTTGTTCGATCTGCGATTTGAGTTTCCTCAAAATCTGCCCTCCTCGTTGGCAAACGTCGTTTCCGTGGAGATTTTCCCAGCCAAGGGATTGTTTTTCTTCCCGAAAGGCATGCTAGAAGCGGATCGGACTTGCTTCTCGCAGTTTCAACAAGACCCAGGGTTGCTGGAGATGCAATTGAAAGAGCTGCTGAAATCCACAACGTCCGTGGCAAATAGGGCTGCGCTCTTTGGTACTGGTACGACGAATGATGTAAAGCCCCTGGACGTAGCAGCTAGAAGTGCCTTCTTCCCCTTCCGAGCTGATTTCTGTGCGCAAAAGCACCGAACGTTTCCGCATGGGACAGCTCTGAGTGGTACAGCGTTGTCTCCGCCGTTTTTCGCCGGGACTAGAGTGGAAAAACCGTCATTACGAGCGCCACTAGCGGTGGATATGAAGGTGAAGACAAGAGGAGGAGAGGAGGATGCAGGCGCTTCGAGTTCGTTAGGAGCGAGTGGAGCTACTGCCGCAACGAGTGCAGCTGCTTCAGGAGATGTTGCCACAGCATCATCATCTTCAACTGGCCTTAGTTGGTTAGCCGATCTCTTATCTCGCGAGTCTGCTGATTCTGGCGTCGTCGTGCCACCTTGCTCGACACCCGACTGTCTCGAAGTCCTCAACATCTTGCAAACTACCACAGGATCTTCTCTGGAGCAACTACAGGCGCAAATTCTTCCCAAAGAATGGATGTGGTATGTGATCGCCAGTACGAGAAACAAAACGAACGGCGTGACAAAAATCATAGCTTGGGATCGTCTCGCGAATCCAGTACCACTTACGAGGTTGCCTTTCGGCCTAAAAGCTCTGTGGATGCCTGGCGCTTTGCGAGCGGACGTGACTATTTCGCTGAATTTCCGAATTCCCCTTCCGGTTGGGGGATCGTTGTATCTTGCAGCACCCGTGGATCATCAATTTTTTATGTAATGATCAATCTTCGAACAATATTAGAAGGATGAAAACCAAAATGTTGATACAACTTCGTCATCGGGTTATCCCTTTGGGTCTGGTCTCAAAGCTGATTTGGCAGGTCAGATTGACACATGACATGACATGACATGACATGACATGACAACTCACCCACTCTAATCTCCACTGCGGCGGCCTCCGCGTCCTCAACCAACAGCAAACTGACCTGTCCGCAATCCCCAGCTTCGGTTGGAACCAGTTTGGGTTTCCGACTCCCAGTTGCCTCCGGCATCCCCAACGTGCAATGCTACAGGGCTGCAAGAGGATAGAGGCCGAGCTGCAAAAGCTCGATGTGGACTTGAAACTTGTAGATGCTCTCAAAGGGAACATTGAGCAACAGATGAACGCAACGATGCAGCAGGAAGTACCGGATGACATCACGGCTTTCGAGGAGTCCTTGCGCGACCTGGCTGGGGACAAGCACAGACTGGAGAACGAGAAGCAGGAAGTAGAATTCTGGTCGCAAAGGTGCCAACCGTATCATCAGATCTTGCTTTCTTTTGTCCATCCAGCCTTTCCCCAAACAGAGAAAGTAGAGACAGAGATGAGTCAGTCCGTCAGGGATGGCGTGGGCGGTAGAATTACGCGACGGCAGAGTGTAGCGGTGGCACTGGGGGAATACGAACTGCTGGTAAAGATGAGATTTCCGACGAATTTTGTTTCGAATACAATCATGTCTAGTAGTTCTACTAGTTCTTCCTCAACGTCAGCCTCGGAATCGTCCTCATCAGCATCAACATCAGCATCAACATCAGCATCAACATCAGCATCAACATCAGCATCAACATCAACATCAACATCAGCATCAGCATCACCATCAGCATCAGCATCAGCATCTTCCTCTTCCACTAGTGCTACAAGCCTTGCAGTAAGGACTTTCGTCAGACAACGCTACAACTCCTGGACGCTGTATATCTTGGATGCGAAGGAGAGGATTTTAGATGCTGGCACTTTAGCTTCACCGGGGGAAGAAGCACCATCTACTGCGTCAGGTTCTAGTAGTAGTAGTAGCACTTCTACTAATGGAGGTGGAGGCAGTAGAATTTTCGTTGATAAAGCTTCTGCATGGTGGGAGAGCAGATGTCGCTATCCTGGTGAAGAGGCTTTGCCTTCAGGGATTCCAGTGTGCCCGTTGCATGGAGTGGAAGATTTTTGGAGTAAAGCGAGAGGACTAGTTCCCTGGTCGAGCGGGATGCAACAGTCGGCGACAGCATTGAAGTTGGCGGCGAATGGCGGAGCAGGAGGTAGCAATTTTCATTTCATTCTGTGTTCGCACTGCAGACGATGGCTACGTACTTAAGAAGGAAATATGGTCCTCACAAGAATTTCTACAACCGAATGATGCTTCCCAATTATCTATGTTCACCTTCACTATGTATCACCCACTAAAAGGTACAGCCCAGTACGTCAGCTCCGCACTTGGCAGCGCCTGTCTTACAGCGAAAGACTACTACTACGATTTCGATTGGCAGAGTTTAGTAGACGAGCAAGACGCTCGCATTAGAAATGCGGAGAGGGGCAGACCTGTCGAGGATCTGGCCGTGCTTCTACGTACTGGAAATGGCAATGGCGGCAGCAGCTCCTCCGCATCTGCCAATCGCGTGGACACTTTTTTAGCTTTTGTCCAGCCATATTTCAGGGATCATGTTGCTGGTGCCGCGTCCTCTGCCGATCCTACAACAGCCACTGACATCAACCCAAAAATCCAAGGGCGCGTCTCCATGATCCACCTCTCTTTCGAACTAAGGGAAGCCGTTTCCTCAACTCTCGCCTTCAAGACGCTAGAATTGGCTTTTCCCGACGGTTGGGAATTAGAAGTCAATATCCCCAGTGACGTCGAAGTGCTGACGGGAGCATTTCCGATTTTGAATTTGGGTTGGGTTCCGGAGAAACCGATTACGAAGTTGTTTTTCACTCTCAACGTAGGAGAAAGGGAACTGGTAGACGAATTTTTGGGTGAAGCGGGTGGATATGTTGGCTACACAAGAGGCATTCCCAAGGGGACCTTCGCAGTGCGATTGCCAGTTAGGTGGCCGAATTCGGTGTACTACGGGAGTGCGCAAGATGTGGATATGGAAGTGAGCTCTGTCAGCAGGAGGAGGAGGGCGGAGGAAGTACCGCGGACGGTGGAGCAAGGGAAGATACAGAAGGAGGACCACCTCCACGTAGAAAAAGTGCCACCAGTAGTGGGACGAGAAGTGGCCGACAGCATGGCATTAACAACATCAAGGAGGAAAACTGAAGATGCAACCAGCTCAACTACTAAGGTTAGACCCCTCCGAAGTGTCGTCATACCCATCTTCATTCCAGACAAGACGATAACAGACCACCAGCAAAGTACAGCTGGTTCATCCACATCAAGCACAGGCGATACTTCAGCAAATCAGGTTCTTCCATCTTCAAAAGGTACGACAACAACTTCCACAACTGACGACATTCGCATAGCCCTTCCCGCTTCCTTCGGCAAAAACCGTCTACCCAAAGACAACTTCATCACTTGGAAGTTTTGTCATGATTTCCCCTTTTGCAATGAGAAGGTCGCAGAGTTTTCGACCCCTGCACCGGCGCATGCGTATGATATTCCATACTCCGCAGAGTTTGAGGTGAATGGTGCAGTCATAGGACGAGCAAGAGAGTGTGCAGTGACTCCTGGGGAAAGTCAGTCGGGGAGAGGGAGTCGAAGAAAAAGTCCTTTTGGAGATGGAAGAAGAGGCACAGTGCTTGTTGGGGCGACAATTCTAGTACTTTTCTTTGTCGGTGCATTGCACAAGATAGAAAAAATATTTTCATTTTTTTAAAGAAGAATCGTTTCTAGAATTCTATAAGGGCAATGAGATTCTTGGGAGACTATATCAAGCTTAGCATGCTGTGGGGGTTCTAAGACGCTTTGCCCACTCGAATAACTATTCATACAATATGATAACGTCATTTGTCATAAGTCATAACCATCTTCTGGATGCATCATCTCTTTTGAGTTTTTTGTTCATAGCGTATGCAAAGATACAGAAAATCTTTTGTATTTGTTTTTTAGAGAAGGGTCGTTTCTTCAATTCTAAGGCTTACGAGATTGGTCATAGCGTATGCGAAGAATCGATTGGAATAATTCTAGTAAAGTTGAGTCAGAGTACTAATAATTATGGTTATGGGTCGCAGGATACTAATTCTAATAAATATGGGTCGTCGCTTTTCGTCTAGTTTAGGGTAATTATATGAGTATGGGCTACAACTCGGAGAATAGCAATAAGACTCTCCAGCGAGTCGGTAAGTCGAGTTTCTCGATTCTACAATCAACAAGTTAGGTTTTGCAGAGTTTTTTTCAAAAAGACAGTCACTGGAGAGGGACAGTAACGACCTGGTCTCCTCTCTGCCTTCTCGTCTTATCAGGTATAAAAGTTACATTTTGCTGCACTAAGTACTCTAGCAGAGCTAAAGACGCCAGTTCTTAGTATGCGCAAGAAGTGTCCATAAACATATTTTGCAACAAGTTTCTTTCTGTCACCGATGCCATGTCATTACTTAACGAGTAGCTCGTGAACTTGTTTTCTGATATGATCGACTCAGCACGAACAAGGGAGATTTCTGCAACTACTTAGTTTAAATCTTCAAGTGTTAGGCGTAGTACGCCATCTATTTTCGTAGGTAATGTTATTTGACGAGACGGGATGCATGATTCAAGAGATTTGCTTTGGCATGCAAGAGAAAAAGATACGCAAGAAGAAGGAGACGATCCTAATGAAGAAGGCCAAGACAAAGGCTGCTGTTCTTCAATCGTGAGTATTAAACTAAGAGGAGCACAAATATTTGACGAGTGTACTGCCTGGCGTGATTACTCTGTTCTGAGTGTAAAGCCACGATGATGAGGTCTCGCGCTAGCCAGAAGATAAGTATTCCTGACGAGTAGATATACCAAATGGCGCAAAAAAAAGAGGTGTTTCTCGGTCTGTGTGATTCTGTCGTCGTAAAAATCTGACCATGTGAGTTGAGATGACGAGATGAAGTGCTCATTCGGTTGAGGCAAATTAGACGTCGAGAGGACGAAGAATATCTGTATAGAGAGACGAGCTATCAAAAGTGTCTCAAGTCATCAACCTCTAAATCTCAATGATCTTAAAGAATCGAATAACCCTTTGCTTCCCCAATGATTCACGTGGTCAGGTATCAAGATAAGTAAGTACCAACTGCTGGTGCCTGTTGCGTACCCTTTGGTTATTATCCATCGACTTTCAATTTGAAACGCCTTCTTTCATGGAAGTAACAATCAACAAGCGTTGCTTAGACTCACTTAGAAATAGTCCTTTATATACGTCGTTGTTGTAAATAGTTACAGTTACAACTTATGCTTGAATGAATGATACGCTTACCAAGTTTGATGTATCTCAGGCTCTTTTTCCTCGCGCGTGTTTGATCTGTTGTAAATTCTTGAATAAGAAGGTTTGAAGACCTTTCCCAATGAAACTGTTGTAAATTCCTCTATCGTCGTCAAAATCAACATCAAAATCAACATCAACTACATTCTCATTTCACGCACTATCACCTCCAACTACCCCAACTACCTGAAAAAGAACATCGTTCTCAAGACGCATCTAATGCTAGAAAAATAATGGCTCGTCAGTCCTCTGTGCAGGTGGTCTCAAACTCTTCCGCTCGTCGTAGTTTTCTTCAGGATCGTGAGCAGGAGCTTTCCGCAGGAGTAGACCTAAAAAAACTAAAAGGGTCGTCACCAGTCTATCGCGCGTGGACTGTCTCCGCAGCTGTAACTGAACTAGGTTTCCGCGTTCGCGAAGACGGTCTGATCACGAAAGTTTACCCTGACTCTTGGGCAGCGGACGTAGCTAAACTGGAGGTCGACGACCAAGTGACACACATCGGTGATAGTCGTTACAACTGCTTCGCAGAAGGATTGTATAGGAATCTCCTGTTGTCGGAGGAGGTAGAGGAGGAGGCTAAGAACGGCGTTGTTGGGTCGGATCAGAAGAGGACTGAGGAGGACGAAGCCTCGTCTAGCTCTAGCACATCTGGCAATCGGATTGAGGATTACGACGACGCGGTCGAAAGATTGCGCTGCAGTGATCGACCATTGTCTTTATCCTTCCGCAGGGTGCTGAGACGAGGGGAAGAGTTCGACGTCCAGATTCTGAGAGCCGATCTCGTTGGTGCAGAAAAGAGTAACAAGAAGTTGGGTGTGAAATTGTGCTTGGACACAATCATCGAGGTCGAGGCGAACTCTATCAGTGCTACAGTACTAGGATTGTTGCCTGGCGACCGCATCACGCACATCAACGGTGACCCGGTGGACATAATTGGTGAAAAGGAAGAGGAGGAATTCAAAGGTGCTCTTTGCGGTGGAAAAGGCTTGGCCAGTACGTTGAAGAAAGCGACAAAACAACTGAGAAACTCCTTATCTTCGTCCCCTACTGCTGCAGCTTCTGCAACTAGTACAACAGGAGCAGCTTCGACGACCTCTGAAGACGCAACGACATCATCTTCATTACTAGCCAAGCGAGGCAAAGTGATTGCGATTGGTATTCACCGCGCGCCTACCCACGACGCAGCACTAGCGCTGGTTTCTTTGCGGTTATTCGAGAAGAAAGCGGAGCATCTTCACAGAGATTTGGCAGAAGAAAGAAGGCAGATTTTGCTTGAGCACGGCATCACTCAGAAGTCCGGGTTCTCAATCACGGAAGAAGAGCATCAAGAGCAACTGGCATTGGAGGCAGAAATTATTCATCACTTGGAAGAAAGCGCTCAACATCAGCACGACCTAGAAAATAACAGTTCTGCTGCCGCTGTCCTCCAGGTAGAGGGTCGTGGGTCAACCTCAACCGGAGGTGTCATAACTTTCGCTTCTAGCGCAACGCTTGGTGAGATGAACGCCTCTGTAGCTGCTGCTCCAGCCGCGGCCCCTACTGCGGTTGCGTCGCCTACACCTAGTACTTCTGCGCAACCTGTTGGTGGGAGAAAGAGCCTTGGACCTGCTCCATCATCCCCCTCAAACAAAGGTAGTCCTCGCATGACCTTCAAAGAAGAGTCCTGGCCAACGGATGACACCATCCCCAGGTCGGCGCAAGGTGAGCCCAGTATTCACTTCACGAAAAACGCTGGCCGTACCTTTCAGCTACAGACAGACCTCGCTTTTGTCCGTGAAGCTCCAGCTGAGGACGAGCAAAAAGCCATGGCAGGTTTAAAGCACGAGGACGAAGCCTGGCCAGAAGACGACCAAATCCAACGTCAAGTCTCTCCTTCTAGTATGCAACTAAACGTATTAAACAACTCAACAACTTCATCTAGTACTACTTTGAACAAGCAACAGCAGTGTTTTGCTAGCTTCCGACCAACCAGCAGTGAGAAGATGCACCATTTGCCGACAGTTGTGGAAGCTGGAAGTGGGTCGGAGTCTGAGGAAACGACTCCTGTTGGTGCTGGTGCAACTACTGGAGTTCAACAAGGTCCAAAAGTGCTCTTCTATACCGAAGAGCAGCAAGGAGCAGCCATGGCCAGGGCTAACTTCAACGACGTGTTGGACATGGCTAGACAGGGTTCCTGGACCGAGCAAGAGGAACCGCAACCGCAACCTAAAGTGTTGGCCTCAGACCCTTTTCTGCGTGATGATGGCTTGGTCCGTTTGGCCAAACGGCAGATTGGGAATCCTAAGAAACTACACTCGGAGAAACAGAAAGAGGATGCAGTCGATTGGGCAAGCTTGGACGAGGAAACGAGAAAGGAGTTGATATTTGCACAGTTTTTGGCGTCTGAACAGAGAATGATGGACCGGGCGTTGCAAAGAGGACACACGAGAAGTTGGATCGACGAACATCAACTACAGGTAGTGCTTTTAGAATTTCGCCTCTGGTTTTGCTTACTCCAGCTCTTCTAGCGCGGCACTTTCTCTTGGGAAGTTCCTACTTCACTGCAATTACTAAATACTACTGGTTGTTCCTTTAGTCTCATTATTTCGATTTCACGTAGCTAGAGGTTGAGGTATACTGCCTCGGGCTAATGTACATGGTGACGGATATTTTATAACTTGATTTATTACGTTAACACGTACAACACCCATAGTGATGTACAAATTTTGATCCTCATAGTTTATTGGCCTTACACCAGGCAATAACAACTCTATCAATTATTACCATGACACTCCTCGTCTACCATCAACATGAGGCCCACGCTGTGACGGAGAAGGAGCCGAAGTTGGTTCGTTTGGTCGAACGGAAAGGAGAGGCTGCAGGTGAGGAAAAGGAAGAGGCAGGTTGGTGTCCTCCGGCAGCTACTCCGGAGACCACGTCCTGCTTTGCTCGGATTGCTCAATCTATCTGTGGAGGGTCTCGTAGAGAAGGTGAGACTGGAGATAGATCTCAACCTTCTCAAGCTTGGTTCAATCAGACGTCTGAGGAGGGTGCTGCTCGAGGATCAGGATCGTCCTCGAGTGCCGGTGGTCTTCTAGTTGCGCCAGGAGCCGCAGCTTCATCGGCTTCCTCCCTGAGTCTGACCACAATGGAAAAGCAGCCGTCCTCTCCTGAGCAGCCTTTTGGTGAAGGAGTCGGGCTCAATCTGAACCTCAACGATCTCGCGGACAAGGTCACAGTGGACAAAGACAACACGTTCATTTCTCCTTCCTCTGCCAGCAACATCCGGCTAAACGAGCACAAGCAACTTTTGAGATCGCCTGTTTCGCCACGCTTGTCGCTGGATCGGATGGTCTCTCCACGCTTGTTTTTCGACCAAAACAGCTCCAAACATCCAGAGTACCACTTGCATCAAGATCGCGTTGTTACTCCCAGACTGGTGCTCAATCACGTTCAGCATGGCCTTGCTCCTCATCTCGTAGGTCCACATCCACTTGTAGAAGTTCCACCCAGTCCGACTGGCAGCTTCGTGCCGGACTTGGAGGATATGAAGAAGCAAAACATGAAGAATCTAAGTTCTCAACAGCAATACTCTGCTTCCTCAACGGCTAGTGCGTCCTCTTCCGGTACTACCTCCACAACAGGCTTGAACGCGACTAGTAGCGAAGCGTCTTTACTACAGAAGCAGGGATCAGGAGACTCGGTCCTCACTTTTCTAAGTGGACTCATCTTCGGAGAACCAGTATGCCCAGCGGCTACAACAACGGGTGCCGACACATCTACAGGAGTCGACACAAAAATTGCGCCAGGAGGAGTCGACACAATTGCGCCAGGAGTCGACACAATTGCGCCACTCGTCAGTGGGGGAAGCAGCGGGCGAGGAGGAGGTCAACAAAGAATGATCGCCCCATCGCCACGTCAGACACCACGTCTGCCACGGACATCAGGAGGAAACTCACGCTTAAGTGGAGGCAACAAAGGACTTTTATCTGGGAGCAATAGCCTGAATCTAGTCCGAAAGAATGACTCTTCGATGAAAGGAGCCTCTGCAAGTAGTCCTTCGAAATTTCGTAGTCCACGTGGCGGTGCTGGTGCGGTAATGCCTAGCGTGGTCGGAGGGGCTGCAGCTCTAGCATCTCCTCAATCTCCTCGTAACAGTAAAATGTCTTTCACTCCGAGGAACTATTTCAAGAACTACAGCGGTCGGACATCTACTTTGGGTGCGAACGTCAGCTCTGTCAGTAGACCACCAAGTTCGCCTGGGCTTTTGCAAAGGAGTCATAAGGACTGGGAAGTGGAAATGCACATGATGCTCGGACACACAACGTTTCCAAGTGGGAAGCCGGTACTTGTTGTTGATAGGATTCTTTCAATATTTCTGCAACATCGTCGACATCGCATGATATTTTTACCTGCTTGTAACAAAATAAACCATCACGAACTATTGATTCCTGTAGTTCTTACGAACAAAATTTTTCCGTTCCAAAAATCCTCACACCACAGCATCAATTCAAGACCCACCGAATCATGTTGCCTACGCTCTGCGAAGACCGCATTAAGGTGTGCACTATCGATGACACGCGATCAGGCACCAACATCTTCGGCGATCATTTATCACAACAACCCGGCACTCCGTCTCTACTCTTCCGTGAGTCTGCGGCTACCAGTCCGGCTGTTTTCGGTACTACTAGTCCTCCAGCAGGCAAAACTGGTGGAATGGGAGCAATTCCGCAAGTGAAGCCGCGCCTTTCTTCTTCTAAACCAATCGTGGCTCCTACGATTGGCGTTGTGGGAATCACGTCATCGCCACCGAGTAAAGGATCTACCGATATGGTTGCTGCTGGAGACGGATTGGAGACGTAGGAGACGGACGGGAGTTGTCGATTCGACTACATCAAGTAATACATACTTCGAAAATTACTTTACTTTATCACATGAAATTAACGTCTATGTCATGCAGCTCATGCAGCACGACCTGCATTTTATCTAGTTTGTCACAGAAATTACTCACAAGTCAGTGTTGAAAGTATATGAACAGTGTTATACAACTCTTAAAGACAAAGGAGCCTTGCTGATTTTTACGAAGGCAGCTGCAATTTACTACTCGATTATTTCTCCCCGATGAGATTGAGACTAGGGTCTGAACAACATGAATTCTTCTCTAGGTCTACTTTCTCCTTCTGTTTTTTTACTTCGTCAATATTCTTGTATTCTTAAAAAGTCAAGATGTTCAATATTAAAACATGTAGTACTTGTTGTTTTTTTTTCTCGATTTGTGAAATTAAACTTAACGCACTTATTTTCTCGTTCTATCCTATGTATTATACTCGATCTTCCTTACAGCAGTGGTAACTAATTGAATACCGCAGTGGTAACTAATTAATTTAAGTATAACTAATCTACTGAACAATAACCGTACGAACTTTTTCTTTTATGAATCAGGTGAAATATCGTTCTCGTGCTGAGTCTGGCAGCTTCAGCTGACGTTGCTTGCTAGTAACTACTCAAAATCATGAGTAGGAATGAAAATTTTATTTCAAGATGCAGAAGAGATTGAACTTGAACTCAAGAAGTAGCTACAAATCCAAATGAACCCGCGAATGTCTGTGACTTTTTTATTTGAATCAAGAATGTCTCTGACTTTTTACGTTGATTGCACTAAAAGCTTGGAAAAGACTGCGCGTAGAATGAAAAATTTGAAAGATCTTCTCGAAAGGGCTGCTGCGCCAGTGCACTCGTTGAGAAGCGCTTCAATGGAACCGAATGTCATGGAATCTTTAGTCTTGTTCTTGCTTGCTGGCACTCTGAATGGTACCTCAATATCGTGGCAGGTGAAAAATCAAATCCATCCTGAAAAAAACGGTTTGTCTATCTCTGCGTGTTTGTAGGACTCGGAGCACGGTGTCAATTCTAGAACAATTCTGAGTGGAAAGGAGAGCAGCAATGGGTTTGTGAAGTGACAGTCAACTCGGAAATTGAACAAGTCCACGCAAGCCGATTTCAATAGTACGTTTCTCGTTGTCTACTCACCTTTCATGATTTGATCCAGGTCTTCTTTATCAGGAACAAGAAGCACTGTTGGTATCATGTGAAGCGTGTTTCCAACTTTTTAGAACATTTATTTGAGTTTTGCTGGTATAACAAAAAGAAGAATATATAAAAAACCATGTCATCTTCCAGCGGAGACGTCTATGGCGCGATCAGCAAGGCTCGGCCAGCCTTATCCGAGAAGGTTGAAAAAGTAAAGGATTATGCGAATAGGAAGTTGTATCATCAACTCGTCGAAGAATTCTCAACCTTGGTCCAAGAATTTTTTGCTGCCGGAGGGGGTGCTAATGTTATGGAATGCGAATGTGATTGTTCTGACATCATGCTTTGCTTAATACGTGTCCAACCTTTAGTTTCTTATTCTTCTCGTTCCCCTTGGCAAATCGGACTCCTGAGCAGGACTGTGGTGAAAAAGTAGTGACTTCTCTCTCTTCTCACCCCCAAGAACTTCTTCTAATAAGCACAGCAAACTCGTCTTGGTTCTCTTCGACAAGGAGATCAAGCCGATTGGAGGCAAGCTCAACCCCGTTAGTTACATGGAGCTTGTGGGTTACCTGCTCAACTCCTGCTTCCCAGCTGGAGGCGCACAGAAGACGGAGAAGATCACCTTCATCGAAGACAACTTCAAGCCGTTCGACATCTTCGAAGATGAACCGGAGGCTTCTAGCAAGGATGACAAATCGAAATCCAAGAAGGATGGCGACAAGAAGGGAGATGACAAGAAAACTAGTTCTTCCTCTACAGCAAACATTAAGGCTTCCCCTAATTCAATTCATCTTCAGACGAGGCATCTCGAAGGTTGAAGTCTTGCTTCTTTCATAAAGGTAGAAGGTAGGGCTGTTTTGTTTCTGATCAGTATCCTCAGTGCTTTTTAGTAGCAGATGATTTTGTTTCTGATCATGTAAGGTAGGTGGTAAAACAGGCCCGAGATGTAGTCAAGAGTGTCTCGAGAAGATGGCTTAGGGTGAGCTCTAAAACCGAGAGCAGTGGAGATGTGGAGATGAAAGACGCATCGGCAACAACTTCTAGTGGCCCGAGTAAGAAGAAGATCGGCAACCTTTCGCATTACTCCAAAGCGGCAGAGGCAGACTTCTTAGATGCGAAAGCGCTGTACTTGGCGCTCAAGGGCAACGTATTGATTGCAGCAGGCGACATCGAAAAAGCGAAAGAGGCGGTGACTGACGACTTGACAGCACAACTGTTGAAGAAGCGCGTAGCAGTGTCGGTGAAACCGAAGGTGTTTTCGGCTTACCACAAGGCGTTGATGAACGTTTACCATGCAACGCAGAGTAGCTCATTGTACTTTCTTAAGGTTTGCTTTTGATGTCTGAGATGTGAATCAGTATCCTCAGTGCCTTTTAGTAGCAGATGATTTTGTTTGTGATCATGTACAGAGAAATCAATGTTCCTGATATGACCCTCCGTCTACTCACATGATCTACCCTGCAACATGCATCTTATCACACCATGGACCACAGGTATTACCAAGCCGGAGTCAACTACCTCCGCTACACACCTCTCGAGGAGGTGCTAAATAAATCGGAATTAGCTGTGAATCTAGGCATCGCGGCCTTAGTAGCACCAGGCGAGTACAATTTTGGCGAGCTGCTAGGTTTGCCATTGTTTCAGACAGAGGAGGCACAGAAGCTGTGGATTTATGACCTCCTTTTCGCATTTCAAGAAGGCAAATATGACTTGTACGATGCGGCAAAGACGAAGTGGAAGGGAGAGGTACAGCTCTAGTTGTGGATTTTGATACGATTAACTCGCCGTTTTTCGTAACTGATGAAAAAAATGGGGTAAAAAATACAGACAGCATTCAGACGACCATTTCCTTCTCACAATAAACCTCCACTTCTACAACTCCATCACACCCTTCACTCCAACCCTAAAACCAGATTTCCAAAGTTCCTATTCTCGCGGAGAAGGACAAAATCGTTTACGAGAAGTTTTGCGGCTCAGTTTTGATGGAGTATGCTTTTCGACAAGCCAAGGGCAAGAGGAAACTCTCCCTAGAGGAGCTCAAAAAACAGATTCGGGTCGACGACGTTGAAACGCTTTTGATCAACGCAATGTGTGCAGGCCTAATTAAGGGCACAATCGATCAGGTGGATGGGACGTTTGCGTATACTTGGGTAAAACCACGAGTCTTGGACAAGAATAGGCTGAAGGCGTTGGAGGAAAGGGTACTTTTTATGTAATCAGGATTGAAAGCTAGTTCTAGATCTCAAGCGCCTGTCCTTCTTTGATGTATCTAGCATAGCTCTTGCAAGTTTGAGGGCGCAGCAGGAGCCAGCGAATTGCTGAAACCCAGTCGCTGTGCCGTCTTCGCCGTCGGTACAACTGCGCCCGCCTTCTTTCCCTGTGCGTACACTACAGCGGCACAGAACTGCCGCACCTCCTTACAATCGCTCACCTTAAAGCCCTGGGGGCCGTAAGTAAGCGCGAACCACATTGCGCCACCCGCCACGTAACGCATCACAACGAACGCACGCCGCAGACGCTGAGAGGCGGCGCCCCTCGCCCGATGGTTGCCGGCAAGGTTCCGACGCAGGCGCAGGGGCAAAGCTTTCGGAAGGGCAGACGGACGCCCGCACGGAAGCCAGGAGAGGGGCCAGGCATCGGAGAGCACAGGCCCGCAACGCAGAGACAGACGGCGGGCGAAGCGTGGACCTTGGGCCGCTATAGGTTTGACGGCAGCACTAGCCCACAGCTTCCAGCAGTTTACCCCGCAAAGTGACCAACTCAACAGTGAGCAAAAGGCGAGGGCCGCCAGCCTGGAGACTGGCCGGCCTTGCAAGGTGCTCGCGCTATTCGTGCCGGAGAGAGCGGCGGGCCTTGCGTACGCTACGCGGGTGAACTTACTCAAAGCGGAGGCGCGCCCTTTATCATTTGGCTTCGCGTGATGTCGGCGGCTTCTATTGGGGCCCACCAGTGGCTTTCTCTGTGTGGTTTCGGCGCTCTCCGCAGCGTGGACAAATTTTCTCGAAACGACAGCGGTCCAGCCGTTGCGCATGCTGTGAAAATACAGCTGCGAAGTTTGTCACTGTGCGCGAATCTGCTCGCTGGTGTCTGCGAATGCCTCCGTGGCTCCTTCGCTGGTGGCGTGGCAGAATGGAAAAAGAAGGCGGCAGACGTTGAGGAGCGCGGGCTTCTTCAAGCTTTCCACATCGGCTCGCGCAGTCTGTCGCTTCATGGGTGCCGGTGCAGACCTGCGCGGCAGTCCGCAAGCCCACCGCAGGCGCTGCGGGTGTGAAAGGGGGTCGCGCTGTCTTGCGGGGTGTGTGCCCGCTGCTGCGTGCAGCCGTCTGGGCTGTGGGGGGGACATGGCGAGGGGTTAGCCGCGGGGGCTTGGTCGTGCATTTTACACATAGGGAGAACGCAAGGAAGCCATGGGGCAGGGAAGTGGCTGGGGGTGAACGGCTGAAAGGCTGCGGCCGCCGGTGGCTTGTTGCGCCGCGTCAGCCTGCCACTCGCTCGCGATTGTATTCCATTCGGGCGCGCCCGATTATCTGCTTCGGCTTGGATGGTTTCTGCTGTGATGTTCGCTGCCTTTTCGTGTACCTGCACATAGATACACCCTGGCGACTACGTGGTGAGTGCCATGGATTCACTCGTGGGCTTTATCGTTTGCTGCCTCGCTCTTCGCTCTTCTCGTCTTTTTCAAGAGACAGACTAAAGGTTTGAGCGGGTTCGCCCTACCCCTTTCCGCCCTTGTTAGGCTTTGCGCTGACTTCTACGGCCATTAATTCCGGCACGCTCGCTGTTGGAAGTGTTTTGTCTCGCCATTTGGTTAGGAGTAGGTACTCGTCGGTCAGTGGGGCACCATGGTGATGCAATGCTCAAAAACAACACAGGTAGGCCACTGGATCGATCAGCAGAGTGCCGTCTTGCGGCAGTTCGAAGAGCTTACGCCGGCGTTGTTGGTCACTGTGTAACCCGGCGTCGATCGTAGTCGAACTGATGTGCTGGCGATTTTTTGAAGTTTTTTGAGTAGGAAAAAGACGCGGCTAACATTTACTATCCCAGTGGTAATGAAATAAACCACAACGTTGAAGATGACGACTTGTGATTCAAGCACATCGATCAAGAAGTGAGTAGTCCTCGATCTGAAAACCATCAAGAAGTGTGACGAGACCATCCCATTCATCTTCAATTTGGTCCTGAATACAGAAACCCCAAGCACGAAGCGAAGAAACAGTCCCCACCCACCTACAATAACCCTTGATTGTGTAGCAAATTTTTGCGACCTCGAAATTAGTCATGTGTGAAGATCCGAAGCGACGCCAACGCCAAGTGATTCTTGTAGTTCTTCAAAACTGGTGCACGTTCGCATCAATTCTCTGTCAACACGGCAATAGAGGAGAGCATTGCTGTCGGTTTTTCGATATGAATCCCTCGGTTTTGCTCTTGTGCATTCGAGGGTGCGTTCAAAGAAACCGCAGGAATAGCATGTCGGTGTGCGAATCAACATAAGTAGAGATGCTGTTCGGTTTTCCCTAGTAGTTCTCAGTCACAGTCTGTGAGCGGTTACCTTCATCGGCTGTGGTCTCTTCGGTTTTCAACCGTGGATCTCGTCTCTGCCCCCATACTTTCCAAAGCGAGATCTTCGCTCTGGTTTTCTTTTTAAGCTCCTTGTCAGAGATTTTTTTTGGAATTTTTTTCTTGGAACATAATAATCTATGCCATTTTCATCAACCAACACTTATGTTGCAGTAGATGCAGATAGAATCTTTCAATTATTGATCGCAGAACTATTGTTATTCATTGTAGTACATAGAAATACACATCATATGAAGCTATGGTCCTGTGGTTTCCGAGACTACTCCTTCACGACATGCCGGCAGACGGCTGGCATGACGACAGCGCAAGGTGAGGTGTAGGACGATCAACGTATCAGGCTCACGAACCGCACGAGCGTCTCGCGCCCACGCGCACGTCGTCAAAAATTTCTTCCCGAAGAATCAAAGCCCAACAAGATCATCCCCGTGCTCGATTTCTACGTACGAACGCTCCTACGTACCTCGGCAACGCATCATCAACAAAACACCAACCAAATGAACATTCGAACAACACAGCAAGGCTAATCAGTAGAGCAAATTCGAACTCCTTGTGATCATTTTTCCTTCCGTACACCTACAACATCAAAATCTTCTTCCATAACGCCATCCTCATAGTACTACCACTAGTAGCCGCGACAAAATGGCAGCCGAAGAAGTTTCGGATGACACGAAGGACCCTACGATGGGTAACAACCCCGTTGTAGAGGATTTTTCTATACTGAAGCAGGCTTTGAGTAACGTCAAAACGGTTTTGACACCCTACGATTGGATCGAATTCGCGCAGGAATTTATGACCACCTTCTTCATCAATCCTTCCTCAGAAGCATCTTCTATATAAATCAATAATTTTGCATGCATAACAAGCATGCATGGCCAAGATACTACATATTGACCTCCAAGTTAATCAAGATTAACTATCGGAAAAAAAAAAGTTCAGTTCTAGAAGAGGATGATGGATTTCCTCTAAGGAGTACGAGACGCAACGTGGCTTGCGTGTCAGGCTGGAGAGGCAAGAGCGGGAAAGGAGGATAAAGACAGGCGAAGAAAGCGACGACGAGACCGTTCCGGAGGATGAGCTAGTGTACAAGAAGAAGATGGACACCTTGGCGCATGCTGAGCATCTCAAATCAAGGATTGTGGAAGTCCAGAACTACTTTTCCGATGTGGCGCATGCGTTGATGCAATGCCATTCGCATATAAGTACTCACACTGAATACTGTTTATTATCGTTATTTTTTATGCAGTAGAGTAGATCGGTAGAAGGTGATACTTGTCTTACCTGTGTCATCGGTTTCGATGTTGTGATACCTCAAATTTTCGCCATACTGTTATTATTTTTTATGCCGATATCGTTTTTAGCTAAAATGTCACCTACAGAGGCGCCGTCGTATTGCTGCTATCACCCATTCTTGGTGTAGAGCGATCGTGCTGTTCAAGAAGAAAAAGAGAGCCAGACGATTCCTGAGATGAATTCCCTATTCCTCTAACCCAAGCACCAGTGCTGCTTTATCTACAATTCCCTACACCTCTACTAACTTAATCTTCATCTACCATTCTGTACACAACTATGAAACCAAAATCTGTCATCATTATCGTACTTTTCTACTTAAGAAACTTGATAATGATAACAGATTTTCGTTTCATAACAACCACATTACAACTGATACACATCAGCCGACAACCCGTCGAACAGTGAGACCCATTCTATCCACAATCACATTACAACATACACATCAGCCGACAACCCGTCGAACAGTGAGACGTTCGTTGCTGTGATGCGGTTTGTACCGAAGAACTCGCGTGATGCAGTGGAGAGGCTGACTGAGAAGAATGCTGAATTGACAAAGCAGATTCAGGTTAAGGCTACCGCTGAAGCATCCTCAACGTCATCCTTGGCTCCTTTTCTACTTGAAAAAGGCACGAAGGATGCTGCCAAGGATGCCCATGCGGTAGCTCTAATCAGGAGTACGATGCGAAGCTCGAGGAAATATCCGAGTACAACGAGAAGCGACAGAATACCCTTCTGGGCAAGCATCAAACAGCCTTTGAGGATAGGAAACAATCAAGACTGATAAGAAATGTCTTTTCGGCGATGAGGTACTATTTTGGAGTTTGTTGCCTGAGCAGATGAAGATTACAATAAGTACGTTGATGTCCTAGTTACATCCTTTTCCTGACTTCTGTATGCAGGGGCAGATTGTCATGCTTACTTCTTTTACATCTTGATGACTGGTGGATCTTCACAATGATATTCCTTACAATTATTTCACAACGACCTATATCGTATAGCCAGTCTAGAAGGTGTACGTATAAATCGCAACCTCCTTTATTTCCTCCAACCAAAAAAACTAAGTCCAGGTGCGACCTGCAGACAGAGTGGATCACTAGACATCGTATTGAGGTTGCTCACCTTCGAAAGGAGACTAAGGAGCAAAAGAAGACGATTAAGCATCTCAACGACGAATTGGATTCGGCAACGAAGCTCTTGGAGACCTTCAAGGCGAAGCATGAGAGACAGGTGAGGAATTTTTCATATACTCGGTTACAACCTTATATTATATCTACAATCATCTAGATCTGGGTTACAACCTTATATTATTTGACTGCTTAATTAGTTTTAGCAGTTAAGTAGCAGGATACTTTAGGATACTTGTTGATAGTTACCCTTTATTTCTCTTTTATATCTTCCTCTGGTCTGTCTTTTTTCTAGTTAGGTAGTTTGTTAGGTCCACCACGAACATATACTGAACCAAGTTGAGAACAATCTTTTGATTGTGTTCCTTACAACAACCTCAGCACAACTCTAAGTACAACAACTTTTAAATACATGTCCTCTCCCAACAAGAACCTCGGACGAAGCAACATGCACCCCACCGCCCTTTCTCTGCTCCCCTACAAGTGCTCACCGCTGACGACAGGTAAAAGTAGCCGCTGAACAGCTTGCCAAGTTAACGCAAATGGAGGAAACGCTTGACCAGTTAACGTCCAAGATCCGCATGCTGGAGCAGGAGAAGCGCAATTTGGAGATCTCCCTGAAGGACGAAATTTCCCGAAGAAAGGATGCAGAATACGGATTAGAAAGAGCCCAAGAAGATCTAGCCAGAAAAGCCGAAGAGCTAGCGGAAGTCACCCAAGCATACGAAGAAACACACGCAAGAGCAGAGCAACTTTTATGTTCTTGGCAGACTAGATTTGGAGTGACTAAGTATAGAAACAAATAGATCACAAGAAGGAGATCATCCGCGTCTTGTTCCCATGATCGGTCTTCTTTATTCGATCTTTTCGAGGTCGATGTGGACGTGGTCTTAAAACTACCGCTATTGAAGCGCATCCACTCATTTTTGCTATTTTTCCAAGGAAGTTCCTGCAAAGATGAATCTGAAGTTCCTCTAACCCCTGGGAAGGACCTGGACAATACCAAGCTCGCATTAGTCCAGGAGCAAGAGCAACGCGAGTTGGAGCGACGCGACAGCGAGAAATTCAAAAAACAAATGGTCACAAAGATCAAGCAACTGGAAAAAGACTATGCCGAACTGGAAGCCGACATGACCGAAAAGGTCTCCACATTGACATCGCAAGTGACGCATTTGATTAAGGCTGTACCTAATACATCTTTGGACGCTGCATCCTTGATGAAACGTATGGACAAGGAGTATCTACCCTAAGGGAATGATACTCTCCTCCAACCATACTTATTGTTCTCAACGATCATGCACTTGAAAGATGAATTACGGACAGCTCATCTAATTTGACCGGAGAAAACGCGCATCTGACAGCTCGTGTCGCACATTTGGAGTGGGAAGTGGAGGACACGATAAGGCAGTGGAAGGAAAACGTGGCGCAGGTCAATTAAGGATCATACTTCTGCTTTCTTATTCTTAGTTAGAAGTCTTGTAACAATTCATTGGATTCAGTCGTGTTCATCTTTCTTAGGTAGAAGTCTTGTAACAATTCCAAGGATTCAGTCGTGCTCATCTTTCTTAGGTAGAAGTCTTGTAACAATTCATTGGATTCAGTCGTGTTCTTGGATTCAGAATTGGTGAAGAGATGAATTACTGCTGTCATGAGCTCATCTAAGTTAAGAGGGAAGCAGCAGAGGAGCTCGACAGAAGAAGCAAGGAGATCTATGCCGCATTCGCGCAGGAAAGGGAGACGCATATGAGAAGACTCAAAATCCAAAACTACGAGTTATCCAAACGCGACCTATATTGCGGAGAGGCAATGGATTTGAATCCTCTGCCAGTGCCAGAGCTGTTTTCTGGAGGCATACCAGAAGGAGATGAAAATTTATGTCACTTGGAAGTGGGACGTTCTTGGATTCATTTCTCTTCTTTTCCGGAAAATCAGCTTGAAGTAAGTTGAAGTTCTTTTATTATACCGTATAATGATAGAATAATTTATAGAACGGATGTAGGATGGACTTGGATGGATCGGATGGACCCCCCTAAATCTTCCGGTCCTCCTTGAAATGGTGGGAAGTCCATCCGATCCATCCCGTCCTGGATCTGGCACCCCTATAAATTATTCTATAATTATAAGTATGTTGAAATGCAAGTTGGTTCTTTGCTCGTGGAGTTTTGCCCACAGGGCGCATTCAGCTTATCTCATTCCTCTAGTCCCATGTCTAACTTCCGCCGCTACCTCTCCAGACGGCGTCGCGTATATCGGTCCCGGCGGCACCGGACTTTGCCGGCAGTGTAAAAGGGCAGTAGTTTTCTCAGAGGAGAAGGGGAAGCACACAATGGACTTATTTAAAAGTCCGGAAGAGAAACCCAAAATTTATGGGAGGTTCTTGGATTTGATTTTTTCGGTGGATTTGATTTTTTCTTTGAGAGTGAGATTGAGAGAATCAATCGAGGATAAGCAGAAAGGCAAAGTCAAGCTCAAGAAGGATACTGACAACCTCTCTCATCCTTTTTCTCCTCTCTCTCTCTCTCTCTCTAGAAATCCGTACGAAGCCACACTATCGACCTCTAACACCGAAAAAGTCCCGGACGGCGGTTGCCAATGTCTAGGAGTCCTAGTCCTGCGAAGAGTCCGCCTAAGCTGGCGAGCGCGTCAAAATCACCAGGAGCGCGAAATAGGTCTTTGAGTCGTGATCCAAGTTCAGCTGCGATAAGGGCGCAAACCGAAGCGTTCAGGACCAGACCTAGCTTACATAAAAGCTGATAAAAGCTGTCGTGTAGAAAGCTTAAGACAGATAATCTTTTGAAGATGAAGTGTAGAAAGCTTAAAGCTGAAGTGTAGACACAGCTCGACAACAGAGGAAGTGTAGAGAACCTACAACGTACTACTGCTGGAAATGAAAACTTCTACTAGTACCAGTCTAACAAACTATAATTAATACTCTTGTAGTTACAGTCTTATACATCGGGCTCTTATACAGAAATTGAAGCATACAACTCTGTCTCTTACTCACATACGACAAAATTTGGAAAATAGGAATCATACACTCTCTTGGAATTCGTATGGGTGATAGACTACTAGACACAATGTGAATCACTCATGTACATAATCTTAGCCATATTCTGTAGAAAAACTCAATCTAAAACTCTCTTTTTCTTGCTCTTTTGTCAAAAATGGTAATTTGAAGCTTTTCGCTTCCCTTTTCAGTACTATATTGCACAGCTGCTTGCACAGAATTTAAATGAATAGTTACGAACACGAACAGTAATATGTAGTTCTTCGAATAGTAGAAGTTCTTCGTGAAATTGACTTGCTGAAATGCAAGGTCAGTCCGTGATGATAGATGTTGTTCGTTTTGCTGATCTGATCTCTATCAAAGCAGGTGTTGGAAAAAAAGAGATGTGCAGTGAGGCAAGAAATCAATGGCAGTTTCAGGAGAGCGGATGTTCTGAATTCACGTCGCAAATGGGACTGGGTGAATGCGTCCCGAGCAAGGATGTCTTTGCGCATCTTTTCAGGCTCGCCCTGCTGTGCGGAACAACGGAGCAGCGTTTTGGCTGCGATTGCGAGATCTTTCATAATTGGTTGGTGTGATCTCAACACGTCCTAGCCTTTTGAAGGTTTGTCACGCAAACAAGAAACCAAACACGTGGACGTACTGAAGATAAGCTGTAGTTTTCAACAAATATAGCTCCTCATCGTCACAAGAGACAACAGCAAAGAAGGACAAAAATGCCGTCTTCTCGTCTTTCGTTTCGCGTGGGGGACGTGTCCGTAAACTCTTCTGGAAACAGAGGGCGAGCTGTGTTTCGGCAAGACGAGCGCAATCGAGCTCGAAGTACGAGTGTTAATGTTGCAGATCGATACCGAAACGAGAAGGGACATTTATTCTACGTTACGGTCGATTTCAATAGAATTTGGTGCGAGTTTTATCTTTACCGCAGTTCGCAGAGGTGGATTGGCTCCGACGCGGATGGGAAACCCATGGAATTCGATCCAGTTCATAAAAGGAAGTGGTACATCACGTCAAAGGAGCGTGACAGAATTGAAGCAGAAGAAGTAGAGTACACGATGAATCAGAAACATTTAGTTCGCCAACAGGAGAGAGCTTCGACGACGACCACGACAGTATCTGCTCACAGTATCTGCTCAGTCCGCAATTCTACCAGCCGACCAGATAGAACTGGCCGCTCTGCTGTTCCGGCGCGCCAGAGTCATGGAGTGACCGGTGGACGATCTCAGGCGAGACAAAATGTCGCATCTACTTTGCCGTCTCCTTCCTTGCAGAGAGATCAACGACCGCCCTCCGGGAGTGCTTATCCTGCGTCTCGTCACATGCACAACAGCAATGATCGCGATCTTTTGATGTCCTCTCGACGCAACATTTGTTACTATGCATCGGCGCCCCAAAGTCATCTCTCTTCGCATCTGCCGAGTACGGGCGGCCACTCCTATCCAGGAATGAGTAGAAGCGATCATGCAGATTCGTGTGCACTACCACGACGAGGAGCCTACGGACCAAGGGCTGTGCGCGACAATGGTCCATCTCGTCATGATGATTCTTCGGACGATGCTTATGGCGCCAGAGGTCATCTGAGTACTAACGCACAGGCAAGTCAAAATGCTGTTCCTGTTGGTACAACTAGTCACGAAGAACTCACAGTAAACTATTGTAAGCGCGACGACGTCACGAAGAAGGGGACGAACGACCTCGGGAATGACTGGGAAGCGTATCCTGACGGAGGGTACAAGTATGACAACGGGAACGGCAGTAAGTACGAGAAGGACAAAGATGGCAATGCCTGGTACGAAGGCCCGGGCGGGAAGGGCTGGGTTGAGGATGCGGACGGGAATCGGGAGCACTATGACAATGAAGGCGACCACGGCGATGAGTATGACTACGAGCAGGATGAATATGGCTGCGATGACTACGGCTGCGATGACTACGATTACGATGAATATGGTGGTTTTGACGACTTTGGTGGAGATGGCTTTGATTAACTACAAGTATGAGCTGAAATAGAAGATAAAATTGTGATCGAGCGTATTAAGTTTGAGTCTGAATAATTTGAATAATCAGAACTTTGTCCTTGGATGTTTACTACAAACGAAGGAATACATGAAGCGAATAGATGAAGCATTTGAATAAGATGGACGCCCAAAAGAAAATTTATAGAATTTTTGCTGACTCCCCAGCCAGAGTTCCTCGAGTTATCAGATTTAGTTCTCATACGGAAAACAATGAAAAAGACAAAGATCGCCAACCTTTTGTCGGAAGATATATTTCATTACATTGTACCCCTTGAATTCAATGTACTAATATTGTCGCACTAAACGCTTTTAGCGTTGTCCTCGCAACCAAACTCATGCGTGAGGTGCCTTTATTAAGCAAGTACGAGTACCAAATACATGGAAAGTATTATCGGAACAATTTCGTGGTGCTGCTTGATCATCATGGAACTGTTTATGATTCTCGATGTCTTCGGTCGGACACAAAAAAGTCGAGGAATACCGAGGAAGATACATCCTGGCCATCATATTACTGAGAGTGACGTCATCGCGAACTTCTCCAAAGTTTTAGGCAAACGTACTTTCATCGTGATGTTACTTCTGTTTGTCGTTAGAAGAATGATCTATTCTCGAAAAATTCGATCCTTCGATTGCACCATGAAAACTGCAGACTCAAACCTCTGTCATTAAGCTGTAAACATCAGAATGCAACAAGATCTGCTAGTGGGAGTTGACGAGAGTCGTTTATATTGGACGAGCACGAGAGTCGGCTACTACAGCTGAGAATCGTCTAGAGTTGACGAGTTGACGAGAACGAGTAGACGAGAGTTGTCCGATTGTCAGATTGTCAAAAATAACGTTCGTACTCGTACCTAGTCTCAACGTAGTCGTCGCAAAGGCATCTTTCTTAAAACGAGAGGAGTGTTGCCGGAGTAGTAGACACATCCTGTTGTAGTTCTTTTCAAAACATTGACATTGACATGATCCTCGTTGATCATTAAAATAACTCAAATCAGTAATACCTCCAACCATTACCGCCCAACCAAAGAAATATAGGAAAAATTCGTATCCTGATTTTGTGTCCGTTTCGGAGTCCTGCTATCAGAACCACACGTTTCGCTCAAACGTTACCCCAATCGTTTATAAACTTCTTCTTCTGCAGCTACTTCTCTGTGATCGTACAGAATTTCCTTTCTAAAAGAAGTGATCAACGTCAATCACAAGAACTTCAACAGCACATCATCAACAACATTATCACCATCAAGCAAGAGTACAAGAGCAAGATCAACTACATAGAGGTACCAAGAGTAGAACAACATCAGCAACATAGACATTATCCGCATCAAGAACAAGGGCTGGCTACAAGAACAACGAGAGCTACAACAAGATGTTGGCTCCTCGTCGCAAAAACATGTTGTTTGCGGTCGGTTTGGCCGCCTTGGCGGTCAAAGGAGTGATGGCCGGAGATGCTGGTGATGTGTTCAGACATAACGTTACGGCTCAATAATGTTAGTAGAAGCAAGAAAGTATTTAGTAGAAGCACTCACTCCGACTCCATGTTTTTATATATAGAGATCAGCGATACAACGACAGAGCTTTATAAAAAATGAACGAGTCAATCGTCTCGGTTCCAGCGTTTCTCTCCAAAGGAAAAATGCAGGCAATTTCCCCACAAAGATCCCCTTCTCCTTCTTAGGACAATTTTTGGGCGAATAAATGAAGAGAACAAGAGTAAGTGAAGGGGTTTTGAGCTCTAATGACGGGCTCGAATTTGCACTCAAGGTAAGCGAGCCTAAGGAACCGGCTAAGCCGGCGGAGGGCGCGGCTGCGCCCCCGGCACCAACTACCCAAGACTTCACCGTCACTATCAAGGTACTATGTATATGTATATTGTTTATAATGCTTCGTACTAATATGATTTTTGAAAATAGTTATGATAATTTTTATTCGACGAACGTTCAGTTCAGTAGTTGTAGAAACAGAAACAAACAGAAGCAGAACGATGTTACCTTCTTGTCCCATAGTATAAAGATCCCATGCATAGAATGTAAGCACCTGTCATCTTCTCTTCTGAGGGTGCAGAGCATCGCATAGCCTAGAGACTGGTATGCTAGCCAGTGATAGACTCCATGATGATAATCCCAGGGAAAAGCGGTTCCCGGTGGGAAGTATACAGCACCGAAGAGTGGGAACCCTGGAGTGTATGAATTTCCGAACACGGCAGAGACTCATTATGGAGGCATTTTCTTGTTATAGATCCTACTAGATAACAAGTAGAAGAGTACATACAACTACAACTATAACTGAGAACAACTACATCTTCAACGATAAATGTTAATATGATGAAATTACTTACGATATAGACGAAGACAAGGAAAGGTTCTTTATTTCGAAGTGCAGATGTTGACTCCGTGATTTGAAGTTCTTTGGAAAACATGATATTCGACGAAAAATAAGTCTCTTTTGCTTTTAGCGAAACTTGCCCCTGTGGGTGGCCAGAAACTGAGGCCGCTCTTTCAGTAGCCCCAGGATACAAAAAAAAAAGAAACTTTTTCTGAAATCTCCAAATCCAAACTTCTTCTAATTTTGGGGGCTGAAGCTGCCGACGCTGAAGGGTGAGCAGACGAAGAGGATGTTCGGAAAGGCTATTTCGTTTGGCACAGACAACAAGGCGCAGGAGTGGTACTCCTTCAACGGGTATATTTACTTAAGGCGCAATAGTACCTGGAAACTTACTTCAACGGGTATGTATATATACTAAAGTCAGACCACTTCAACGGGTATATATACTAAAGTCAGACCACGTCTCTACGGTCATCATGAACGATGGTGACGACAGAGACAACAGCACGCAGCGTCATTTCTTCAGAGTGCGTTATTTCTACGAGTCTAGCGCTGTGCCATGTGACGCGGAGTCCACATGCCCAGTCACTGACTCCTAACCTATTCATTTCTACGAGTCATGTATCCACGCTAGACAACTCGTAGAAATGAATAGGTTAAATTGAAGTTACCTCTATTCTATGAATAGGGTACTATCCAACATTTTTCTCCTATGCTACAATCCATGAAGGGGCTACTTTCCATGAAGATGATAGGCTACTATAGACTTCGGACAACATAGGAGAGTAGCTTCTTAGTCCTTGAAAGTGAGCCTTCTTAGGACAATAATTGAGAGTAAATAAGGAAGGGAACTTCTAGAAGCTAGAAATGAACTTTGATCATCTTCATGATCAAACTAGATGAAACTATTCATGTAAATTAAATGAACAGCTGCTCATCTAATTTACTTGTTCGTCAAGCTGGTCTGCGTTTTGACTCCGGCAATGTTTTTCGCCATGCCCGCGCAACCGTTTCTCGAGAAAATGCAAGGAGGAGCTGACGTCGAGTTCGATTTGCCGCCGACACCTATTTTTAAGGATTATCATTGTGACTACGTAGATTACTTAGGCTAGGTTGTACTTGTGGGTCTAAATAATACCAGGATTTCTACTTCGCCTTCGGTTAGGTTCTACTTGAGTATTATCATTTTTGACTACTTAGGTTATACCAGGATCACTAGCAGACGTAATTGCAGGCTACTGAAGAGTCATCCATAGCTTAGGTTACAGTTCCATCACTTTGAATGCTAGATCATAGAAGTAGGCACCATGCTAGATAGAAGTGGACCACGCTACACCGAGTGGCCTCAGACATAGATGCGTAATGCTCGATACAAGTAGGCACCATAATGCTACACAGTACAATCACAAGTAAATGTAAATGCATCATCTTCAAACAAGACGTCCTGCTCTAATTTTTTTGGCGCGTTTTGGCAGACGAACGTGTTTTTGGTCATGTTCCTGGTCCTGGAGGAAACGCCAGAAATGATCGTACAATATATATTGGTCGTACCTCTAGACTACCAGCATGTTTATTCTTTTTACGCTTGACGTTCTTTGTCACGCCGGAGAGGGTCGCACCACTAGACTACCGACATGTTTATGTTTTTTACGCTTGATGTTCTTTGGAACACCACCGGATATGATCATCATATTTATATATGATCCATGGCGCGAGGCGACGCCACCCCCCCGAGCGTAGGCGGGGCGCCGTGCAGCCCCGGACCCCTTTTTAAGGCGTCTGCCGGGGGTGGAAGGCCTCAAAAGGGGGCCAAGTGGCCTCCCTTCTCCGCTCCCTTCCAGCTGCCTGGCTGTTGCCTACAGGCCTCCCATGCAGGTGGGAGGCTTCAAAAGGGGCCCAGGGGATCGCTTGCGCCCCGTCCAGGTGCCTGCTTGTGCCCTAAGTGCCTCCGATATGCCTCGCCGCCGCAGCAGTGCGCCGGTAATAGAAGGCCTCCGAAGGCGGAAAAAGGCGAGGGGCTGCACCCCCTGAGCCGTGCAGCTTGTACCCTCCGGGCCTTTGGTCATCGGCTTGCTTGCTCTTGCGACCGTGGCCGCCCCTTATATCCTGGAGGCCTCCCGCCTGCGAGGGTCAGCAGGGGCCAGGAGGTCCCTGGGGAACCCGCTGAGAGGCGCAAGGGGAGGCCCGCGCCAAGTTTTGGCGCCTTCTACCACTAGAATCCGCGAAAATCAGTGCGGAAAAGCGCGCGCGCGCCATCACAGACCATACCACAAGGGGGGCACCGTGCCGCCCTGAGTCATAGCGCCCTTGGGGCTTTCTTCCTTCTCAATGAGTGGAATCTAGTCCCCTCCATCATCATTATCACCACCATCATTTTTATTTAGATGGCCGGAAAAGGTTTCCTCGGCTTAGTTCCCTAGGGTCTGGTCTCAGCGTTGATTTGGCAGGTCAAATCGGAGAAGTAAGGATTGTTATCACTCTTGACCCGAAAAACAGTTGAACATCTGGGGTTATTCGGTGTCGCTGATTTTGTGGATTGCGTACCCGTTTTTCATCAACTGGGAAAAGTTCGGCATGATGTACTGGATTGAGCTCGCGGGAACAGTTGTCTTATGTTGCATATCCACTTACTTAGTTCAACAGATGAAGGTACAGGATAGTTGAAAGGCCTCAAAGGTGTTAGCATAACACATAAAAGAGGATCCATGACATGATCTGCAAGCTGTAGTTATCAAGTAGAAAGAAAAATGGACACAGGAGTAGATGAGACAAAAAAGATGGGCGGCTTCTGTAGTGGGTTCTAATTATCATCGCAGCAACTTATTGGGGAATGCTCGCCATGGAGATGCCGCAAGCTTATGATTTTTCACCTTCCAACTATTTTTCTGAGTACTAGAGACAAAATAAAGTCAGAGATAGAAAGCGAGGGAATATTAACTAATGCAATGGTAACGTAACTAACAGCATCAACGCTCATCTTCATATGAAGTTAGTAGATCTTCTACTTCCATTTGTATGGCATTATTCCATACTTTCCGTTTTTAGTAGAATTTACGGTTAGAAGTTAAGATCATCATGAAGTATGATTTCATCGCTGCCGGCACGACCTCGTCTACATGATCTACTCCTTCTCTCCCACTCCCTCTTCTAATCTGCGCAGCGTGACGCGAATTTCGACACCTCCTTGATGTTTGTCCTCAAATGGTCAGCGTTGGTCAGTTCCATCGTCATGTTAAGGCTTCCTTCAATCTTCCATCTACAACTTCAGAGAAGTCATGATCCTAGTCATTCTAGGACAGGAGAGACTCAACACTTCTAGCATAGGGAAAAGATGACATCTAGGATGCAGCTTCTCGAGATGGATTAGGGTGCGCAGCTCTAATCATGTTGGCAGCCCCCGTGATGATGATCTTCAGATCGATCGCGGAGAAGAACAGCGCTTACTTGGGCCCCGTTGGCTTGAACATCATTGGTATCACTCTCACCGCATTCTGTTAAGGCTTTCTACTTAATCACTATGCATTTACATATTATAGAAGATAGTTCTTGTTCATCTTGTTTCTTTGAAGTTCACGTTTGGCTCAGTTCATTAGAAGTTCATCTTTTTTTTCTTTGATGCATCCTTGAAAATGAGAAGCGCATCAGCTCGGAGTATCTATCACGACAGGGAAAAAAAATACTAATACTTTTCTCACATGCAGCGCATACTTTTCTTCAAGAGATATCTCTGTCTATGACTCTTCTAAGATCGAACACTAGAGAAGTTCATGGCTAGACTCTCCTCTAATGTTCGGTCGTGAACGGGTACTGCTACATGGACAACTGGGCTGCCTGGTTGCCCAACCTCATCGGGTGCATCTTTCAAACCACGACCTTCGTCGTCCGCCTTTTCGTCGTCGACGCTCCGGCTGATGGAGCCCTCCGATCATCCAAGACGAGTGTTCACGACGAGGATTATGGTTTCAGAATTTAGATCACTTCTGGTGCTTTATAATTTCTAAGATCGGATTATGGTTTCTAAGGGTAGGACCGTGTATTCGGACCTGCTAATCCCTTTGATTTTGTTGTAGAAAACACTTACAAAGGAGTGTTTAGAAGGCACAATTCGACTGAAAGGCCTCAAAACTACTTGACCACGTAGTTAACGAGGGCACAGGACATGACATGTCAGGTGTGAACTAAATATGCTTGGAAGCCATAATCCTCGTCATCTCCAGGGCTTCCGAGCTCAAATTTAGTTCACTCCTGGTGATCCTTTGTACTAATTTCTTTTTACAAATATGTCAAAAATCACTACCTAGAAGTAGACTAGTTGTCTACTAGTACTTCTATTTAGAAGATTCTGTAATAATGACTACTTAGACCTCCTATCATCTTCTAGAAAAAGCACTAGGCGTCTACTACTTGTTCTGTAGTTTCTACTACATCATCTCTGTACTAGTTTCTACTATGAACCGGTTAGTTTTTACCTCTAGAGATCTAGCCCTTTCAACACTACATCATGATCTCCAAGCAAATAATCTTCTACTACATCATCTAAGCAAAGTCCACGCCCTTTTTGACGGCTCCGGTTGAAGTCGGTGACGGCGCGGTTACCGGTGGAGAAGAGGCCTAAACGTTGAAGAAACATCAACAAAGATGTTTGGACTGAGATGAAAGGAGAAGCGGAAAAGAAAGGATCGTGTGGAGGAAAAAAGTTCTTTAACTATTTTTAAAGATGTTGTACTAGTGAGACTCAGGGGCTGACAGGACCACGACAGTGCCGGCGCTTAGTTATTAGTAGATAAGTACTCGCTTGACAACATTGGCTTTCCTTCTTTCGGTTTTTGTTTTTGTCTAGTTAGGTCTGCTCCACCTTCAACATCAGAGAAATTCGAAGAACACACACAGAAGAGACGCAGGGAAGTCGTCGGTCCAGTTCGAATCGACTAACGTCACTCATCAGGTCTGCTCCACCACAACTATTAAAGATGTGCTAGCTCTTGTCACGGGTCGTACTATTACTAGAAGATGAAGGACTTAATAGGTTAGCGTGGTCACGAGAAGGGTTTACGGGACACAGACGGGGGAGGAAGATGTTGGAGGGAGTGGCGTGAGTCTGAACGCGGTTCTTTCTAGCTTGATCCCAAGGATAAACATAATAAAGCACCCTAGTTTATATGTGTACTATGAGGATGACCTACCAAAACCTAATTGCTTAACATGCATACAGAATCCGATCAGAAAAGAGTTGTTCTCTTCAACTTCATACCATAAAAGTTTTGACCATGATAGATGTTTACCCCTTGATCTTGAACTTGATGTATGATACAACAATGAAAAGACTTGCGAAACAAGAATGCAATATGCGCACCTAGTACTGTACTGACGTGCAACCTCGTTGTACTGACGTACCTCGTTGTACTTCTGACGTACTTGGTACTTACGTAGTACGTCGTTGCACTTCTGGTGACATACCTCGTTCTTGTACTTCTCCTGACGTACCTAGTACTGACGTATTTATTGCGCACGACGTAGCACCTAGCACTTATCCACGTGAGAAGGACGTAAGTAGCAACTATTCAGTTGAGGCGGACGGGTGACGTATTATGAACCTATCTGACGTAGTACTCGTACTAGATCATCTACAGAAAAATGAATATTATTGTAAAGCTGTGCATAAGCATAATGAGCTGTAAATGTCCCTGAATGGATATTGAACAGGTATTAGTAGAGGAGTGATCATAACAGATTATTATCATCATAACCAAAACATGACCATCATACAAGACGTTCATATCATGATCAAATTTAATCATCATTATTCAATTTACTTATTTACAACATTATTAACAACGTACTACTTACTAGACCTCCTGCTCTGGTGTCTGGCACTGACATGAAGATCATCAAATCTAATATTCGCATTCCTATCAATTCGCATTCCTATCAATTGTCATCATAATGATCATACTTACAATGAAACACAGCACTTCAACACCTATGACTCAGTGAACATCAACTACTACAGAACAAACAAACTGTCACGCATTCCTCTGCAGCGCATAAGATCGGTTATGCGGTCCAATAAAGGGGGCGTTATACAACCAAGAGATTGTAGTTGAAGAGAATTAGCGACTGGTAGTCCCTCTGCGGGCGACAATCCTCGGTGGACCAATGTACTTACATTCTTAGAAGTTTACTCCACCGTGTTGGTTCATCATAATTGTTAATAAGTAGATTACCTCGTTCTACTAGGTAGTGCTTCTAATAGTGCTATCTACTAGCAGAGGACAAAAAATCGTCGATGAACAAGAGGCGAAAGAACATCGATGAATGGAGACAAATGATGTAAAAAGGATGTTGCCAAACTGAACCTGTAATGCTAGCCCAAGAACCTAAGTTCCGACTGTTAGCCAAAGAAACTTGGAATTCAGGAACCTGTGTTCGAAACGGTATACAACGGGTTTCCGCTTCTGTTTTCTCACCTGTTGTATCTCTACATCAACTCATCAATTCATGGAAGGCAGGTTCAGAAGATCAAAGGAGTAGTACGTTCAGAACATCTTCAGGGGATCTAGGTTATCATCGAAGAGAAGTACTTGGGTAAAACAAAAACGTTATACGAGAGAGCCATCAAGTTGACAGGTCGTATACGAGAGAGCCTGCCGTGAACGTCGTTGACAACATTCGCGAAGAGAATACAAAACCCGTCGTGGTTAAAAAACTGTAACTGAGCACTTGGGTCTGAATAATACGAATATTACGTGAGAGACCACATATACAAGTCATGACTTTGTCTCACGGTGGTTCGCACAGCGCTACTAGGGCGTTGCTGTCCTCGAAGAAGATTGCGGTGTTATCCTTATGGCAAATTTTTTTTTTGATTTTGCCCTAGACGAATTGTGCTTACTTCCTTGCCTCTATCGATCCCGTCCAATTCCCCGTCGCTTCGCCTTGTCCCTTGCCTCACTCCTCCCCTCGCCTTTCCCTCCCCTGCCTTCTCCTCCTCCTCCTCCTGCTCTCTCTAATCACTCTCCTCGCAACACCTTTCGCGGTTCCGCACTTGGTAGTGTCTGCCCTGACTCCTGATGAAGGTGAAGTTGCTGTCGCAAAGATGGCTAAGGATAAGACAGAGATGACCAAAGGCTGGCGAGAATTTCTCACAAAGTGGTCACGTCCAGAGTATGCGGAAGCGGTTTCTTTGGTACTGATGATGTCATGTTAGTCGATTCGGATTGGACCTGCGACTTCCCTGAATCTCTTTCGAGTTCTACGGATTTCTCTGATGTCGAAGCTGTGAGGGTGAGCCGCTGTCTCTGCGCTCAGTGCTGCTGTATCATTTTCAACCATAGCAGTAGGCACCGCACTCATTCGCAACTGCTACGGTCTCTTGTTTATCATGTTCCGTTGTACGTACTTTATGAGGCCTAGTAGTTCCGAATCCGAAGAATCCGAATTTAGCAAATACGGGATCATACTTGTGATTCCGTCCTCTATTAAAAGGAGAGTATTTCAGTACACACAAAACGACCTCCTTCGAGAATCAACAACACCCAAATCCTTGTCTTCACACTCCCAGCACTCCCAGAACGTTTTCATCCCTAAAGCGGGTGCGGAGGCCTTGTTTGAGGAGAAGTTTTTGACCTTTCAGAACAACGTTCACAGTGCGCATTTGCGTAATCTGAAAACGCGTGCAGAGTACAAACAAGGAAAGATGCAGACGAACTGGCTGTTCCTGCGAAAAGGGAAGGGTAAGAAGGTTATGGTCCACGTGAAGTAAGACCGCGGTTAGGGTACGTTATCAATGCATCGCTGTTTTTGAAAAGTACTAGAACAAACGAGAAGGCAAAAAAACTCTTCCAGCTTCTAATCCTCAATCTCAATCGAAGAACAGGAACCTACCTCCTTTCGAGTCTCGAGCACGATTCGGTGTAACCAAATTTATGGACTACACCGATGAGGACTTCGAGAAGTACTCCATGGGACTGCGACTCACAGAAAAAGACTACGAAAAAGCGTCGAAGTTGCCACGTTACAAGCCGAGTCGGGAATTGATTAAGTTAGGAAAGGACCACATTTCTACTTTGTTGGTGCTGGAGATGCGGAAGTAAAAAGTGGCCCCCGCATCATGAGAACATCGTGTTTCAGTGTGGTCCGGTGCAGCTGCAAGGTACTTAACTATAATGAAAGATTAATATCCCCCACCACCTTCAACATGCTCTCTTTCTTGTTCGGAAGTCTGAATCTTCTAATCTCCTCTTCCTCTCGTGATTGGCGTGCTGAGGGTGCCGTGACACCAGTGAAGGACCAGGGACACTGCGGATCATGTTGGGCTTTTGCGACGACTGAGACCATTGAGTCGATGGCCTTGGTGCAGGGACTCAGTGAGAAAGCGAACCCGTTCATTGGAGCGCCGCAAGGTATGGCTAGAGGACCACGTGGAGGGGGGTCTCGAATCTTGTTAGAAAGAAAGAAATCTTGCTGATTCGGTTTTTTCGAGTAGATCACGACCATGAGTAGTTCCGACTCGTTTGGAGACCCACATCAAATTTCGAAGAACGAATCACCACAAATAACTTCCTCTCGCAGTTCTCGTCCTCTCTCCTTTATTCATATCCCAACTTGTCTCGTGCGACAAGAGTGCCGTCTCGCCTGATAAGGGATGCAACGGTGGCAGCCCGATGAGTGCTCTCGAATACTACAAAACGAAAGGTTTGGAAGCGGAAAAAGACTTCCCTTACACAAGCGGGGGCACCGGTGAAGATTTATGGGGGGATGAAATGAAGAGTAACTTTATAATGGAGCAGATGCTACAACAAAAGGAGCAATATTTACCCATTTGTTCATCTCTATCTGTGAAGGAAAAAGTATGTCTATGATACATCAAGGACCACGAAGTTCCATCCTCTTCTTCTAAAACTTGGAGTCTGCAAATATGATCGATCGCTAGCGAAATACAACGTGGACGAAGACCATCTGGTCGCCATGTGGGGACTCGGAGAGGATGATATGGTACTGCGAGAAAACTAAAGAATACCCTAAAAATTATTCTTGTGATTTTCAGAACAAAGCGATGTTACGTTTCGAACCACACACCTGCCACAGCTTCCCACAAAAACTACCCACGAGTATTTAGATTCTCTCTTCTACAAACAGGTTTCTGCTACTTTATCGGAGGGTCCTCTGTCCATCGCTGTCTACGCCATGCCTTGGAAGACCTATACTGGTGGAATTATGACCCCTTCTCAGTGCGGCGATGAGGATGTGGACCATGCTTATGGCTCACGAGAGAGACCAGCAAGAATAATGCAGAATTACAAAGTAGAGCAAAGTCAGTACTGTTGACCGATACCCTTGATACTACTAGAAAATTTACCTTGTACTACAGAGAAAGAAACAAAAAAATACTTTTTTACTTTTCTATTGCTGTACAAGTGCGGGAACGCAATTACCTTAACCAATGTGAAAGTAAAACAGGATCTAGAACATGATGATGATTATAGTTCATCAGGTTCGCTAGAGCTAGTTGTAATTGCTTAGTTTTCGAAAACTCAAAATAACCGAGTTACTGACTGAAATAAGGGGCGTAGCTTCACATCAGGGCTACTCTTCCTTCTCATCAGTATCTCGGTTATTCTCGTCGGTTACTCGCTTATTTTAGTTTTTCGAGCCGAGTCCTTACCTTTTCATTACTTTTACGTTTACCAATGTGGGTTAAAAAACTACTGAAAGACACTAGTACCTTGTTTACGAGAAATGTGACTTCTCAGAAGTCTCCATTTGCCTCCGCTAACCCCGAGTCCAAGCCGTTGGGGTCGACAAGGATCAGGGTTACTGGGTAGTGCGAAATTCCTGGAATAGTGACTGGGGTGAGGATGGCTTCATCCGATTGAGCTTGATGGAGAACACTTGTTCCTTGGCGTCGCTGGCACTGCAGGCGACGGTGAGGAAAGCTAGAGGATGACATGACTCTGGCTAGGAAGAGAAAGGAGATGTCAGGTGGAAAGTGTGGGTTAAGACGAACGACACAGTGGTTACAACATGGCGCATGGACATGGATGAGAAATACTATGATCGTGATGCAGTCTTGGCTGTCGTGTAAGTACATCACTTCTACATACTTTACTACGCTAGCATGTAGTGTGACTGCTTGTAGGACAAAAATTTTGAAGATACAAGCATCATAGCATCGTCATCAAGAAAATGCTTGATTTAGACACAGGTTTTGGCATAATTAGTATTTTTACTTCACCGCATAGATGTTGACATTCATTTTGCTCTCAATTGAATCCTTGTGTACAAAAAGAAGTGGCACCTTGCTGAAGGTGATTCTCTTTTGATCAAAGACAAGATTTTTACCGCTCTACATACTACAGAGAGAACAAGATCTTGAAGACGCATGTCAATTTATTTTACCGCTCTACATACTACAGAGAGAACAAGATCTTGAAGAGCCGTAGATGAAGAACTTGCATCCTCTGCACTCACCACAAACCCAAACGGGTACTTTATACTTGGTCTGCTTAGATGAAGGTCTATCTGTGTCGATAGAGAGTTGCGGAAATATCTGTCAAGAGAGATACAGTTGATGTTGAGATGGCAAAAAGTAAGAACAATCTGTACCATTTGAGGGATTTTTGGTGAGAAGATGATCTGCATCCTCTGTAGTGGAGAGAAGAGAGCTGCCGAGAACTATGATGAAATTGGATTTTTTTTTGAAGATTTTGAAACTCTGTGCGAGCCACGACCTTGGTCTGTCATGCGGAGCGTTACATAAATATCCTATTCAAGACTGATTTTTGCTTGAGAGAACCTCCCGATTCATTCCCGGAAAGTTGTATGTGGTCTACTACAACACATCGATTGCAAACCTTTCATCCATCACATCAATGATCTCCAGGATTCGTTCTTACTATAAATTCGAAGAAGTCCATCTCTTCCAGGTCAACAGTTCCTTTACCAACAGTCACATTCATAGGATTCTTCTACTCAGTTCTCCAAGAACCAAGAGTCGACAGGAATCGACAGCTCTTCTTCGATAGCCGTACGAGCGTTCTACTTCGAAGTCAGTAGCTTTTTTGCTTTGTCCCAAAAAACAAACAAAATGGGCAACACTTGCTGTTCTTGCATGGATAGCAGAGAGGGTCGTGCAGAACCGCTTCCGGTACAAGCCTCTAATGGTCCTCGGGCATTGCGCGCTGAGGGGTCAGCTGGTGGTTACTTGGCCGTGAGTAAAGAAAGCAATATCGGGACTAAGGGTCCTCTCGGTGTTGACAAGTCCATCGTCGGAGGGGGTAGTTTTTTCGTTGGGGCTGGAGGAGGCGTGTCCCAGAAGTTGAAGGACATTGGAACTAAGAATCCGGCTGCTGTTTTTGAGGTACTTACTTATATACTAGAAAGACAGCTATTCTTCTATGCGAAATGATACTTATAATTGATGATGTAAAACTACTTCTACTCGGCAACCTGCCTAAGTAGATTTCCCTGACGAATTCTCTCCGCTTATTACTAGCGGCACTTCTTTTGACAAGATGGAACTTTTGCAACATTCAATCACATCATTACAGTCTACTTCTTACTACAGTTTACCGTTCCCTTTTTAATAGACTACTTCAAGAGTGATCTTCAACCTGTTGACATAACACATAGCTCCTCGACAGTGGCCTATAACAAGAGGCATCTTCAACCTGTCGACAGCACCTTCAAAAAGTGAGATAATATGTTAATGAAAACATCATCGTCACATCAGGTCCTCGACAACTTCCTCGAAAAGCTGGATATCAAGTTCAATGAGTTGTCGAACGAGGCCTTGTCTATGGTGAAACGTCGTAACTTGGAGACACAGGCCATGACCATGTTCGGAGAAATGGAATTGATCCTCAACCACATGGCTGGATTGGCTGGTGCTGCCCAGGGCCAATTCTGGAAGTCTGGTGAAGGAAAGCAGGCTGTTGCCACTATCCAGAAATGCTGCAAGCAGATCAACTTGCAGGTGGCTTCCAACCAAACCGATGAGCGCCGATCCCGCGTGCTGAAGGCGTTGGAGAATACCAAGAGTATTGGGGATAAGTACTAAGGAGTTTGGTCATGATGATCGTTGGACCAGCTAAGGACGAGTTTGGTCATGATGATCGTTGGACCAGTAGTGCTGTATTTGGGATGGTTTCAGGACTAGCAGCAAGCTGGAAAGAAGACCATGATCGTTGGACCAGTAGTGCTGTATTTGGGATGGTTTCAGGACTAGCAGCAAGCTGGAAGGAACGTTTAAATTGCCACGTTTTCTATCCTATAATGGTTGTCGAGGTCTGGAGGAAAAGCTGCAGCGAAAAATTATTTTTGACATTCAATTTCAATGTGAATACTAGACTTTGAGTCAGAAAATGTAGTAACAAGAAAACATGAACGATGGTAACAGGGACAACAGCCTGCAAGAAAACATGGATGTTAGAGGTAACAAGTAGATTGATGGGAAAAGAAATAACTAGAGCCTGTGTGCTGCTCATAATATTTATTTATTACGATTATTCAGGAAAAGGTCACAGCAAGTAATTACGATGTTTTGAAAACGAATTAAGTCTTCATGAGTTGGTGCTCGTGATTGCATAAGATACTAGCATGCTCATGTACCTGAAGAAGCTGATGTACAGAGATAGTTCTAGTATTAGCATTGGAGGAATATTCATGTTTGAATATTGTTGAGGAGCCAAGATCAAGAATGTACTTAGGTGCACCGGTCCAGACAGCTTGTTAATATTCGAAATTGTTGTATTTGGCCAGATGATACGAGAGAAGACTGGTTTTTTGGGTAGTAGAAATAGATTCCAAAGTAGAGAAAGAAGTACGTCGAAGTAGATGATGTGTACTGATTGGAAAAAGTGAGGTCACTGGCAGTGTTGTATTGCTCATTTCATGTGACTTGTATCGGGTTGTAGAGGTCTAATGATCAACACAGGTGGACATCCACGCGTAGACCTTTAAAAATCTGGAACATGTAATGAAACAAGTGAACTTTGCATTTTTATCGTCTTCACGCTATACAACAGTCAAGAACGTCGCAGGTCGTGACGAACTCTCTGGTGCGCGGAGCATCCGGCGAGACGCGGTAACGATGGAAGCACCAGAGATTAATAGGCGAGGTCGGAAAAGCCACTGCCAGTCAGAGTGGAGCAACGGTTGAGTGATCTACAGAGTGTGAATTCCTTACAAGTGACCCGAACCGTAGTAGTTTCCCGACCTGACCCATGTGAACGTGTCCCTCTCCCTACAAATTAATATGTGAGCGCCCCAACGTGTTTTTTGTTTTGCCACAGATTCTTCTAGTAGTGTAAAGTAGCTGCAGGGAAGGAAATTATGAAAATGGACGATCAAAAAGGATCTAGTAGAATCTGGTAGAAGCAGCGGATTCCACACGGAAGCCACAATGTCCTCTTCACCGAGCGCTACGACCACGTGGGAAGGGGTTAGCTCCTCAGTGTCATTGGCTGATGTCGATGCGGAGATTGAAGAGGAGAATCTCCCAGGTAAACAGAGCAGAGTTGATCCTGGCGATCACGAAGAAAATGTGGTGAAGAGGGATGCACCATTCGACAAGACTGACGATGATGAAGAGGCAAGAAGCGAGAGCGGACGAACAACTACCTCCAGTTCTTCAACACTCGTCCTAGCGCCGCGGATAGCGCTTGGCCTGGTATGGGTATTAGGCGGAATGAACACTCTGTCTCACAGCTTTTTGATTCTGGCAGATCATGAACAAGGTGAAGAGCCGCATCAGAAGTACTTGTCGCTTGCGACGCAGTACGCTTTGGGTGAAAATCAAGGCGGAGACAACGGTGACGGAAATGAAGTCGCTTCGTTCCTTCACCTTCATGGCATCACTGCTTTCGGAACTGCATGGTTCCTAGGTTTTTTGCTTGGTATGATGGCTATCACGCCTTTAGCGGACAGATTTGGCCGTAGAGAGCCGTTTCTGTGGTGCGCGAGTGTGCAATTAGTGGCAGCGGGGGTTCTGCCAGTGATAGGATACTGCTACGACCCCGCAGGAGGTGGAGGCTCTCAAAACTACGAGGACCAAAGCCAGAATTAAGGGTACACCTTTAAGTTGCTTTTCTTACCGCTTTTTATGCCTCTCTCAACCCTAAGGGAGATGAGAAAGGCATAAAAAGCGGGGTAAGCAAGCACCAAAAGCCTACCTCTAACAGAAGCAGAACACCTCCATCGACATCGACACGAAGTTCACAGTCCTCTTCTCCATGATTCTTCTCTCTCGCGCCATCGTGGGTGCAACAAACGGCGCGATAGGTATGATGGCTCACCTGCTAGTCATGGAAAGTTGTAGTACCAAAAACCGGCACTCGTATGGGATGACTTTGCACTTGGCATTTGGCCTTGGTGTGGTTTTCGTGTCTGGGTTGTTTTATTGGCTGAGAAACGACTGGAGACAAGCGGCGGCGGGGCTGGTGGGTCTTAGCGTCGCTGTATACCTGCTGGCTGCGGTCACGGTTCGGGAGAGTCCGAGGTTCTTGATGGTAAAACAAGCAGCAGTCTTCGATCTTCGAATCTTAGCTAAAAACTCGTCTCGTAAGACCCTGAAGCCCAAGCATAAAGTACCTGGTGGCAAAGAAATAGCGTTTTCTCCGGTACCGGCATGTGGAGGTACGCCGGAAGCCGCTTTCGCAGGGACTACATCGACGTGTGATCTCGATTTGGTTGATGTTATTAAAGAAAAGAAAGAATCTAGTGGTTGTGGGCAAGAGAAAGTTTCGAGTCCAAAGAACAGAGCATTTGCAGTATCCGAGCCGGATCAGATGAAGCGAAGTCATCTTCGCGTTTTGTGCTTATTCTGGTTCTGTGTGAATCTGCTTTACTACGGTTTGAGTTTCAGTGTTGAGCAGTTAGTGACGATCTCTCCTGCAGGTGAGGACGCTGCGAGTTCCAGGTCCAGTATAGAAGAGCAAGGACCAAGGAAATTACCATCCTCTCGACCTACACCAGGACAGCGAGGAGACGTAGCCGACATCTACATCTTATCCGCGTTGCTTGGTTCCGTGGAGTTCCCAGCGATTTATCTGGTCGCAAAGAGTATGAACTCCGTAAGATTTGGCAGGCGTCTGAGTTCTGTGCTCTTCTGGCTAGTGGCGGGTCTTGCTTGTCTGGCGAGTAGTGCGTTCTTGACGAATGAGGACCTCCTAGTTGTACCCAGTGCAAGTAGGGCGTTAGTGTTGATGAAACACAGACAGCTAGGGAAAAACACTGAATTAGCAGGGACGATTACAGCAGAGGATCAAGGTGGACACTCAAGCTCTTCAGGTTCAGCAGAGGAAACCTTTACTCTTTATTCGCTTTGGGGCTGCCTTCTTATCGGCAAGATGTGCATGACGGCTCAGTTTGCACTACTCTACGTTTGGGGGAGTGAAGTTTTTCACACCTCTCACCGAAGTACAGCGATGGCGTGGCAGAGCGCCTCAGCGAGAGTTTCGGGAGTCTGCCTACACCCCTTATTGTCGCTGCTGGATTTAAGCGGCACAATGGTGTTGTTTTTATGAAACAGGTTGTCGTATGGCTGTTACTGCTTCAAAAGACAGAAGATTGAAGTTCATGTTAATTTAGTTCTAGAAGTTGTAAGAAAATAAAGATGCACCGACCACTTCTAACCTTCGCCGCTGCGGGTTTGGTGTGCAGTATGCTTTGTGCACTCAGGGTCTTGCCTGAAACGCGAGGAAAGGCTTTAGACGAGACACTAGTAGAACATGACAAAGAGATGTCACCATTGAAAGTTGTACATCGCACACGCAACAAGTCAAAACCTTTGGAACAAGAGCCTGAGTAAAACAAAAATAGTTTTCCATTTGCCGAACTAGGCAAAATGGACACACCACATGTCGTCATTATTTAAGGAACCTCAACTTTCTTCAGACTAGGAAAGGGATGTGATCGCAGCTCTCTACAAGATGCCAACTACTGGTGAGACAGATGCAGAGAGGACTCAGAGAGCTAGCTGCAACACAGAGAGACATCAGAGAGCATCCCTTGAGTGCCGAGAGAGGATGAATACCCGGAGCGTAACAAACTAGAAGGCATCCCCTGTTCCTTTGCGCGGAAGCTAGTCGCATCTAAAATATCTGCTCCACACCATAATCCGGAACCTAGTCGCATCTAAAATATCTACTCCAACACACCACCTCTTGCTCAGTTCCATGTGATTAAAAACATGAACTCATGTCAAATGACGAACAACCAAAGCTTAACGTTGTGGAGAAGGAGTATGGAGTTTTCTTTGATGCCCTGTTCCTTTGCGCAACAATTCCTTTAGATTCTAAGAAACATCTTCACTGGTCTCCATTACAAGGAAAATGCCATCTTCGTCCCCTCGTTTGGGCAATGGCGGGCCCTCTACCCGCCATCGCACTCCAACGACTGTCTACATCCTGACAGCGGGGCGATCCCCAGCTTTAGGCCCATTCTGCACAAACTACAACAAAAGCCTTTTGCCTGTAGGTGGCAAAGCTGTGCTGAGTCTCCTCATCCGGTTGTTTCCGCAAGACCGATGGACCAAATTCGTGATCGCGACCGGTTTCGAGGCACAGAAAGTGAAGGACTACGTCCACTGCGCGCACCCGAACATCGACGTAACTTTCGTTGATGTGCCGAACTATGATGGGCCAGGTAGTGGGCCAGGCGCGTCGCTGTTAGCCTGTAAAAACGCAGCTGTTGCGACTGCTGGTGAGACGTCGCCGTTCTACATCGTGGTCGGGGATTTGTTCATCTCGAATGTCAAGGAAGACGGCATGGCTACCGCCTCTTGGTCAGTGATGCAGCCTTCTGACCTGTTCCCAGGAGGACCAGGGGCGAGGGATGGAGTTATGCTATCTTCGAGGTGATAGCGCTCACTACATGCTACTTCGAGGTGATAGGTTATCCTACGCTGTCATATCGAATCTTTGAACGTGAACTATTTAAGTGGTCCACAGAACAAACAAACCCACCTTTTTATCAAGGCACATCATGATTCCCTTCTGGAAAATTGTCCGCTCATCTTCATTTTTCCCTTCTAACGCCCCAACCGTCGGCGCTCGTCCTTCTGGCCATCGAAAACGAGTCCCTGCCAACAGCTGCAATTGGGTTGCGACGCAGTTTGTCAGCCCATTTGGAAGTGACAAGTATTGCAATTTCGCTCTTGGCGAGAAAGGGTCCGTCTTGCAGGTGAAAAACAGACAAATCTACGTATGGAAGGGAGGATGACTTTGTGTAGAGTGCGCACTTTTCTACTTTCCCAGCAGCACACCTCATTATATTCGCTTCTCTAACCCCCGGAAGTTACCAAGATGCCTCATGGATTGGTCTAGCATATGTGCAGAATGCAGACGCATTTTGGGTTGGACTCGAAACAGAGGTTGCGCGGAAGCTAGAACTAGCGCAAAACGCGGCTCCAGGGGTCAAAGGTATTTTTAGACCTCCTATGCTGGTGAGTTTTCTTACTACACAGTTTTCTATGCTGAATACATAGTTAATATTGGTGTAGGGAATCAATTCATCTCCAAAGTCATCTGGAAGAGAAAGACAAGAGCAAAAAGGGACCCAGATGATCCCTGGGATGAATTCCCGATACCTCTAACATAGCCTCATGGTCTCACCTACTTTTAAGGCTAGAAGAAATCCATCCTCACAGGCATCTTGGTCCCGTTTCTCAAGGGAAAAAAGACGGAAGATGCCGCTGAAGATGGATTTCTTCTAGCTCTAACACTTCTCCCCTATCGAAGACGATTTCGCTCACATTCATCTCACCTACGTCTCCCCTATCGAAGACGATTTCGCTCACATTCATCTCACCTACTTCTCCCCCATCGAAGACGATTTCGCTCACCTGATCAAAAGCCATCTCCACGCACAATTCAAAACCAGTTCCGCCCTCCGAAATCGTCGCCGGCTTCGAGTATATGCTCGAAAGCGGCTACGACCTGAAAGCTAGACAGTATCGCTCGTGGGTTGATATTGGGTCACCGGGAGAGTACCTTGACCTGGTGAAAGAGCACCTAGGCGCTGGCTTCGACTACGGCAAGACGGGGGAACATCTCTATTTCTGCGGAGGCAGGGTCATCAAGTTCTTCGAGGATGCCGAAATCACAGCACAACGCGTTGCTCGCTGCCAGATGGTGCCTGGCGTTTTTCCGAACGTGGACCGATTTCAAGGGAACTTTTATTCGTACAAGTTCATCGATGGAGAGGTTTTGTATAGGAAATGCGACGATCACGTTTTTCAGATGCTGTTGGAGTTTCTGGAGACGAAGGTGTGGCCAGGACCACCAAGTCGTGAGGGAAGTACTAGTCACTCAGACGAGCAAGAAGATGAGCAAGAGTTTGAGGCCGCTTGTTTCCGTTTTTACGTCGAGAAAACGAGGAAGCGAGTAGCCGCTTACCTGGCGAAGTATCCAGATCGCACAGCCCTGGACCATGCGGATCGTGTTGCGAGGATTAACGGCGTGCAGGTAGAGGGAATACAGAAGCTGATTGACGAGCGCGTAGACTGGAATCACTTGCTCAAAGAGAGGAAAGTTATGAATCTTTGATTGGAATCACTTGCTCAAAGAGAGGAAAGTTATGAATCTTTGAGAAGTGCAACGATTTAAAACAGGTTAACAAAGAATAAAAGCCAAACAGTCGCCTAAAGGGTGACCTGAAAAATATCCGAGTTGTTACTGTTGACTGAAATATGGGAGGAAGTAGCTTAACGCCAAGACTATAAGTTTCGGTTATTCTGATGATCAGTTACTTGCTTATTTCAGTTTTTTACTTAAAGTATTAAAAGAAGTGCTACAACCAAATCGACCAAAATCAGAGCTTCTGTTCTTCATCTTGATCTTTTTGAACTTGTAGTAAAAAGTTCTCCCAAGAACATGATCCAGCTCATCCACCGCTCTAATCTCCCTTGTTTCTTTCACGGCGACTTACAGTTCGACAATATCCTGTACAACGACGGGCAAGACTTAGGTGGTGACGACGAAGATGATGGGTCTGACTCTCCCAGTGCCGCAGGTCCTACTAGTGTTGGCATTCCCTCAACATACGCTGCCGGAACGGATGAGTGCAAATCTGACTCGGCTATGGAAGGATGTGATTTCAGTGTCCTCTACTACTTCATCATTTTGAATTTGATTTTTCTATTATGCTAACAAGAATGAACACCCCACAGGAGACACAGTCACAACCTCGCTACCTCTCTAACCACATCACCACCCCCCGCGGCAACGGAGCAACTCCCAGCAGCGACGATTGCCCATTCATTAAGGTCAACATTTAGTGTCCATCTTTCTCGGCAACATTTAGTGTCCCCTTTTCCCGTGTACTATTCCTATGAAATGAGACATTTTCCCTTGTATTATTCCTATGAAATGAGACATTTTCCTTTGTATTATTCCTATGAAATGAGGCATTTTCCCTTGTATTATTCCTATGAAATGAGACAAGGGTAGTACTAAAGGGGTCAAGATGAGGGGGCTGAGGAGATGCAAAAGACTCTAAACTCGCGCTGATCGACTGGAGAAACGAGTTTGGTGGCAGTCAGACTAAGGGAGATATCTACTACGACTTGGCGAAGTTGCATGCAGGCTTGCTGTTGAATCACGACTTGATCAAAGAAAACCATTTCACTTATGCAGAACCGTCGAAAAAGAGTGTGCGGAAAGCGGATAGTCCGGATGGCGTAGTTTTTTTTTTGAGCATTTTCTTGACATTTTTGCCAACAAGAACCATCGATCCTAGTACACATATGTTCGATTTCATTTACGATCATACAAATATTCCTCTTCAAGTATTTACGACATAAAACAACTGCACTACCTCGCGCTAGGCACATTCATTCATTCAGATTTTCGATTTCATTTACGATCATACGAATATTCCTCTTCAAGTATTCTTCCTAGACGACCTAGTCCGCCCATCTACTTCCAGGATCAAGTCATCGGCGATATCCGTCTAGATTGGCATGCCAGACAGACATGTGCTACGCGCTATACGAGACAACTTCGCGAGTATGTGGAACGGAAGGGTTTAAGCTGGCGGAAAGTCGATCTTCTAACCTCCATCGTGTACCTGAACATGTCGCCTTTACACAACAATCCTTACGACAAGTTTTTGATGGCGCTAGCCAGGTTGCGGATCCATGACAGTCTAGCGGCGTAGAAAGAGGGGTCTGTGGAAGACAGAGACACATCAAATAGGGGGCGACAAAATGATGTCCAGTCTAGCGGCGTAGAAAGAGGGGTCTGTGGAAGACAGAGACACATCAAATATGAAAATGATGTCCGGACTTTGCCTAGTATCTGTATAATAGGCAGTTGATCTTTCGCGCGATCGAAATAAAGAAGATCTCTTGAATCCTAAATGATAGGCAAGGGGGCGACAAAATGATGTCCGGACTTTGCCTATCTGTATTTGTATAAAGCAATTTAAGCCAATAGATACAAACAACCATGTAGAATTTATGTAGAATTTTTGTAGTCGTGCTGACTTCTTAATTGAATGCTGATGTAGTAGCCAAACGGTAAACATTCTCAAAGAGATTTACGTCAGCTGGGAAAAACACAAGAGTTTGTATACAAGAGTAAACACAAGAGATGTGGTCACTGACGTCGAACAGAATGTTCTTGTAGATGATCATGAGGATGATTATCTGATTATGAGGATCTCGCTGTCTTGATCTCATGGATCTCATGGATCTCGAACTCACTACTTACGTACTTATAGACTATTCTGCGAGCAGTCAGGAGAAAAATGGAGGTGCCTGCTGTGCTGTTACTCTGACGTTGGTCTTGCCGCGCCATGAGGATGGGTTCTGGCGCTCTGGCAGTGCACGGTACTGCTGAGCGGATGCTTTGCAGAAGGAGCAAAACCTCACACCCACCACGATCAAGAGCAGAGCCGAAAAGCATCAGGGCGAGGTCTTTGCGGTACTAATCAGAGCCGACGAGCCATTTTTACCGGCAATGTTGCGTGGTGTTTCCGGTACTAGAAGAGCACTAGTCCTCCTGCAGGGCTTGGTCTGCTCTTTCCACCTGACACGGCCGGCAGAAGGGACTGCAGTCCCTCTGCCCCAAATCGTTGCTCAATGCTCTTGTCGAGAATACGAGGAAGGTTGGAACGCCAGGACTGCAAAGTGTCAAGTCGGATCTGACACCGACTGTATCGAATGCCCATGGCAAGAGGCAGATAGGTACCGTTGCGCCTCAACTTACGGCTTCCACTAATCCATCATTAATAGAAGCATCTCCTCAGCAGGCCTCCTGTTCCATAAAAAGGGGAAAACAAGGCGTTCCGTCAAGATGCGTCCCAAGTAGATGGATTCTCTAGTCAAGCTCTAGTCAAGCACCGTGTTCGCAGGAAGCGGGGTGCGAGGCTTTTCGGGAGACTGTGTTGGAGAGCCAGGGTCTTGTCCAAACTTACGGTTGGCGTCGTTCGGAAACCCAACCAAGCTGGCGTGGGACAGGCATACAGGGAATATATTCGTGGCAGACAGTACCAACAATCGGATACGTTTGATTCAAGGTTTGGGATTGGAAGACGCGAATGCGACGAGCGGCTATAGTTCAGCTTCGGGTAGGAAGATAAACTTGCTAGAAACTACCGCGGCCTAGATTGTCATCACGACTTTGTGATTCGATTTTCATGTACTAGTAGCTAATCTGATGTATATTGACTACTGACACTTGTTGTAGTTCCCTCAATGTAGTTGACTGAAACTTTTACGACCACCCACACACCACCTCCACATCAACAGTGACTGAAACTTTTACCACCCACACACCACCTCCACATCAACAGCCTCCGCCTCCTCAATCCTCGAGACTAGTACTGTGACAACGGTCGTGAACACCGCTGGCTTCTTAGGCTTTACCGGTGACGCGGGGCTGGCCTCAATGGCACAGACTCGATATCCCGAAGGACTGGCGTTGGACCAGAATGGTGCACTGCTCTTTTCGGATTTCCTCAATCAACGAGTCAGAAGAGTCACCTTTCCTGTGAGCTCCATCGCAACGGCGAGTACAGTTCAGTCACCGGCAACAGCGGACTTATACACGACCGCTGCTGTAACTGCGAGCAATGTGTACAAGAGACGCGTGTACGACTACACGAGTGGCGTCATTGAGACAATCGTCGGATCTGGTATTCGCGGCTCCGGTTGCCCAGGTGGTGCGGCAAGTTGTCCCCCTTTGGTCGCTGCGCTCCGATATCCCAGAGGTATCGCTGTGGACAGCGGCAATCGGATCTATATTATGGGAAAACAGGTCCAGCGACGCTTATCAAGCACATAAGTAAAACATCCGGCTCGCTTTCCCACTGAATCTTAGGCTTATCCCTTCATACTATCTGTTAGCATGGAAGAAGGAGGGATAGTGGTCGTGATGGGGAACTCTACACCAAATTTGGAAAAGGTCAAGCTTTTGCTGTCACCGAAGTTACATGGATTTGGACAAGTGGAAGGAAGAAATAGATTTAAACGTGCACTCATAAGTAATTAAAGAAGCTATACCCCGCGATTAGTACTACATCAATCAATCAATAACGCCTCTTCTTTTTTGGAAGGTTGCAGAGCGGTCCACTTTTACTGCACCAATGCCACTCCTCTAAGCCATTAGTGGACAGCGGCAACCATGTAGTTCGCAGAGTATCCGGACCCAGCGCGACGGCTGGAGTATACACGCTTTTTGAGACCTTTGTCGGCGTCGGTCGATCGCCGTTAGTCGGGAGAGAAGGCCTCTCTGCGGTGGGAAGCACGAGTGTTATGCCCTGACTGGTTGCGGTTGATAAGTTGTCGTGGTTGATGCCTGAAGCCGATGAACAATCGTCCACGACTACAAAGTTCCCTGGTTCGAAATCAATGTATGTTCAGACAAAGAGCTAGCTTCTTTCGCAAGTGTTAATATGCTGAGAGTTCATAAAAATGTTCTAGTAGGTAACTTCTAAAAATTTGCATTTATCCTCCTCTAATCTCATCTCCGCAGCAGCCACAGTGTGGCTCACGTCCTCCGGAGGATCCAAGCTGTTGCAGAACACGCAGATGGGCAACTTAGACGTGAGACTAGAGGCGCCGTCCGACATCTTCATTACGGACCGAGACGAGGTGTACCTTGTGGACACCTTTGCGGGAGGCCGAGTTCTGAAGACACGAGCATCATCGGCAGGAACGGGTTTGATAGACTACTTGCTGAATCTGACGCAGCCGAACGTGGTGGGAGGTATGGCTGCCATTTGGCACTGTCCTGAGTTGTCTTTTTTCTTGCCAAGGAGTTTTCTTTGTTTGCCTCTTCATTTTTAAACAGTAGAAGAAGATTGTCTCTAGTACTCCTTCTTACATGCACAACACATGGTAACTTTACCTTGATGTCCCACCACCTGACAGACTCATCTTCAGTAGACGAAACTTATCCATCAAGATTCAACTGTCTAACACCACAAGCGGCCCATCCGTAACCGGCAGTGGTTTTTCCATGGCGAATGATCAGAATGTGAGCACCTTCATAGGCCCATCAGGCGTCCAGGACCTCCTCGAAAGGCCAATCTCCACGTATCAAAGTGACACCTATACTAGTGCTACTAACTTCTATGGAAGTATGTCTTTTACTAGCTCGGCAGGAGCTGGAGTAGCACCGAGCACTGTCAATTATACTACAAACTCCACGACGACCACCACAACGATTGCGCTTTCGTCTGGTACCCTCACTGCATCGCAGGGTGGCGCTTACCCTTCCACGCTGCTTGGGACAACGAAGACTAACGTGGATTCAGGATCGCACTTGAGGTACCAGAAAGGATTTGGTAGATTAGTGGAGCACTATTTGAGCCATTTCCTGTGGCATCGGGACGCGTTGCAACAAGCAATAAATCCAACAGCGAGCGCAGTTACCGCGGCACAGGCGCAGTTGCAGACCTTGCGGGAAGGAGGGAGCCACGAACTCGAGCTAGCAACGAACATGCGAAATCTGTTGGTAGCGGAAGGGGTTTTCACGTCGGTCGCCTACCCAAATGGCCTTCCCTCGGCGAATGTCGTCTCAACAGCGACTGGTGCTGAAGAAGACGACGTACTGGCGGTTGACGAATTCCAGAGTGAGTCGATTCCTTTGGGATACTCAAGATGGGTATTGGGTATGGCTTTACTTGTGAGAAGTTCTACTGTGGACAGTGTCATCAGAGGCACATACATGACATCTCTCCACTTCTAGTTGTACTAGTTTTACTTCGTGAAGATACTCTCTCTTTCTCTCTCTCTCTCTCCTAAGTTGTAAATATATTATTCTCTCCCCCAAAGAAAATGAAAAATAAAAAATACAAATGACCTCCCGGCATCAGCAGCGGACCAGCTTGTGAAATTGCAAGATACATAATGACTTTTTTCTCAAGAAGAGAGAGAGTTTCTTGTGAATTCTAAGGCCAATGATATTATTCTCTCCCCCAAAACCAAAACCAAAACCTCTCATCCCCCGTTCCGCCTCCGCCTCTTCCTATGGAGTGGAGCCGCCTTTTGTGGTGCCAAGTAGTCTCATCCCTAGTGTCGCACGTGGCACACGACTCCTCAAGCAGGCAACCCCTACCCGTGATGCGCGATTGTCTTCGCCAGTCTCGTTTTGCGAAGACACCACGCACACCAAAAGTTTCGTGGTAGAGTACGACTCAGGTAGGGTCTCCGAATGGGACACTGCGAAGAGGACGAAGAGGGGAGATGATTCTGGGAGCAGTGGTGCTGGGAGCAGTGGTGCTGGTAGTAGTGGTGCTGGTAGTAGTGGTGCTGGTAGTGGTGGTGCTGGGAGCAGTGGTGATGGTAGTAGTGGTGCTGCTAGTAGAAGTAGTAATAGTAGTAGTAGTAGCGGGCCTGGGTCTGGGTCTGGAGTAGAAGAGCGCTCATTCGACTATGAGGAGTTGAAGATTGATGCCAGTAGTTCGGGGACTGTCGCGTTATGGTTAACATTTGGTGTCCATCTCTCTCGGCATCGTGGTACCCTTTTGCCCTGTATTATTTGTATGAAATGATACAAGGGTTACCCTTTGAGGGTATGAAATGATACAAGGGTAGTTACCCTTCTTGAAGGGTATGAAATGATACCCGAGGAGATGCATTGTGGCACACGCTAATTGCAGCAGCGCCATTCGTTGGAGCAGAGCTCACTCGGCGGATCAGTATCGTGTTCACAGATGTTGATTACGTATCGAACATTCAAGGCGCTATTGTGGTGAAAACGGCTCCGGCGGGGACGGTGGAGAGAAGTGCTATAGTAGTGCCAACTACGGTTGCAGCGACAGCTACGGCTGCCAGTGCTAGCACTGCAACTATTACCACCAACGCGACTACGAACACGTCAAATAGCACTACTAATGACACAGCAACAACAACTAACTCCACAAACGACACAAACGGGACCTCCAACGCCACGACAACGAGCACCACGACCACGACCACCACGACAACCACCACCACGACGACCACTCTCTCCCTCCCAAACGTCGCTTTTTCGTTTGCTACTGACGGCAATATCACTGCCGCGTTCGCTCCCGCACTTGCTAGTGCTTTAATCTTAAGGGTATAAGTTAAAGGTATTCATCTTGTTACCATTCGTTTTGCCTTTCTGAAGGGTTTTTTTTACCGCCATAACGAACGGGGTATAAAATGAACACCAACAACCTACCTCCAATAATCCCAGCTAACGCGGATTTCTTGCCGGTTCAAGAATTCCTGTACATCTCAAGGGCGCTGACGAAGACAGAGCTGACTGGAAATTTTGGAAATTTTACGGGTCAGAGTGGAGTTACTGGAGTTACTGTACCTGGTGAATATACCCAAGTATTGGACGAGGAATTGTTTCCAGCAACGCCCGTGCCGGAAAGTGGGTCGAGAAGTGTGCATGGAGCGGTCCTTCCCCTCTCACGAATCGTCGGCGGATTCGATGGTGTCTATTTCCCCACTGTTGTGAAGCCAGTGCCAAATAGCACAACTGTTGGGACCACCTCGTCCAGACGTCCACGCCTGCAAACGATTTCCGACGCGACTTTGCGCAGTCTCATGAACTACACTGCTTTCGGAAACAAGTATGACCTAGACTTGTGGATGAACACGACTGCGAACTCTACGGCTCGATCGCTGATCATCGACCGAATCGAAGCTGTGGATTTGCCCAGTGGTGCTAGTACCACACCAGCTTCGTTCAGAATATTGCGGGAAGAGTGCAAGAAAAGGTGCGATTCTAGAGCGGACTGTAAGGGCATTACAGAGCACTTGCTGTCTCCACAATCGATCACCACTTCCTTAACCCCAGCTCAGAAAAACAGCAATATGTGTGTGCTACTCGGGAGTACCTTGCCTTTTTTCGCGTACAATGTGGAGAACCGGACGCTTGGAACTTGGGTTAGTGATCCTGTGTCGCCGTTGCCGAATGTCTTCCAATTTGCAACTTCAAATACCGACTTGCGCACCAGCGCTTTCATCACGGAGACACCTACCTTGAACCAGACGTCGCATCTACATTGTGGTACGAAGTACCGACCATTGTCTAGGTCCGCTTTTGGTAGTAGTTCCGCGAGATTACCTGTCCTCGGGACGTCAGAAGCCCCACTACAGGACGAAACCAGTGGGGCCTGTGGATTTGACCTAGACGCGTGTAAGCAGCTCTGCTTGGCAGAGAGTACTTGCAAAGCAGTCGCTTTCCCTGGGTGCTTTTTGATGAATGAGACGCAAGTTTCGGCAGAAGCTGCGCATGATGCCACTGGCAGGACTGGAGGTGACTCTACTGGTGACATTTCGATGCGGTTGACGACTCATTTAAGGTCCGCTCGCGATCAAAAGGGACGTTTCAGCAGAGTAGGCGAGACGGCAAAAGCTCAAAGACATCCGGATCAGTCTAACGCGTTTAGCGGGCCAGCGAGCTGTGCGGCAGGGACTAATAGTATCATAGTGTCGGACACTAGAGGACAGCAATTGCGTGCATTTGAGAATTTCGTTCAGAACTGCGGAAATTTGACATCACAGTTCTCCCCTGCGGCGCTTCAAGCCTGGGTTGACGCGATATCTGTGGTGAAGGACAGGTGTACAGCGGTGGAAGCTTCAGGGGCGTTGAAGTTAAGGTTCAGGATGCGCATGCCTTACTTTCTTCATGTAGTCGGTGGTTGTAGATCCATCTAAGTAAGTACTTAGAAGAAACCCACTGCGTCTTCAATTCCAAGCTCTAATACCAACAGCCGCCAAAAGCCAGTCACCTGCGAGCAACCTAGCACTGATCCCATCTGGTGAGGACTTTCATAAGGGTCAAACAGCCGCAGTCGGAATTCTCAGAGATGCGACGATGTTGCACAGGAACTTCTGCAAGCAACCTCTGGTCTCAAACACCCTAGAAAACGCGGCTTTGGCAGCAACTGAGACGGCGTCGATGACAGTTATGTTGATGGTGTAGTTCTTAATTCAATCATCTTGGCGTGATGAGTGGTGTGATGCGGCGCTGAAAAATGCTCGCCGCTGGTTTTTGCTCTATTATGAAATGAATTTCTCTGAGTCAACATCGGCCCTCGACGTCTAACGGCAGCGGGAACCTCGAGCTGGGTTTGTTTTGCGAATTGTGCACCAATTTGAGGCAGACTCCAGACCTTCTGCCAGTCGCGGATACCATTCACGTGCCGATCACCGAAGAAGACCACTTCGTCGTCCAAGTGGATCCGACAACTGGCAAGCGAGTACGAAAGTTTGTCAACGTTTTAGAGCTGTTGTATAACGCAACAGCCGCGTCCACTACGACTGTTATTTCGAGATCCTTTGCCGGTGGAAGTGGTCCTGCCGCACCGTTCATTCAGAATTATGGTGGTCAGCTTAACATTTAGTGTCCATCATTCTCGGCATCTTGGTCCCCTTTATTTCCCTTGATGTATTCTCTTGAAATACAGGGTAAAAGGGGTCAAGAGGAGGGGGCCGCGATGCAATCTAGCAGACTCTAACAGAATGTCACCGTCGGAGGCTACACGTTCAAAGCCGTAGACGCTGCTACTGTTGCAGCTGCTAACGGAGGGCAGATCACTGTGGACCCTGCCACGGACGACTGCGATTTACTTATTGGGCCACAAAGGGGGAACTTGCTAAGCTTGCCGTCAACAGCCGAGTCTCCATGGACAGGGACTTTGCGAATGTACAGTCGGGACCTCTTTTCGTCTTCACAGTCCTGTCCTAGGAAAGAGACGTGCTTTTGTAGAGCAGCGATGTTAGAAGCAATACAAACAGTTATGGTCAGCTTTTTTCCATCATTCTCGGCATCTTGGTCCCCTTTTCCCTTGTATTCTCGTGAAATACAAGGTAAAAGGGGTCAAGATGAGGGGGCCGAGATGCAATCTAGCAGACTCTAAAACAGAGGTTTTTCAGTATTGTCCATTGGACAACGCTGCCGCCGATGGATGGCACAGGACTGTCGCCAGCTTGCTCAGTTGCCACGCTGATGCTTCCCTCTTTGCCCAGCGGTCGTTTTCGGAAGCGACGAAGACGAAATTGCTGACGGCCCTGAAGGATGAGGCGTTCGCCAGTGCACGCTAAAAATGGATCATAAGGGAGAGGTTTTTTTAGGGGAGCAGGAAACTATAAGGGAAAATTAAAATCTGTAGTTGCTTCAGATCCAGATCATCGAAGATGTCAGTAAACGTTGCTTAGATACTCGAAAAAACGTGTGAAAAATGAATACTTCTAAGCTAGTTTTTACCTGAAAACCATTTTGAAGAAGCCATCGCTAGTCACGACAAAATGATTTCTTTTGAATGCATGACCTTGCATGATCATGAAAAAGAAACCCATCTGACGAAAGCATGAGCGACATGCATTTTTAACAAGAATACAAAAGTTACACGTTGAAGTACGCCGCTCTGATAACATCACACATATTTCACGATGGTGAAAATCACCTTGCTAGTGCCCGTCAGGTGGGAAACAGCCTCTCTGGGTTATGCAAATGAACTGAGGAAGACGCGAGAGTTGAGCGAGAAATCTTTCACGGAAGGAAAATGGCCACTGCAGAAAAACGGAGATTGTGCTGTTGTTTTTTAGAGTTTGTGAGGCCTATCAAAAAGCCTTCTGAACCTCACAAAATGAAAACCAGAAAACGTCACGAATTTCTTAGGTGTACTAACGCTCTCTCCCATACGCCAGAAAATGGTCGATTCCCACGCCGCCTCACGCACGATGTCGTCCTCGGCTAGCGGGTATCCTATAGACACCGTTCTACGGGAGCTCGCCAAGTACCATCGAACCGTCACTCGCGAGAATGCAGAGGCAGCAGTCGAACAAGCAGAGATGGAGGCGAAAATCTCCTACCTCGAGACGCAGATGCTAGTACACGAAAAGATGAACCGGGATCTGATGAACCGATGCAAGATGCTGGAGAACGAGCTCCGGAAGGAACGGTGCAAAAACGCCGATGCGAACAAAGCAGAAGCTTTGGCTGCGAACTTAGCAGTTTCGAGTGCTGGTGGTGGCATAGGGGTAGAAGTAGATCATGAGGAAAAAGGAGGTGGACGAGGTGGAGGAGACGGATCTTCCGCAAATTCGTCTTCTTCAAATTCGTCCTCGTCTCAACAACAAGATCTCTCGAAACTTCAAGACATCATCATGCGTTTACCGCAGACCAGAGCTGTGAGCGCCAAAAGCATCTTGAAAAAGTACCTGCGTGCAGCGATCTTCAGCGACGTGGATGAGCAAGACCAGGATGTCACGATGATCAAAAGCACCTCTTCAGGTTCGAATGGAGGTGCAGAAGCAGGTCAACAAGGTCAACTCAAATCTGCCAACTCCGCAAGTTGGAAGGACTATGCAGGTCTGCGCGTGCCCTCTACTGTGACTGGTCTAGTCTATGACAACACAAGGGCTATTCTTTTGGCGGCATTACTGAATGGCGAGGTTCGGGCGTTCGATATGCATGGGTTTGACCGGTCAGAGGAAGCGGATGTGGCGCCGTTTTTGGTGTACAGACAGCCCTGTGCGAAAGAGTCGGGTGCTATTGAGAGTGAGGAAATTTCAGATGAAAACAACGAAGGCGACAAAAAATCAAGAGAAACAACTTCCCCATCATCTTCCTCTTCTCCCAGCAAGAAGAACGAGAAGATCACGAGTATCGTTGCAGACTTCGAGAGGGGAGTGTTCTGTAGTGGCTCAGCAGACGGTAGAGTCTGTATTTGGGATGCTCCAGCCGGGTCGCCAGGAAGTGCAGCTTTTATGAATTTATATTCTTCAAGAGAACTCCGTAGAAAGTTTTTACTGGAGAAGTACTTCACAACTTGATCCTTGATTATTTTTACTCTTTCGTTCCTTCTACAACTACCTTGAACCACGCATTAATAATCGCTTGTGCCTTAATATCACTTTACGACATGCTCTTCACCTTCATGCTGCCACTTGATCAGGGACAAACTTGGACTAAAAAACTGTTATAACTTCGTCTTCTAATGACGCATCCGCCATCGCCAAACTCGTTGACGGCACCACCGATAAGCGATTGCGCACCGTTTTCGAGCTTAGTTCAGGCGTCGTCTATATGGCGTTGAATAGTCCAGCTACAGGGTCTGGGCCATCTTCTGCGTCGTCTTCTGCTTCTACGATGACATCGTACATTAAGGGTACAAGAAATCCATCTTCAGCACTGTCATCTTGGTCCCGTTTTTAAAGGGAAAAGGAGGCCCAAGATGCTGCTCAAATGGGAGACTTCCAGTAGAAGTTCTAAGCACACTTCTGGGCCAGGAGCTTCAGGGAGAAACGCAGGTGCCACAGGAGGTGCCTCGAAGGATGGCATTCCCGAACGTCCCCTGACAAAGCTGGTTCTGGCGGTCGCGTCTGAGGACAACACAGTTTGCCTCTATGACTTGGAGCATGAAGTCCGACTCTCGGTATTGACGTTCTCGGGACCGAAGAAAGCCCAACCTCCGGGAGCTATTCAGCGGTCAGTAGCGTGTGTGGAGTTTGTGAGGGATCATGATATTGCAGTTGGGTTTTCCTTCGGGGGATCCGAGCAGACAGAAACGACGACAAGACAGAAATCAAGGCCTGCTTTAGCATCAGGAGGGATCTTCAATGTGCATACGGGAAAGCAGTTGACCGAGTTCCAAGTTGGAGGCACAGAACAAGGTAAGGAAAATTTTCATTTATTTGTTGATAAAAAGTTTATTTTAGAATTTGTAGTACAGCTAGTAGGACTACAACAACGAACAAGGCTTCCACTTCACGACCATGATCACATCCAAAATCGCTCCAGGTGATGAACCCCCGTCATCAAGTCAGAAGAGTCAAGGCGTGCTGTGCATGCGTTCTATAGTAGGAATGAACGTGGTGGTAACCGGACACGCTGACGGATTCAGGCTCTTCGATGTATCATCCGGAGAATTGCTGTGTGCAGTGAACACGACTGTAGAGTTACGTTGAGGAGAGATGCAGTCTGCGTAGAGAATTTCCCATTTACTCGTTTCTGTTTTTCCTGTCTATCTGCGTGAGCATCAAGGGCAATGCTCCATCTTCGTTCCTGGTATAATCAGCATTCTTACTTCATCTCCACTATGATCTTCCTCAAATCGATCTTAATAAGATCCCCCATCACGACCTGTGACGCCGTGCGGCAGTCTCCTGCTTTGAATTCTGCGCGAGATAATTGTCAGTCTGCATTGAAGTCTGCATTGAATTCTGCACAATTGTCTTGCCGATGACTGTGTATAGTCATTTGAGACGCAATGAATGAGTGATTGCATTGAACCTCTAACACCCGGCGGCGGAGGACCCGTCCATGGCCTCGCTTACGATCCTGTCGAACAACAACTCCTTGCCGCTACAGGGGATGGAGCGGTCCGAAGTTGGGATCTGAAGAAGAAGAAGGTGGCCCAACGTTGTCCCTGCTTCCCCGAGAACGGCTTGAATTGCATTTTGCTGGGAGTAGAGGATGTGTTGTTTGTGGGAGGGGGATTGCCTACTGGTGGTGTTGAAACAACTGCTGCAACCAGTTTGGGGTCATCAGGAGAGGCCAACATACGGATTTTAACGAGGTACTTTCGCTTTCCATTCATTGCTGATTTTTGTGTGCTTGTTGACAAACGAACAAGACGAACTAAGTACTTATTATTTTTGTGTTTTTGTTGACTTACGAACAAGACGAACTAGTATTATTTTTGTGCTTGATGTTGACAACTCCTGAGCAATAAAGTCCCTAGGTGGTATCTATTTACAAAGCACCATCTTCTCACAACAGGTAACTAAAGGGAGCAAATACGCACAGCCGCAAGGCCGACTCGCCTTGTGCGGTTGTTTGCCGGGAAACAGCTCGATCCAAAGAGCGCGTCTCCAAAATTCTGAAAATTGTTGAAATTTTGGTCTCTTTTACATACTAACAATTACCTGGGAATTTTCGAACTCCTGTTAAAATTTCTGACGGTGTCATCTAGTACAATTATTCGTATACTGGCGCCATTATCAAGAAAAGGCTATGATCCGCCGCTGGTAAGCCAATGTTGAATAGTGCGCTTGAAAATCGATGTTCGGCAAAGCATAGAAATCTATCGGTCAGCACGACCCCCGATGAAATAGAACAAGTACATCTTCTGTTAAAACTTGATGACAATATCTGTCCTGAGAGACTAAGTAAAGCAACCGGTTAATAGCTTTCCCTCTTACTCTGCTAGGTTTTTCCCTTCATGCAATATCTGTCTTGAGAGAAGATGAACATGATAAATATCGTCTGTCTACCTGAGTGCAGTGGACGCCGACTAAGCCTTCATATTCTCGTCTGTCTACCTGAGTGCAGTGGACGCCGACTAACTCTTCATCTTCTGCATTTTGGAGTGAATCGCATTGAGCATCTGTTTGAGGTGAGAAAGTTCGATCTGTCTGAACAATGGGAATGCCAAAGTCCAAATTTTCTTAACAATTGCAGTCCATTTCTAACCTTTTTCGTCTTGAATTTCCGCGTGAGTTCGTCCTCGAACTTTGAGTACCTCTTGTGTGGTCCCTAAGTCTCCTTTGAGGCGTTTTAGATTGGTACAGCAAATCTGCTTTGTAGAAGAACTTCCCGTGTATGAGGAGGTACAGCAACGTCTTCTAATCATCAAGGTGGACATTGTTATTAATAAAGGTCGTTCACATAGTACCTTCACCCATCAATCAAATCCTTTTACGACTTACTCAACACGTGTTCAACTTCTATCAAACTTACTCAACACTTCTTACTCAACGCTTCTTCCTCAACACTTCAAACTAAAAAAGATGGGCAACGCTTGTTGTTGTGAGCGTGAGGATAAAGATCCTCGGACGACGGATTTCACCGCCGCTGACATGGACTCCGTCGAACGCGCCTCTGCTGCGGAAGCTGCAGGTGAGGAGACGTCTATTTTCAACTCTGGCATTACCGTGAGCTTTGCGGGAAGTTCTGCGAGTGCCCGTGAGCTGAAGTTAAGGCTCCTTCAAGGACTCCATCTTAGCCAGAATAGCAAATAAATTGGAGGCCCGTTTTTTCAGGAAAAACGGGCACCTCCAGGATGTTCCACAAGATCGATCAATTTCTACAAGCTCTAACGAGGCAGCGTTCCAAGGGAAAGCGTACGACAAAAAGCAAATTGGAGGCGACGGAAGGAGTTGCACTTGGAGGCGACGGGTTTGATTATTCGGCCTACACCAATGAGCCTGGATCGCCGGCGCCAAAAAGCCAGGGACCGAGAGCTGATCCAGGTTGAATTGTGATTGATGACGATGTTTCTGTTTCATTTGTGAATGGAAATTCCGAAATTTTCTTACTCGTTTGGTTAGACTCGCCTCTCTGAAACTGAATTATTTTCTAGTAGTTACTCAGATTATCTGTCCGCAGTTACAACTCTGAATCTACTGTCCTAGTAGTTACAGCGCCTTTACTCAACATTCCAGCACAAGAACCTTTCCCCTTATTACCCAGCCCAACAAGAACCGTCCCCCACCTTATTAAATACTCATAACTACAGCATTCGGCGCCCCGATGCTCGGTGGCGAACCTGTCGGCCGCGCCTTGCTCGGCACAGCCCGTCCCGGCATGCTCGCTCGTCGAACTGAAGAAGGTTCTGCCTTGATTCCTGGCAACACTCCGGCTGGTGGCATGGGCGCATTGATTGCCGGCAACGCCAACTTGATGGCGGAACAACGCGCCAAGGCCATGGCCCAGGAGGAACAGTTTGGTGGACAAGGTAAGGCAGTCGAGGACGAAGTGATGGCCGAACGCGAACGTCAACAGGCTGCGGACAGCAACATGACCGCTGCCGAACGGGTCAAGCGCATGGCTGAGAAGCAAGCCAAAGGAATGGGGATGATGGGACCTCTGGGTGGAGGCATGCTGGACACGACAGGGGTGAAGCTGAAGAGAGCGACCAATGCGCCATAAGTCGTAGCATCTCGGTTGCAGAATGGATTCGGAAGACCAGTAAGTCGTGTAAGCTGTACAACCTGTTGTTGTAGCTGACGAGATTGTCTCGCGAAGACGAAAATCATGTTCGGCGATGGATGATGAACGAAATAATAATGTTCGGCGAGGAGTAGACTTAATTAGTGAGAATATATTGAAACTAATGATCATTCAAAAAACATTATTGAAGATAATTAACGACTATTGAAATATTATTTTTATTGACGATTCTCATTTTCAAATACTTAACGATGAAATGCTGATTACTATGTTGATGTAAAAAGAACTAAAGACTCATGATCTATGATGGGACTAGAACTAGTTGTTAACTAACAACATCTTTCAAACCGATTACATATTCTTCATCAACATCTTCATATTCAATTTTAGATAGAGACTTAGAGAATACTCGTGTTTTCCTAAAAAAAACCTGATTTTTGAACGAATTAATAGGTGCTGGTAGAATCATGGTTGTTGTCTCTGTTTTTGTATCTGTTGCCTGCCGTATCTTCTTCTACCCGTTGGTAGAGGTAGTTGAGTAGGACGCACTCGTTAATAATTTTTATGGGACTGACTAAGCGCTTTCTTCATCTTTTGTAGTCTCCCATGAGAAATCCCATGAAACAAAAATGGAACTAAGCAATCTACTTACTTATGTCAGTTGTCTGCTCGTTGTATAGGAAAAAAAAAAGTCTAGTACTGCATTAACTATCTTCTATGTACAACCGCTACATAAGATGGTTCCGAGTACAGACCGAAAGGGCAAAGCAATCCGACATCTTTTCAATAATCTCGTGTGATTTGCATTTGAAATACCTTCGTTCAGCCGTCGTGTTGATCGAGGACCTTAGTGTTATATCGATCATGTCGTGTAGTTGGACTTGCAAGAATTAACATCGGTATTAAGTGTATCCCAGGATTTTGACCACGAGGAACAACATGCTGTAGGCACTCTGTAATTCCTTCTCGATAAAACAGATTATGCTTGTAGTATTTTCGGTGACGTGATGCTTCTCCAGTAACACAAAACCTTTTGTTCGGCGGTCAATACAAGAGTCGCTGGCGTCGACGCCACCCAGTAACAAAAAATGTCGGTCCTCACTATCGTGCCTCGTGCCCCTTGTTCTACCTGGCACTCACACGGAGAACGTTCTAGTTATCAAAGGGTCTGCTCAGCAAGCAGGAAGCAAGATGATAGCCATGTCTTAGTAATTAGGTACTCAACCATCGATCAACGTCGCACTCGCAAGCCATGTCTTAGAAGTAAGTAGGTACTACTCATATCCATCGATCAACGTCGCTGCACTCGCATGTTGTATATGATAGTACAACTGGTAGCAGTGTCACAGTGAAAAGTATACAATTACAACTAGAAGATGTGGTCAAGAACAAGATGAATACTTCTCCAAACAACTACAACACTTCTGGGCCAACAAGATGAATACTTCTCCAAACAACTACAACATGCGAGGATCATCTGGCGAACAACAGGCGGCGGACCAGAGTCGTGCAACATCAAGCGTTGCCGAGCGCTTGGGAAATTTGTATCTTCATGATCGTGCAGGAGAAGCAGATTATGATGGACGAGGAGAGAGAAGCAGTCACAGAGCAGGTCCAGATTTTTCAACATCGTCGGGGAGCGCACGACAGAGCAATGCGGACGACGACGACGGCGACAACAATAGTATTGCCATCTTAGAACAAGTTTCTGAGACGATTTACATGTCCTATCGGAAAGCTCGTAAGGGTTTCAAAAAATGGGAAAGAAGTATGCCAAATTATGGGCCGCAGGCAGAACAAGTTTTGGAGTCCACGGGTATGTTGGCCAGGAAAGCTTGGAATGAGTGGTTTTCGTATGGAGGAGTTGGTGGTGAGGAAACTAGAGTGGGTTCGTCTTTTACGAGACGAATCAAATTGACGCGAAATGAGGAACATGGAGATCCTGATCAAGCGGCAGAAATCTCTGCGACCACTTCTGATGAGGAATGTGCGGTAGAGGACGGGGACGCGGGCGGTAGGGAAGATAAGCTGAATCAGAAACAGAACCACGACATGTTGATATTAGCCGGGTCCAACACCTCTTCCTGCTCTCCCGCCAAAGTAGCTACTTCTCCTGCTTCCAAGAAGAAAACTCCTGTAAATACTACAACGAGGTACTACAATAATGCGGAACCCAGCAACATCCCCAGCTCTCCATTCTTTTCGAGTAAAGGACACACACTGAAAGAAGCGATGTCGCCAGTCCAACTCCAATACGAACATGACATTGATCGCGCTGGCTTCTTCGATCCCCTGCCCATGAAGATGGAAAATTTCAGAGGATTCGAAGTTCCTGTGGTCGTTGCTAGCGGGTCTAGCAACATCGAAGTAGTTCCAGGGTCGCCTACTGCGTTCCCTTTTAGTAGAAATGAAGGTCGTGGAGCTGCTGTTGCGAGTGCGTTGACGTCAGAAGTGAAGATTGAGGGAACAACTCTTCAACACGATCCGCGAAGAAATGATCCTCCTGCTCATCAAGTGGAAGACGAAAAGATTCAAGAAGATGAAAACGCCAGCAGTGCCTTCTCGCGAAGCAGCAAAGGAAGCAGTTCGCTGGAGGACGACACGTCACTATCCCCTCCTCCGGGAGAGGAGCAAGCGGACCGACTTCAACAAAAAGTAAGTAGTCCTCGGTTTCAGCAAGAAGTGCGTCCCAGTATCTTCACTCCGAGAAGCCTCCTAGGACAGCATAGTCCTCTTCCGACTCATAGGAGCCTTCATGGGCAGCTTCCTGAAGATAAGGCTACTCCTAGAAGCTACCAAGCTAAGTTTACACCCAGAAGTTATCAGGCTAGTCCTCGACTCATAGCGAACTCTGTTTTCCTAGAAGATGAAAGAGGCGAGACCAAACGAACTGAATATTTTCAAATCGGGTCATCAGAATCAGGTCAGGGTGATGATACAGGAAGTTGATTGATTTCTTGATGAAAGGATTTGGTACAACTTCCAAAAGTGATTTAATATAAACTTATTGGTGGATGGCTGCGATAATGAGAACCCTCAGCATTCGCGAAAGAATTACGATGATTGCAGCGAGCTATTCAAAGTGTTCGACCTTGAATGGAGGAAGAATGACGAATCTGATATCTTCATAAAGAATCCGAATGCACACGATATCTGTTGCTGAAAAATTTGTGTGCAAAAAACTGATCCCGTTAACTAGAATGGGCTTTCGATGATCAAAATGCGCTTACTTTTACTTTCTTTTGAAAACAGTAGCAAGGGTTTTTCAATTACAACAGCGCTATTGTAATTTTTTGAATATGCTCGTCGATTTTTTGATTATGCTCGTCGAGACCACGAGAGAAAACTTTTTTGAACTTCTGTCCTATTCGTAGTTGATCTATAATTTACTGTGAAGATCTTTCCAAGGAACTACTTTTCTCACTGAGAGAACCTCCAACATATTAGACCAAGAACATCAAGATGTCGAGCAAGCAGGCAAAACGGCTGTTAGAGCTCCAGAAGGAGAAGGAGCTGGAGAAGCAGAAGGAAGAAGCCAAGAAGAAAGAGGCAGCTGATGCTAAGCGCAACGAAGGCGATGAAGACGATGATGATGAGTCCGAAGATGAGGCCCCCGTAGCAGCTGCTACGCAACGCAAGAACGTTTTTGCCGCAATGATGTCTTCGTCTGAAGACGATGAGAGCGATGAAGACGAAGACGATGGTGAAGATTCTTCAGAGAGCGTAGATAAGAATGAAGGTGGAAGAAGTGTTGGGGATGATGACGAAAAAAGTGAAACAGAAGAACAAGTGGTAAGAAATCGTGGCAAGAATCGCAAGGCTGTTCCTCCAAGTACAACGACCTCTAGCAAGAATAACAAGAACAAGGACCAAAAGCATGATCCGCATCATTTTTCACCACGTGACCGTCAACAGAACCAGAAGGCGGGTGTCGTCGGAGTATCACCTGAAGAGAATAGTGAAGATGAGGAATGTGAGGAGGACTTTGAGGCTGCCCTGGGCGAGCACGAAGCAGAAGTAAAGAAACAAGAAGCTGAAAATCCTGACGAGGTGGCGGGGAAAAGTGGAGGTAAGAAGATTCTGTTAAAATGTTGTTTTTATTCTTCTTGTTTGTTGTGAAGGATCCATAACCTAACCTAACCTGTTGTTCTTTTAGTCCCTGTAATATGGAAGTAGGACAACCGGTCAGTTTTCACCTCGACAATATTAGGCTTATCCCATGCAACAAGATGGAAGTAAGAGTAACGCTAGCAACTAAGAATATCAATTTGGATCGGAACTTAGGTAGTGCAGGTGGTCTTACTGAAGCTCGAAATATATCCAGAGAGCATGTAGGTGTGCTGATGGATACCTTGGGGGCCGCATGACGAGACTAGTTCCGAGTTTTTTAGGTCTTGCTCGGTCACAAAACATTTCGTGTCAACTTGGTAGTAGGGATGGTAATGGTTGAAGGACAAGGAACTGATTTACAGTGTAATGATGGCGATCTGACGATAGGCTCTTGTTATTTCTCGCAATGACAGGGCGCATTTGAAGTAGATCTAACCTGTTTTTAAATCACAGTGGGTTTATAGAAGGTCCATCAATAGTGTTAGATTATTACCTCGTACGTTGGTGCAGTCGCTGTGAAGCATAGTCCACATGTACTGCCATCGGAGCCTTGTGGCATCTACCTATCTATCAATATGGATCTTTCGAAGCTCGGCTGTGGTTGTTGTCCGCAGCCGAGTCAAAGTCGATCCCAAATCAAGATGTGCTGTTGGGTGGCTCGTTTTCGTTCCTGTCGAAAGCTTGTCAATTTAAATAGCCTACAATGAATTTGAAAAACAAAAAGTCGACCTGACTCATGTTACCCATCATCCTCGGAGTCGAGCTGATGCGGGCGGAGCTCGACGTGCAGGATCCTTAACCTAGCCTAACCTCGCTTTCCACCTTGTATAATCAGTTGAAATCTCTAGACAGCCATGGCTTCATGCAGGGACGACGATCAGACTCACCTTTATCTTCCTAAAAACATCATCTTCCTCTTCAGCAGAGATAGTCGAGCTTTATCTTCCTAAAAACATCAGCCTCCTCTTCAGCAGAGATAGTCGAGCTTTGTTGTCTTGACCGGATCCTTGCTGTGACGAAGCAGAATTTCTCCATGGAAGCGGAGCAGAAGCGGATCTTTGGCGGGACTCTGACAGGAGACGACAGGAAAAAGAAACTGCCCAAGGGAATAAGTCAAATGCCTCCGCATTTGAAGAAGCTGTGGCTCAGCAACGTGACGATCAACGAAGTAGGACCTACCAAGCCCGATCCGACCACTACTGGGACGTCGGTTTTTACGGAAACGGCGAAGGTAGTTACTTGTTTTGAAGATAGATTTTGTGGACGAGGATCAAGGTAAGAAGTACTTGTTTTGAAGATTTTGTGTACTAGCACTAGGGTCTTTCTTCACATTATGTTAATGCTCACAATGTCTGGATGTTCACAATGTCTGGATGTTCACAATGTCTGGATTATGTTAATGTTCACAGTTGTAACAGACGCAGTGCGTGGTTTACGCAGACCACGCACTGCGTCTGTTACAACTGTTCGTTGTACTACAACATCTTGTGTTGGCTTCATTCTTTATTCCATACCACAACCCGAATACAAAATCAAAAACCGCAAACACGGGACGAGCACGTCTATTCGTGTCTACTCTATCAAACACTTCACACTACACAGGACGTCTTCTCCGTTTCTCCTTTCCCTGAGTACAGTAGGAGAGCAGAAGCGATGTTCGACGAGTATCTAGAGATTCGATCCATCCAAGACCTGAACGCACTGCAAGAATTTTGTCGGAGAAGTGGTGGCCTTTTTGTGGATGCAACGTTGGATTTAGTGGACGTTTTGAGAGGGCGCGGAGACCACGAAGCAGCCTTGCAATTGTTGAAGCAAGCTTTGTTTGTCTTCGAAGTGAATCTGCCAAGTACGTTCAGACCTTGGGGGACGGCGAGTGCAGTAGCGTCAACAACAGCCTCTGGACTTGGAGGTGCAAGTACTACAACAGGTGGTTCTTCTGCAGCTCAACATGCTGTGACTTCTGCCTCATCAACTGGTGGCACCGCATCCGCTTCCTCGCGACCAGGCGTCGGCTCCACCACCACAGTTTTCCAACAGTTTGGTAGGTCACAAACCCTAACCGAAAGTAGTCTGCGCTATTTTGGACGTGCGCTCTTTCTGTACATGAACATGCTGGCAGGTCGTGGGTTATTCACCACTGCAAGTGAGGTCGCCAAACTCCTCTGGCGTCTGTCGTGGTATGGTGGAGTCGGTAGTGAACAGTTTGCCCCGAAGAGGGAGAAAGACGGTAGCGGGACAAAGCCTGTAGCGGTACTAGGACTGGGAGGTGGTCGTGCACACGCGATGAACAAGGATTCCCATGATCAAATAAAGAGTCCTGCGACATTCAAAGGCTTGGACCCAGTCCATATGATGCCACACTACTTGTACTTCGCTGTCCGAGCTAGGAAATTCGATGCAATCGAAGCACTGTGTGGCCACGAAAATGACAGTAGAAGGAGAAGAGGACATCAGAGCGAGGAGGATGATCTTGACGAAGATACTACTTCTTCCCAACTATGCCTAAAAAAGGAACCAGCGCTTAGATACTTCTGCGATCGAAAACAGTTCGGAGCAAAAAGTAAGTTCGATTGGGGCGATGGTCAAGATGAGGAACAAGAATCTTCTGGAGACACAAGTACTAGTAGTCCCAAAGTAGTTGTAGGAGAAGCTGGACCAGAAGACTCAGCTATTGGTTCTTCATCATCAGCTATCGGTTCTTCATCATCAGCTATTGGTTCTTCATCATCTATTGGCTCTTCATCATCAGAGTCACCGCCGACGAAGACCACCAGCAACTCATTACCTATTAAAGTAGAAGGAGTAGAAGCAAATACGAAGGTGGAGATAGAGCTGTCAAATGCAAAGGAGGTCGCAACAGAGCAGTCAACAAAGACCGCAGTAGAACGTGCTGGATCATCCCAACACGCCCGGTTCGACTGTCCCCACCCTACGAATTTATTTGCTCCTATGTGCCTCACACGATCTCTCGCAGCTTATCTTCGTGCTGGCGAGCAGACTGGACTGCTGAAAGCGATTCATAGTGAACCGATATCCGTCAGCGACATCCTGAACTGGAAGAGGACAGCCAGGGATGACTTACTAGTTAGTACTTCTACTGCGTCAAGTTCCTCGTCAAGTAGTGGCAGTGGCAACAGTACAGGTGGTAGCTCTGGTTCTGCTGGAGTTGTACAACCTCCAGCCACGACTACATCAAGTACTACTTCTATAGGAACCAGCACAGCAACCACACTGTTGATGTGCAAAGCCTTTTTCCTGTTCCCAGGTGTTTTTAGAAGAATGCTAGAGATCGGAGAGGTTAATCTGGACTCAGTGCCCAAGTATCCTACACATCTCTTCGATAGTTCATCTGGTTTATCCGGTACAGCAAGCGTGCCTCCCGTGAACCGACGGCGGACGTGGACCACACTTTTTGCGATTCTCTACGACTGGTGCGCATGGGACGAACTGACGCCACTGGAAGCTGCCACAGCGGAACGATTCGCCAATTTGTTCTGCTCTGAGAGGCTTCTAGCTTTCCAACACGCGACGTTGGAGAGGCTGGTGAGGCAGTTCGAAAGCAGCCCGTTATTTAAAAAAGAATGGTCCGAAGCGCGAACCGAGTTCGTAAACTATACTTCTGCGTCGAGTTCGAGTGAGTCATTACATGCCAGTTACGCGAATATGACAGCTGCAGAATGCAAAGACGACGCTGCCCATGCGATTTTGCCGGAAGCGCTGAGGAGCCCACAGTTACGGCACAGGGCTAGTCATTTCCATTTCCACAGATCATCTTCTCTATTTTCTTTCTAGTAAGTGAATTTGATGAGAAGACGAGCTTAGCAGGGTTAGGACTACTGAGTCACTGTGAGCGCTAACACGTGGTAATCGCGGAGGGTTTGCTGCCCTATTGCGGCAAAGAGCCGGCGGAGCGGAGCTGCCTGGAGGTATTCTAGATATGCTAAGATTAATTCTTATGGCCACAACTCCTGACGATCATGAAGATGATATCACAATTGAAAATACTTACTGCAATTTTAACTACTCGAAAACTGAAAATAACCGAGTTACTGACTGAAGTAAGGGAGGTAGCTCCACATCAAGGCTACTCTTCCTTCTCGTCAGTATCCCGGTTATTCTGCTTGTTTCAAGAGAGAATCCGAGAAGATTTGAACAGATGAAGATGAGCTTTTTAGGCTTACCAAGATGAATTTGAATCAACCATGCGTTGACGTATCGATTTACCCCCTTGAACTTGATGTCTGCGGATACTTACAGTACCCTCTTGTTGATGTTGGAAGGATACTCAAACACTGACCATAATTTGTAAGTTTCTAATAGAGAAATAGAAGAAGAACAAGAAGAACAGCAAGGAAATGCATACATGATTGGAGAAAGGCGGGAGAGATGGGAAAATGCCTTCGAGGCGGCATTGATGCAAGATGGTCAGGACATGCGCGATCCGGGGAACAGAATTAGATTCTTGGAAACCGTGATGCGCGAATACAGCAATGAAGGTCATGCTCCTGGAGGTGGGGAAGAAGGAAACGAAACAGGTCATCAAGGAGGAAATGAAGGTCAAGGAGAAGGACGAGGACCAGGTGGAGCTGTTCAAGGACCTCCAGAAGGAGAAGGAGGCCCTCCAGAAGAAACAGCGAATCATGCCACAGAACATTTAAGGCAATGAGACGAATATTTAAAGCTTCTACTGATTTTTATCCACGCGAATGCTACAACCACAACATCCGTAAATTTGATACAAAAACTTTTACTAATTTGGAATCAATGAATCAGTTTCAGTTGTAAACTGTTATAAGATTCCTCTAATTCTAATTATTCGTCCCCAAATATCCGACGAAGTGATGGAATTACTCGATGATCTACGTTTAAACGGCCTGTTGAATGGCGTAGACGTAGAAGACCTCGACGCTGTAGGAGCAGAAGAGGTGATCCAGAACGCCTACAGAAATTGTACACCGGAACAGTTGTTATGAAGGTGGAACAGCTGTTTGTGTTTTTTTCAATAAGTGACATAAAAAGATGAAATGTTGAAAGTTCTTTGCTGAGCTTTGAAAAATCATGTTAAAAATCGTATTATTTCAACGGACCACCTTTTCAATCCAAGTCGCCGCTCGATGATGGTCCGGATCTGGATTGGTTGTGTAGAAGTCCTCCAGTGATATTACCCCATCTTGACTTTGTGAAGAGACTACTCCTTTCTTACAACTCCTGCTTCTAATTTTAGCGATGCTAGAAGCTACAGGTCATGATCCTCATACTTTTGGAGGAGGGATGCTTGCTGCCCACGACCCTGAAGGTGAAGAGTACAGATCAGGGTCAGGGACCTTCTAAATGTTGACATGTGCTTGGTCGTGAACCTAGAAGAACATGCTTGGTGACCCTAGAACCCTTGGTGAAGAACCCTTGGTTAGAACCTCCTTGGTGAACCTGGATCCTTCTTGGTGAGCCTAGAACCCTTGGCGACCTAAAAAACAACCCAACCGAAGCTCTCCTTCACAATCACACTTAACGCCTTTCTTCACAACGTCGGTTGTGGAAAAGAACGTTGTTCTTCTACATCTTCTTGTTAGAGAAGCTGCGGAGCAGGAGAGATTGTTCTTCTACATCTACTCCATAAACAACTACGAGGGGCCTACTAGTAAAGAAGTATCACGACCACCTTCATCTGCTCTTAGTCTACATCAAGGAGAGTGGGTGAGAAAGCGGCTGCGGAGGCCAGAGTAGGTGAGAAGGCGGCCCGTCAGCTACTAGTTGTAGTACCAACATACTGGAAGTACAGGGAGTAGAGTAGCTTGCATGCTGCAGTAGTAAAAGAACAAGAACAAGAAGAAGTCGTAGAGGAACAAGCCTCGAGCGGCCGCTTTCTCACCTGCTCCGGTGGAGCAGGGTACTCGTCTAGGCCTATCAGTCATAGTACAACATTTACTTACTTCAAGTTCCCACTTATAACTCCTCATCATCTTCACAAGTTCCCACTTAATTCCTCATCTTCACAAGTTCTCACTTATCACCTCTACTTCTAGATAATCCGATCATTTGTCTCTTCCTGTGAACAGTATACTAGTATATCAAATCCGGCAGTTTTTCTGTCATAAAAAATACCTCCAGGTCGTGGTTCAATTAATTTCGATGTAAGTAATGTCATTCTCAAATCCGATTTCTCACTTCTCACCAGGCTCAATTTCGGTGTACTCGAATCCGGTTTTTGTTTTTTTCCAGTCCTTTTTGCCGTGGGCCACCGTTGACTACACTGGAGGAGCTCCCGCAGTGACCGTGCAAAGCGTTAGTTTGTTAAGGATTAATAGAGTAGTCTCTCTCTCAAGCCATTTTGTTAAGGAGTGGATTCATAAGAGTAGATTAACAGCTGCTAATGTGGGGTAGTAGAGTTGTCTCTCTCAAACCATACACACACTTTCTAGTTTCTACCAGAGTAGACATGATAGATCGTACTTGTCAAGGCTAAAGATAGGTTATCGTTCCACTACTGCATCAGTTGATGTAGTTATTTTCCTCAATGTACTTCTTCGTATCTCCGCTTTTTTAGTGACTAGCTATATATTAGGGGCAAAATAGATTTCATCCGACTACGTACTAGTGCTTGTTCATGATCTTCACAGCACAACTAGTTCTAATTTGAAGGTAGTGAGTAAACTCCTTCTTCTAATTCCTGGGTTGCGCAGATTTTGGCGACATTTGATGAGATGGGCGAATATGATTTGGAATGCGAGGAACAGCGATGATGCTAGAGACCAATTGGGTGCTGGAAATGGACGACCTCGTCAAGAGTAGTTCTGGCAAAAGATGATTGAGGAAATCCTTGGATGTATTCTATAGCTGTTGGAGATGAAGGCTCTCTACTCTATCTCGAATCACAAGTACAAGGACACCTATTTGCTCGAGAATACAGGAACATCACCAAAAAATGCAAAGTGTCCCCTCCCCAATGGCACGAAGACGGTGAAGATTTTCTCCAGTACTACGTGTAACATGAGAAGTTTCTGCAGATAGGCACAAAAAGTCGGATTTTCCGCATTGCTGTGTGAGTGTCCTCGTAAGGTGCAGGATGATGATGACGCCTCCCCTCGGCTTCCTTGGTTTGCAATCTTTCGGTATTGTGAATCAGTCGCCTCGAGGTATCCGAGAACGGAGAGACGAAATTTCTTATACTCTGATAAGTGAACAGGCCAACGTCTAGTACTAAACCACTAAGCCAGCAGCTTTGGCTTAACGGTTTACGCGCTGGCCCGTTCACTTATCAGAGGCTCGAAAAGCAAGGCAGACGAATTGTCACGTGCTCTGAAATTCGGCGTCCACGCAATTTTCGACTTTTCAGCTTCATAGGGCATTTGATTTGTTAGAATAGATGTAGAGGGTGCCATTCTGTTATACTATTTCTACGGTCCATGAGCACTGAATATTTTTTTGTCGTTGATATCATGTCGGTTAATGTGAGTACTGTCTGTTCGAGAAAGACAGTACATCGGAGTGATATATTGACAAAGAAGATTAGAATTGGTTTTGAGGGCCTGAGGTACGTCCTCCTGGAGTGTAAGATGTAGAGCGAACAATCGATGGTCGAGCCTGATGTGTCCAGCGTTTTATGCCCCGATGAATGGTGGCCAGCCCCCCGATGGCATGATCGTCGAGCCCTGATTGAAAGGGCGGTGGCATATAGTCCTAACGCAAAAAAAAAAAAACCTGATCGTGGTGGAGCCATGACATTCAGGAAGACACACATGGCATGCTCCCGTGACATCATGACTGCCTCACCATGATCGAGTCAAAGTGTGAATCTTCTCTCAGATCTTAGAGGAATCAATCTTCTTCACTAGGTGCCTAGAATCTTCACTAGGCGCCTGGAATCTTCACTAGGTGCCTAGAATCTTCACTAGGTGCTTCGGAATCTTCCTCTTTGGAACTGATAATTATCTTAAAGACTACATGTTGTACTCAGGTCACCCGCCTCGGTGCTCGTCGTTGACTTTATTCAGGTCACGTATTCATCCTCGGAGTCAAGCCAGGCGCCGGGAGGCTTTGATGTGCAGGATTCACAACCTAACCTAACCTTAGATAAATGAACTAATGATTAAATATAGTAACTCTTAGAGGAGGAATCTTCTTCATCGCTAGGACCCACATTACTAGCCAACAAGTTCTGAGTTCTAGGTGCTTATCTTAGAGCTGCCGTCAGAGTTCTCTACTTCTACTCTAGTACTATACAGAATCTTCTTCTTCTCTACTGATTCTCTCCTCCGTACAGTAGTAATGAGGAGGGACTGTGCTTCACTAGTGTGATATGGTATAATTGGTGAGAATTGTCTGGTGACACCTGCAGATAGTAGTGGTGAACAAGATTGTCTTATCTTATCTTAGAGGAATCTTCTCTACAATGGAAGCCTGCTTGAAGATCTTTCTGTAATCCTATGAAGAAGTTCAGTGGAAAGATATTGTCATGCAAACCAATGAAAGTTCCATGGAAACGAAATGAAGCCAATTTCAATGGAAAGATACGGTCATGAACAACCGAGTGGAAGCCTGCTTCGAGATCGCCTCTCAGCACAGACCTTTCGTACGTTACTGCTACACTCTTTGGAACGTCGCAAGATCCTATCCTGCTGGAACGGCCGGGCGGGTTTCTTCTGTTATCCGAGCATGGTGTTTCGGATTATCCTCTGGTGCAGTATGCGCAGAAGCACTTCTGGCAGCAAAACATGGACGAGCACGGTTGTGACAGCACCCTTTGCATCTTCGACGTCGTAAGGAACGCTTTGGGACTCGAGATGCAAGATAGCTCCGCTTCTTCGGCATGTACTGAACGAGCTAAACCTTGTTTTAGTGCACCATCAGTAGCGTCATCTCCAACAACATCATGCGGAGCTGACTGCGATCAAGATCATGACGCGATGAAGAAGAAGGATGGCTCAACGACGACACCCTCCAACGTCAGGGAAAAGGAATCACCTGCTGTGCGGGACGATGGCAAAGCTTGTTCCTTTACGGTTGTTTTCGAACAGAGGCGTGCTCTGGGCGCCTATTATCATATGATAATTCGCAAAGATCGCATGATGAGGGGTATTTTTTTACCTCGTGATTAGATGTTGCTGGCGAATGTTTTTCTGCTAGTCCATTTTACCTCAATTATTATGATGAATGCGATAAATTATACCTGTTGTTCTTGTTGTTTAAAAGGACATCTTCAGCGACAGCTGCATGGGTGAAGGTTCCGATGTCGGTAAAACTAGGAAGCAAAATGATCTGTCTTACCGCAGGAGATGTGACATCATATTATTTGTTACTTATCATGGAAGAAGATCTAATTGTGATCCAAATCCAACCACGACAATTTTTTCAAGAATGACTGTGATCCGTGAACAGAAATGATTTGTTTTGATCTTTTAAGATGCTTGACAAGAATTGGAAAAGTAGAGCTAGAGCTTGAAAACAGAAAATTTAAGATCCTAATCTACTACTCTCTTGATGTGGAAATCTGAAAAGATCCTATGAAAACTGAGTTCTATCCGTGTTGCATGAATCTAAAAATCAACACGATGTGGCGATCCCAGACTATTTGACATGGTTCCACCAGATCCTCTTCGTGGCGACCACCTAAAATAGCGTAGAACAGCACCAGGATCACTTTAACATAAAGCAGAAAAGTTGAACAATATGATCTTCAAGATGAAGAGGACTCGTTTGTCGATAGATGAGGTTGCTGACAATAACAAGAAAGTACGATTCCGATCGATGATATTAAAGAACATTAACATTTATGTATTACATCTCACTCATAATGAGCAGTCTTTCTTTGCGAAAAAAGTAGGTTTAGTGATTTCGATTCGACTTTCTCCAGGAGTTTTTGGGAAAGATTGCACACATCAAAGCGTAGGACTTGAGTTAACGACATACGTTGCAGTAGCTCTGTCCCCCTTGGGGACCTTGCTGCAGATATTTTAGCGAAGATATACTAGTGCTGCTTTGCATTGATCTATCCTCATTTACATTTTCTTGCATTCAAAAATCGTTGCAATATGTGTTGAAGGGGTAATATTTTGATTTTATATTTTACTAGCTTCTTTTAATATAACTTTTTCGACGACTTCGACCATCACTTGTTCTTCATACATAAACATACACATCACATTGATTCACATTGTAAGTCCTTCTGCCGTCTCTTGAACGAGGAGTCTGCCGTCTCTTGAACGAGGAGAACAGACCGGGACGAAAATGACGTACAAGAATTCTTACCAAGCCAGCGAGGAGGAGGGCCAGCTCCTCTTGGAGAGTGAGCAATGGACGCAGGAGGATGCTATGGACCAAGCGAAGGTTGTCTCTGACAACTACAGAGCTCAGGTACTTCAACACATCTGTGAATGTGTTAAAAATACAGACTGCATGAAAATAGATAACTTTCATCAAGTAAAGTGTATTCAGTTTCTTTTTCGAGATCGAGAGGTATCATAGACCTATGATTCTTATCCAAGATGAAGATCCATTCATACATGGACGTAATTAAACGTGATAAACAGTGCGCTCGCGAGCTTGATTCTGACCTGTCCGGGGATGACGAGCACGCGACAGAAGAGCTCAGCTATGAGGAGTACCATGAGAAAGTGGATGCAATCTACGAGAAAACTGACTGGAACGCGAAAGGCGACGAGCAGAAATTTCCGATGACATCCGTCGGAGCCATTTTCTCATTGCTGGCTTCGATCTTCGGTAAAATTACTATTGGACTTCTTGATTTGTATCACCCTCGTTCACTTGGATGAAGAATATGATGATGATATTTAGGGGGTACTGAATATCGTCGTAGAGCACTACTCCATTAGACTACTACTTATTTGTTGAGTAGATGATGGAAATCGAAATGTATGATGTCCTACGCAATAATTGTCGAAAAAAGGTGTCGGAATTTTGGAGCAGCCAAAGATCATGCAGCAAGTTGGTTTCCTTACTGGAATCATTATTCTTTTGTTTTCGGTGTGGGTATCCCACATGGGCGGTTATTATCTGGGTATTGCAGCTCGCATGACAGGAAAGAAATCCTTGGGAGAAATCGCCAAAACAGCTGGAGGAGTGCTTGGAATGGTACATGAATTTCGCATCTTTGGATGTAGTTGCTTTTAGAAGTAGGTACCAGGTTGTATCGAATCTTGACGGCGATGTTGAAAAGAACAAAATATTTTATGAAAAATCAGATTTTGAGCGTGTACTCCCTTTTGGGTGTGTGCATCCTCGCTTCCATCGGTTATGCTTGCTCCTGGTGGGCATACACCAGCGAGTTGTACGTGCGCATGGGTTTGATCGATATTGAGACAGCCCAGACTTCCAGCGGCTTTGCCAGTGTGCGGACGCTTGTGATCTCGGTTATGCTTGTGGTTCTCTTCCCGGTGTGCTGCCAGCGTGACCTCTCCGCGCTAGCCGCCTTCTCCTTCGGTGCCGCGGGCGTCTATGTCGTGCTCGTTTTCCTGATGGCCTACTACTGGATCGCGGATTACCTCGCTGCAGACCCGATGCAGTGGGACGCGGATCTCCGCTACAAGTGGACCTTGGGTGAGCACAACAGCGTGCCTCTCGTGACCCCGACTGGTCAGGGACAATCCGCTTTTCACAGCATTAACCTGAACGCGAATGCTGGAGCAGGCTCTCTTGGTAAGGTTTGGGCGGACGCCAATGCCGAACGAGCCGCAGCGAAGGAGCCAGCAGCAATCGCAAGCGCCAATGAGAAGGTCGCCGCAGCGCGCAACCAGGTGGAGGGTGCCGTCGACGTGCTGAACCATCCTTGCCACGGTATGTTCGGCTTTGAGGCTTCCTGGTTCTTCGGAGGAAGTTTCCAGGCTCTCTTCATGGCGGTCGGACTGATGAACACCGCTTTCGCTTGTCACTTCTCGTGCGTCGATGTTTTCGGCAAAGAGATGCAAAAACCCACGAGAAAGAATATCAACTTCGTCATGGGCCTTTCCCTCGCCGTGACAGCCGTCATCTACGCTGGCTTCATGGCTATGGGATGGAACTACGCGCGCAAGTTCCAAGACATTTCTGTGACCCCAGTCAGTGAGGAAATCTCAGTGAACGTAGACGGCGCGACCCAGAAGCAGACTGTCGCCACCTCCTATTCTGGTACTCCATCAAGGTGAATAATTCTCTTTGCTAGTACGTAGTGTATCTTCGAATGATCATAATGCTCGGACTACTTTGATTATAATATAGAAGAGGTGGATTTTAGAACAACACAGGTCGGCGCTAGTTCACTACGTCGTCGTGAAGTGGATTCAAAGTCTCGACGAAGTAGTGAACCAGCGCTTCGCGAGATGGATCATTCGGAAGATCTGCACTCAGTCTCAGTGAACCAAAGATTGTACTATTGTTGTACTAGCATGTTGATGCAGTATTCTACTAGAATAGGTTATTCTTAAGACTTTCTGAAATCCATCTTCGGAAGCATATTGGACCTCCCGCGTAAGGGGGAAACGGATCCAGGATGACTTTCCAGATGGATTCATTCCCGGAAGGTCCAACATTCAGTCAAATTCTCAGGTGTGTGCCAGCAGGGGGCTCAGGATGCTATCCTGAAGAACATGAAGAATCCTGACGACGAGTTTCAACCGACTTTGATTGCGGTTGCTCAGTTTGTTGTTTTTCTGGTGTTGTACTTGACTTACCCGCTGCTTATCAGCGCCGCGCGATCGACTATCCATGGTCTTCTCTGGCCAGGCGAGAAGAGCGGATTTTTGAAGCACACTGCCGAAACTGGTGCTCTCTGCCTGATCACGTGGTTGGGTGCTGCAGTCATCCCGAAAGTTACGATTGTCCTCGCCTTCGCTGGCTGCGGTCCGGGATTGGCGCTCGTGTTGATCCTTCCCGGCTACATCATGCTTTGCTTGAACAGAAGCCTCCCCTACTCTCACAAGGACCGCGTCATCCCCTGGTTGCTCGTCATCTTCGGTACTTGCGCAGATTTAGATTGAAAATTATACGCGATTTGATTTCATCTTGGTAATATAAGTAAGTAGTTTTCACCTTTTACCTCGTGATTTTAGCTAATATGTGCAGGAAAAAATAGTCGTAACTCCCTGGTCGTCCTCTGAATTAAGTTACCTGGGAACAAAACCAAAAAATTATTGGCTTTCATCTTCGTTTTCTCTCATGCTCATCAAAGGTACTATTTTGTCTTTGGGTGGTATTATTCTGACCGTGATTTACGGTGCGGAATGGGACCGCGCAGCTAATGTGGATATGAGCCACGAAGCTGTGACTTACGCTAGACAGCCTCCGAAGCTGCAGATCACGCATGCAGCACCCAATGCTGCTGCACGCACGAGCCAAGTTGTCAGTTTTTTTGAGATGACGCCACCAGCACAAGGAGCACCGGCACCGACCGGACCGCAAGACTCTGAAAAGCTCCGATGGTTCGAATGGAACAAGGACGGCAGCCAAGAAGATCCCACTGCCTGGACACTCAGAGCAGAAGAAGTCACCAGAGCAGAAAAGGTAAACCACATTAATAAGTAGGTGGTAAACTACATCAATATATAAATTTAGATTGCTTATCTACTATTGTATACCTAATATGAGAGCCACCAACTTTTGTTGAGCTCATCCTGAATTGGACGATATCGACTGCAACCGGCCCATTTTTTTCAGGTGAACCGGCACAAGGCATTGGCGGTCGCGAAGTCGTACTTCGAGGCGGTTAAGGCAAGAGACGCTGCTCAGACGGAAGTGAACGCCCCCGGGACCGACGCAGCTGCGAAAGCCAAGGCAGAGAAAAAGCTCGTAGCCGCTAAAATGACGGTGGAGCGCTCCTTAGCCAAGGCTAAGCAAGCGGTGTCTGTTGCGGAGCGGATCTATAAGCAGGACATCAAGGAACTCGAGGACAAAGCGCGCACAGCTGGGGCCCAAGGATTGAGCCAGGAGCAAACCGCACGTCTCGCCCAAATGAAAGCATTTCGCACCAATTTCTGGGACCGGGAGACAAACAGCGAACTTCACAGTCTGAAGACCCAGGTAGAAGCTGCAGCACGAGCAACGCCTCAGCAGCCGCAACTCTGATCAACCATAGGCAAAACTTCTACTAGTTATACGACTACTACAACAACGAACAAGTAGTAGTAACTCAAGATCATTTACTTTTACATTTTCACATCGAGTAGAACAGCTTTATCTCCACAAAGGCAGAACAAGAATTGGTCGCTATGATACAAAATAGGAGGTCAATGCCTTCAATAGGTGGTATAATTCATGTTACGACACGAGGCGTGGTCCATCTCCATATGTATTAAGTCAAGTAGAGCAGGTCATGAAGCCAAAAGTTCTTGATGAGAAACCCTCATGATGTTCTTGTTTGCGGAGTCAACCTCTGATATCTCAAACAAGTAGTTGATGAAGTTGTTCCCGATGTGGTGATAGAAAGTGATTTGGTACTAACTGGTGCTATAAAGATGTTTATTTACAAGTAGAAGATGTGAGTCTCGAATGGTTGTCGTGGTCCTTAATTGCTCCTTCTGTATCCGACTTCTTAGAAAAGTCGGAATTTTGACATCTAGAACTAGCTCGCTTTAAAATGAGTAATACATGAAGCCTCAGTAACAAATGAATTGAAAATCTGATGATACGGAGGTTGATATTTATTAGATGAAGAACTCGCACCCTTGGTTTTGAGCCGAAGAGCACCCGGAAGTTGAAAACGATATATTAAGTACATAATAATATACGTATGCGAGGATTGAGGTTTATTATTTCTTCTTTTTTCTTTGTTGTATCTCCTATGTATGACAAAACCACAGATAAAGATTAATTTTCTTCGCGTAACCCAATTTAAGTAGTTGATGAAGATTTTCATCTTTGTCATTGTCACTTTCCCGTAATGGATTTAAGTTGCACCAGTATATGATCTCGGCGGTGGAGGCCCTTCTGGCGGCGGTGGCTCTTCTGGCAGTGGAGTCCCCCCCCTACGCAGGAGGCGTTGTCGGCGGTGGTGGCTCTTCTGGCGTTTTCGGCGGTGGGGGCACTTCTGGCGGCGGTGGCTCTTCCGGCGGTGGAGGCCCCCCCGACGCGGGAGGCGTTGTCGGCGGTGGTGGCTCTTCTGGCGTTTTCGGCGGTGGTGGCTTCTCCGGCAGTGGTGGCTCCTCCGGCGGTGGAGGCTTGTCAGGCAGTGGAGATGGCGGCCGCCGCGTCGCAGGCTCTTCTAGAGGTGGAGGTAGTAGTGAAGGAGTAGAGGAAAGTCTTCATCTGGCGCGTGCAATTAGCAACGCCAACGGAGACAGCTCCACGAGGAGCAGTGTCGCCAGTCAGCCTGCTCCTGTCGGCCACGTGAGTGCAACTAAGAGCGCGGGCTGTTGCTAACTGAGTAGTTGTTGTATGGGTGTGGAAATATACATAACTGGGGCGCATTCTTGTATCAGAAGGTGAAACATTTTAAGGCTACCGCTCGAACATTCTCAGAAGTGCAATCCTTGACGCTTTTTCTACTTCATGACAGGAAGCAAGGAGTCACCCGCCAGGGGCACGAAGACGGTAGTAGAACACAGGATGAGGATGTAGAGAAAGGGAGAGTTTTAATTAGTCATGTCTCCAGAGATTAACTGCATCAAAAGGTACAGCTCGAGGCTCTTGCATTTTTGAAATATTATTTCCATTACTACGTGCATCTACATCATCTACTTCTGCGTACGTAAACGTACATCATCTGCTTTCCATTGTTCAACATTTTCCTGCAAACTGGAGGCTTGGTCGCTGCTCCTGCACGCTCGGGAGGAAACCCCAGATGAGTGAACGATTGCACACGCGTCTAAGCACGTGGAAGAGATTAGATATTTAAATCTAATCATCGTTTTTGAGTGCGACTGCATGAGAGCATCAGAGATTCAAAGACGACAGAGTTCATGTATACTGGACGCATCACAGGCGCTTCATAAAAGTCCTTTTCCCGATTGATTAGCATTATTGATTTACTGACAAAAAACAAAAGGAGTCACTACCACGACTCCTTCTACAACTACTGGAGGCAATAGTTATCGCGAAGAGACTTGCTCAGGTCAACTAGTACATATTATTGATGTCGTAACTACATGTTTTATGTTTATTAGCCCTTCAAACATTGTATATGTCATAACTACAAGATGCGTCCGCGTGTGGAGTCTTTCGGGAATTCTCAACAGCAACCTCACTCCTCCTTGGGAAATCACTCCTCTTCCGCAAATCTCTCTACTTCAGCAGCAGTCCATCTTTTATGGCTAGTTGTGCTCCGAATCCGAAAAGTAAATGAAAATTAGAACTCTTGTTCAGGAGCCAACCATGTCAGTCTACTAGGGAATCTAGTAGACACACTCCTAACCCAACCTGACGAGTTTCCGTTTAAGATTCTGAATCGTGTGTGCTGCACTTCGTTGTATTCTGACATCTGGAGTCCCATCCCTTCTTCAAAAGTAGTCAAGGGAAATCTAAGTCAACAAGAAGGGGAGAAGCAGTTCATCTCACTTGAGTAGCCGAAGAAGTCACACTACCACTACCACTCCTCATCAAGATTATTCTACTGCCTCTTACTCGTAAACTTGAAATAAGCGAGTAATCTCGAAAATAAGACTAGGGGAATCTTCGCCGGGCAGCGCCTCGCTGGCTGCTGACGCTCGGGCCGAGATATGTTAGAGGGCCCCACAGATGCCCCACCGGCCGCAAAGCGTCGGCAGCAATCTATACCAGAGGCCCGATCCCAGCCCCAGTGGCCGCGCCGCGGGGGATCGGTAAGGCCAGGCGCGCGTGTGTGTGTGTGTGTGTGGTAGATGTTCCCAGCTGCCTTGGCCCTTAGAGGCCGGTCGCGCCTCGGTTGTCGCCGCGCCTCCTGGGTGGAGGCCGGCTTTCCCCCTTTGCTTCGTCCCCGTTCTCCCCCTTTGGCCCCGCCAGGGGCGGGAGACGTCTCCGCCTCCGCTTCCATTTCGCTGAGGCCACGGCAGGCGCGTGCCCTGGCTCGTTTTCGCAGGCGTGTGCTCTGGCTCGTTTTCCCGGCTGCTCGGGTGGTTCGCTGAGGTAGCTCCGCTGCTTGTTCGCTTTGCGCGTTGTCCTCCAGCATTTCGTGGGGCGGCAGTGTGGGTGTGTGACGTTGCTGGGCTTGTTGTCTGGTCGGTGATTCTTCATGCTGCCTTCTGCTTGGTTGTTTCGTTGTTTCCAGTGTGGGGCGCTGCTTGGGCCGGTTCATGTCGTGGCGCCCCCCACGCAGCTTTGGCGTGTGCGTCGTCGGTTTTTCTTTGTCTGGGCTCTTTTCCTTTGCTTCGATGTTGTTCTTGGGTTATTTCGAGCATGTGTCTATCGGCCTGGCTCACTCTCTCCCGTGAAACAAAGGCGCGGGCGCTTCTTGTGCGGGTTGGCCTCGGGCGTGTTTGGAGGCAAGGGCGAAAAAGGCGAAACCAACTCGCTGCATGTATGTGAAGCACATTAAAAACGGGACCCAAGGAAAAGCAACAGGCAAAGGGGTGCGTTTTTCTGGAGTTCCACAACGCCTCCGGCAGGGGTGGCTGGAACTCCCCCGTCCGGTACCGGACGGAGGAGTTCCACTCCGCGCTCCGCAGCCCAAATCCCTTTTGGCCTGCGGACGGCTGCATGGAACTCCTCCGTCCGGTACCGGACGGGGGAGTTCCATCCACCCCTGCGGGCGGCGTTGTGGAACTCCGGAAAAGCGCGCCGCTTTGTTCGGTGCTTTTCTTCGGGCCCCTTTTCTAATGTGATTCGCATTCATGCACCATGCGCGTGCCCCAGCCCTTTCGATCTTGTCCTCCCAAAAGTGTGCGCAGCGGGATGGCTCACAGGGTGGCCCGAAGGCTCGCTCTCCTTCGTCGCATTGCCTGGGAGGTTTCTGTCGGCCCTTCAGGTGGTGTGGTGGGTGTGTGTTGGTATGCCTTTCCCGCAGGCGCTCGGGCTGGTGCGTGCGTGCTCGTTCTGGTCTGGGGCTTGTTGGTTCTTTCTCTCTCTGCTGTCTGCTAGGTAGTCTCGCTCTGTCGCTGGCATTTTGGTGGCTGGGCATCGCAGAGACCTGAGGCGGTGCAGAATGGGTGGGGCAGAGATACTTGCGGCTGGCTTGTTGTGTGGGTTTGCGTTCTGGGCTGGAGGTTGGCTGGGGTGTTGTTCGTCTCAATCTGGCACGCCCCTTGCCGTAGGTTGCTGGGTAGGGCTTGCTATTCCGTTTTCTTTGGCCCCTTTTTCGCTGCTGGTCTTGGTGCTCGGCGCTTCTGAGGGGTTGGCACACGTTGTGACCGGCGTCAGCCGCCCGACATGATGAGGGAATGGGAAGCGGCTTGGTAAACCGAAGCAAGGGCACCGGGCGACAGGCTTGGGGCTGGGCGCCCGCTGCATCGTCGGGCGCCGTTTGCGTGGGAGTCGCAGACCGTGTTGCGCTTTAGGCATGTCCGGCTGGTCGTGGGGGATTTGTCTTGCCCATTTTCTCCTCTGCGGTTGGAGGTTGCCTAGGGCTTACCCCACCCCTGCCCGCTGTGCACGGCCTGCGCTCGGGCTGGCTGGCGTGTGTCTCAATGCCAGAAGAATGGCGAGCGCATCGACAGCGATGGCAACTGGCAAGCCTTTCGTAGTTTTATTTTCTTTGCCAACTCGCTTATTTCAGTTTTTCGAGTAGGTAGAAAATTGCTTGTTAGCCTCAGTCAACAAATTGAAATTGATCGTTTAGAACAACAGATGCAGATAGAGGCTCCGTATGTTGTACTGTTACCGAAACCTAACCTATGGATTATTAAGATGTAGATAGCACAACGACATCAATTGCTGACTTAAACTTTGAACCTTGAACTTCTATCTTCGCTAATTTCCCCTCTTCCTGCGAATCCGAGTAACAATTTGTCGAGTTTCCTCAGAAACGAGCACCGCAGGATCTACAGGGACCGAAGCTTTGGCAAGGGAGAGGAAGTGCTGAGATCGAAGCTCCGGCATCTACTCCATGTTGATAGTTGTACGACCATTGAAGACCATCTTGGCCATCAGATGACCTCGGTCGAAGTTTTGACCAGAGGACGGTCTTTAGACGGTTCGGCTCAACAAGAACATGCGGCAAATAATTCTGCTTCTTAAGGCTTTATGTTATGTTCTTAATCTTAGTAACGTCAGCAGGTGGGATCACTTTCACTTCACAAATAATAGCCTTTTAACTATTCTTGTCAGCTTGATTTCTTAATACTGCCTCATCAAAGTCCAGCATACTCTTCTTCGAAAAAGCATCTTCTTCGCTAACTCTCTAATCTTGAACTTCCATCCTCGCCTTCAACGCGGTGAATCGGAGCAAGCGGTCGCCACCGTTTTGGTCCTCCACTGACACAAAGCGGGAACCAATAGATCAACGTCGCAGTACAACAACCAATGGGAAGACGAAAACAAGCAGTTGTACCAGTACTAGCGATCATCATGGTCAACATCATGGTCCCCTTTTGAGGGTTCGGTCTAGTGGTCACCACATGGCCAATAACCCTCGAACAGCGAAGCGGGCACAAGTAGCTGTAGAGGAAAGTTCAACCTCAGTCGGCTCAGGGTTTCTCGTGAACCGTAGCAAGCCCTATAAGAACACAGCTAGCGTTGTTGACAGACCTGCTTCATCCAGTAGTGTTAGTAGTAGTGCAAAAGGACCTGGAGGATCATCTCGCCAACAGCGTTCTTCTACCTCACTGATTACGACGGCAGCCTATGTCAGCGGCAGCCGGAGGACACCAAGCACCAAGGCAGTCGCTTCTTTCGTTTACGGTTGGTAGTCGTGGTTCTTCTTGAGTTTTTGTTGATCGAGGTTGAGATGGAGTATATAATTTTACAGTGGAGCATATAAGGTTCGAAAACTGAAAATATCCGAGTTACTGACTGAAATAAGGGAGGTAGCTTAACGTCAAGGCTACTCTTCTTTCTCATCAGTATCTCGGTTATTCTGATCAGTTACTTGCTTATTTCAGTTTTTCGAATACTCACCTACCTCCCAAGAAGGTTCTTGTAAGTATCTTTTCATCTAACCTATGCTGGAAAATCTAGGTGAAATAAGTGTAGTTGCCGCACCGGGCAACAGCTATCGTCCCGCTTTTCAGACCGATGTATTCTCTGCTGCTTGCAGTAAACAGGTATCAAAACAAGGTTTTTCTCACGATCACGAGCTACTACCACCACATGACTGCAGTAAGGAAGACCACCAGATGAATGAACTACTACTCCAAGAACCTTCTAAGCACAAGAACAGTGGCGCGAGTTGTACCCCTTCCTCCAAACAACAACGCTCATCGGAAGATTTACATCATGAACTAGGACCTCCACATCCACCAAACGATGAAGAAGACATCAAAGGAACCGACAGCGATGCATCCTCGTTTGACGATGAGACATTACGGCTAGAGGACTATTAGCCGATAATTGATTCATCTTCAGAAGTACTTCTCATGATAGATTTGATGGTCAAGGAAGTTCAACATCTGTAGTCGTGTTGTAGGTGAAGGATAATATCCTCGTAGTTGAAGAACAATTACAAGCGCTAATTCCATCATCTTCACAAGAAAGCCGTGCTGAGGAGCTCAACATAGAGAATTTTTTAGATTGTCCGAATGATGGTCCTCGCGCGCGACAATATTCGCAGTCTGTACCGCGTAACGACCTAGAAGTTGACTCCGTCAGTTGTAGCCTCCAAGACTCTTCCATCAACAGTAATACGAGTAAAAATAGTAGTACTTCTACTAGTTCGTTAAGAAGTACTGCGAGTATGATGTTGAGTTTGAGCTTGAAGAATGGAGGAGACGAAGTTTTAGCCTCCGTTGCGTCTAGTACAAAATTGCCGACATTACTAGCCGCCGACGTCGAACTGGAGAGCGAGATGAGTGCAAGTGCGTCAGCCGAGAAGAGTGGTCTTCTTGGTCCTCATATTAAGGCTACCGCTGAACCATCCTCAACATCATCCTTGGCCCATTTTTCAAGGAGAAAATGGGACCAGGGAGGTTCTCGGGGATGCGAGCGCGGTAGCTCTAATCATAGCAGTTGTGGCAAAAAACACGATCTTCAGGACGAACAACTACATGTGGGACAAAGTATAAGACGAATAATACATGATCAAGAAGGGCATTGTTCTGATTTGGATGTGGTTTCGTCAGATGTGGAGCTTCAGACAGAGGAAACGCCGCATCTTCATCGAGAAATCAACGCGATAGTGTTTAAAGACGGTAGAGAAGGAGCGAAAACTGGTGTTAGGGATACAGTCAGTGCTTTGGTAATTATACCAATTTCGTATTCGTGTGGGGTAGGAATAATAGGCTGGGTGGTAGAAAAATTTGAATGTTGGGGCATGCCTATTGAGGACTGAGTCCATACTTTGAACCGACAATAGTTTCTAATCACGTCGTCGCGCACAAGTCTTCCCATTCACAGCACAAGAAAAAACGTCACAAAGCCGCTCAATGGATCCGAAGGAAGAAAAGAGAAGCAGCATTAGCCGTTGTCCACGATTCACACGCCCTTGAGTCGACCAAGACGCTTCTAGCTTGCAGGACGTTTTCGAGTAGCAAGAAGAAGCATAAGATTATGGGCAAATCATGCTCATGCGATTTTTTACTCCTTGAAAATGATGTTTTGGGATTTGGAGCCACCTTGTAGGACAACGCGTTGATTGATGTGGTCCTTCTATTCTTTCACTACCTTGGTCACCCGTTGCATCCTTCTAACTTTAAAAAACGAACTCGTGACCGTTATGCTGTGCGGTCTGTATCGCCGGATCTGATTCGACGGCTCTCATACTTCGATGAGGAATTCGTCTGGCTTGGCGAGAAAGTTAAGAGGATGGGTCTAAAGAAAAGAAGGTTACGTGGTTATCCTTATCGTGTCCAAATGAGTAGCGAGATGAATAAGAGTAAGGCTAAGAATGTAAAAAAGCCTGATGCAGATGCGAACAATCATATGGATCCCATGACTCTGCTATCCTCGTCTTAGAGGTAGGTTTACTATCCCATGACTTCTCTACTAAGCTATTTATTCCCTCTAACCTCCAGCGTGACAGAGAAGACGAAGATGTCCACGACATCGATTCTCTCGAGGAATTTTGTGCTTTCCAATCCACCAAGGCACAAGCAACAACAGGAGAGTTGTTCCAAGGTGACGAGGATGTTGGGGAAGAAACGCATATAGATGAGATTGCTGTCTATAAAAATGATAATACAAGAAATGCATCATCAACAACAAAGCCAGAAGACCAAGACCTGGAGTTCTCTACTAGTACTTCTGCAGGAGCAGCAGGAGGAATGATGACCGAGAAAATGAGGATGTCTCCAAGGCGTCGCGCCTCATTGTCTGATATCATGCAGAGCCTTTTTGGTGCGATTCGGAGACCAGGCTCTTCCTCTCGACATCAAGTTGGAGAAGGAAAGGACCATGATGATGAAAAATCTACGCCTCCACCAACGACGTTTCTTCGTGGCTTTCGTCGCGGCTCCTATCATAGTGGCGACAGTGCAGAGAAACAGAAAGGTCAGCACGAGCACTCATCAAGAAATAGTACAACAACCACAAGAAGAATGCTTATCGATAGTACAGCTGCATCACGACCTGGTGTGACACCGTTAATCGCAAGAGGACTTTACGATCCTCTGCGAGTAGGGCGACCGAGCCTCTCATCTCCTGGAGTCGTGGCTGTAGGAGAGCGAGGGACAAGAGACGGAGCCCTTGCAGGCGAGGCAAGTGAGGACAAGATTGATGACATCAGTTCGAGCCCTGTACTAGTCGGTGATGGCGAAAATTCACAGCTGCTTGTGTAGATTTGATAGAGGGGAGAGTGTGTAGCTGCTTGGCCAGTATTTCTAGTAAGGCCCTCGAGATTGCTGAGGCTGCTTCCACCGAGAAAGAGAATCCACTTTGTAGCCTCTTTGAGAGGGAACAAAAACGTTTTTTTCGATCCCGTGCTATAGCGTACTGAAGGCAGGTGTCAGCCGCATCTAGTAAACGAGTTGTACGTCAAATTTTTACAACTTTCATAAAATGAACATGCCCAAGGATAGGGAACAAAAGTGTTTCGTTGGTAGAGACAAATGTTTAGAGTCAATTTTTCTCGAAGTCTGACTATGTCATAAGTTTTACAGCAACAAGTATTTTGCCGTTGAATGAAGATTCAGTTTGAGTATGATGTATAGTTGTAGTGGAAATATCGAAGCATTAGATTTGACTCATGAAATTAAAGAACGCATGACCTTCACCATGGTATCGGAGTGTTATCATCTAACGTAGTTCACGTCTCACCTCCATTTGAGTCATTCTTCAGTTATGTAGTAGTTTCTAATTCTAAGTGGACGGAATCAGGCAGCGAGAGTTGTCACGTGATTCGCAAATGAATGAATGAATGAATAAGTGCATCATGTTGTTTTGTAGTTTCTATCGTCCATCCATGTGGTCGTCCTCGTATAGTTGATAGTAAATGTAGATGTAGTTGTTCTGGTTGTGGACATGACCACGGATATAATTACGACGGACAAACATAGGAAATAAGTGCTGTAAAACATAGGAAATAACAAGTGCTGTAAAACATAAAAAAGGCAGTTGCATAAAGGTGTAGCTATAATGTATCAGTATCATCTGCTCTCAAAAATTTTTGATTTTGAGTTGGGGAGAAGAGGTCGACCTCGCATGAGATTAATCTCGCAAGAGCATACGCCAGCACGTCTACAACACGGAAAGATTATAGACTTCTGCAGCAGGTTCGCGCTTCCTTGGAGGTCTTCATCCGCTTCGGGCTAAGCTGCATTTGAATGATCGGTATCGTCGGTAGCCTTGCTTGAAGAATCTACTTATAGTGTTAGTACCAACATGACTGTAGGAATTCACGTCGGGACGAAGGTTGGTTATGGTGTCGGTCTTCATTCAGTCGGTCTTCATTTGCGCCCACCCTTGCTGGTGCGTCGAATGTGTCGAAAACTTGTAATAATTGTATGTAATGTATCTGTAAAAAATGTTCTCCCTTCCCCAGACTCCCACGTCAACCAAAATTACATTGTTCGAGCTAGCGTGTGTTGCGCCTCAATTGTCTTGTTTGTGACCGCGTTGCAAATGTGATCAGGGCAAACTAAACTATGCTCGGAACAACATCAAAATGGTAAGACTCTTCTTGTGATCTTCCACAAGTCACTGACTCAGTGCAGCGTGACGAGTGTCAAAGATTACCGCAAGTAAAACTACGATTCTTCTTCTGCTGAGCTGTGTCATCTTCCTGCAGACAAAGATGTAGAAGAGGAGTCCCCAAGACGTGAACCGTCATATGAATTCCCTTTCTTGAAACAAAGATGATTCCCCAAGCAGGGATTCCCCTAATATGCAGCTGCCTGTTAGCGGTGATGTTGTTCACAGGAACGCAGGTTGCCTGTCTTTCGGATTCCCGGATGCGCCCTGGTCTTGTGAATACCGAAATAGAGGGGTCGTTTTATGCAGAGGAGCAAGACGAACCAGACCTTGACTACTACAACCAAGTTGATTTTGACTTCGAGCACCCGAGTAAGACCCAACAAGGGCAACAAATAGCACGACGACGTGACCGCATCCTGGCACACGCGAATGCTGTTGGGAGAGTGTTGGAAAAGGAACATGATCAGGAGCATCAAAAAACGTCAGAGCAACATCAAAAAACATCAACCCTGGATCTGAGAGCTGCTTCTTCAACATTAGACTTAGAGAAGACCTACCAAGCTTTCGGTCGTGCTGCGATGAAACTAGAGCAGCAAAAGCGACAACAGATACTCGACCAAGTGGAGAACAAAGGAGTTGTTGTATTGGGTGGTCGTGGAATTGGAGAAGGAGAAAGCGACACAACTCCTGAAGTTTCTAATAATGAAGTGCAATCAGATGATGATAGCATCAGAAAGTCAAGACATCTTCGAAGAAGTGTAAAAACTACAGGGCAGGAACAAGGACAGGATCAAGAACAATCACTCTTAGCGAGTAAGGACGACGATGGTTTCGAATACAAACTCAGAGACCGCTTCTTTGACAGCGTTTCCGACAGAGACCGTGACGCTGGTGTATCATTAAGGCTTAGGATTCTTCAGCAGCTTGCTGTTGATCTTGCCTTCGGCATGGTGTCATTATATACATCATTGACATTGAGTGATCATGTACAGAAGCTAGCTAGCCCTAGCTCATATTTTGGTTCAGAACTAGAAGTCGAGAATGACTACCTAAGACGCATGATGATGATGATGATGATGATGATGACTAGACTTCATGCTTATTTTGGTTCAGAACTTCTAGACGTCCCTGTGCGCTAATCCCCTCAACCAAGGAGCTCGGCGGCAATTCGTGGCTCAGAGGACCGAGATTTGAATCCGAGAAGCTGAGAAAGGCACCCATTAAAACATGGATGATCCTTGCAGTGTCGATTCTACTAGCCATCGTTACGGCCGTCGCGGGTCTCTGCTGCACCTTGTGTTTGGATCCACCGATTAGGGCACATGTATTCTTTTATCCCGCTCAAACAATCTTTCCGTCTACTCCTCGTAAACCAACGTAATGTTGAACAGAATCCATGCATACATGACGACCACTAATGCTTCGAATTATATCTCCTCATTTTACTCACCTCGTCTCCTCACTGACCATCAAACAGAGTACCGCTCAAGCATCAGCCGAAGTGGATGGCTGGTGGCGCGAGACAGAAAAACTAGGAGCCAAGCTCCTAGCCCAACACCAAAGGACTCGGACTTCACAGATCGCACGATCACTGGGGATAGATCCACAGTCACTGTATCGCTCGTTAAGGCCTCCAACTTGTAGAAGAACTAGTCGTATGGAACACATTGTCTAAGTACTTAGAACAGCTCTAATTGACTTTGCAGCTCCTTTCTTGAAATCTCATTCTCATCCTCAGTTTCGGTCGGGTCTACTGTTGCAACTAATCGAAATCTCAAAATAACCGAGTTGCTGACTGAAATAAGGGAGGTAGCTTACTATCAAGGCTCCCCTTCCTTCTCGTCAGTGTCTCGGTTATTCTGATCAGTTACTCGCTTATTTCAGTTTTTCGAGTAGTTATTTCGTCGCTCGTCCCCGTCTCCTTCCTCTAACAATCACGGTTGCAAACGGTCGGGAAGGGAGTAACTCTTCGAACCAGGAGCCATCCGCTAGCGTCATTTCTCAGGTGGAAGACGCAAAAAGTAATGGAGGTGCAGAAAATGTGAAGAATTTAAGGGGAAAGTTCTTTCGCTTCGACTACTTCCATTTATTTGTCACACTGACAACAACTTCCACTCTTCTTGATAGATGGTACAGATATTGAGTCATAATTGAGGCTGGCTGCGTCTGCGTGTCGTGACTTGTTCACAGTCACTAATCTGGGCAACTCATAATGACCATGTGCAATTCAACTGGAAGAAGTTGAAGTGCACATGGGAACGAAATGGCACTTCTAACCCACCCTGGGAACGAAATGTCAGATCGAGCTTCCAATAGCAGGTCTTCAACCGAGGACGTGAAATCTGGGAGAGGCACGACCTTCAAGGCAGCCGCGAATCGCACGAGGCTTCAGGGTACTGTGGCTAGACTTTTTTCGGAGAAGGATTTGGAGGATATCGACCCTTCCATGGTAGCGATGCAGAGGCAACAGATTATGGGTATCGAGCGGTCCAACACCTTGATTAGCGACCACCACCATAGTAGTGGAAAGCAATTGCAGCAGCTACGAAGCACGACACGTGGTCTTAGCGGCCTCGCCAGTGTGAAACGAAATCACGCGAGCACTTTTTTGCTAGGAGCTACGGCAAAAGGCCAAAACGAAGAAAAAGAACACGCTGCAGCAATGGGCAGGTACGTAGATGCGTTCGGTCGTGGAAGCGGAAAGGAAAGGGAGTCACTGAAGGCAGGTGGAGGAAAGAATGGGGACGAGAATTATGGCTATCCACGCGCAAAGACTATGTAAAGCTAAATGGACGAGAATTTCAAATTATAACCAAAAGAGAGACACTCACATGGCGCTCGTCCTGTGATTCCACTTCCCCTTCTAACCTCTACAACTAGCGGCACCTGTAGTAGGTGGCTTGACTGCAGCGAGTAGGCGCGTGATAAGCAAAAACCGTACAGAACAATTGCAAGCGGTCGCAAAAACATCGACGTCGCTAAAAAAGGAAAGCACATCTCCACCCTCTAGTCCGAAGCAAGTGTCCTTCTTGCGCCACGAAGATCAGGAAGATCAGGAAGATCAGGAAGCTATGGCAACAAAACTTGAACTCAAACTTGTCTATTGATGATGGATGTAGTACTTCCGCGTATTTTGTGCTGGCTGTCGTGCTTGGTAACAGGTGGAAGTACGTTAGACCAGTATAATACCTATGAACAATGTAGTAGAGTCGTACAGATATTTTTACAGTATTTACCTAATAAACTTACATCAGCTTGCTCAGCCCCCACGTTCACGCCGTCTTTCTGAAACTCAACCTCTAACTTCCAAAGAGACCGCAGAACGACAAACGAAGGATATGTTGTACAAGACGGCCACTTAAACGAAATCGGGCCTCGACCAGCCACCAGCAAATCGGAACCACAGGATAGGAGTAGTATTGGTTCTCGTGCCATGTTCCACAGCTCTCCGAAGGCGGCTGAAGTTGCCAGAGGCCACGGTGATATGACTAGTGTTAGGGAGGAAGAGGAGGAGGAGGAAGAGGAAAAAGTGCTGGACGAGACCGATGCTGAAGAAAGTGGTGCGGGGAACAAGGGAGAGAAGTGAATTATACATAGAAGAACTTCAACATCGGATGTATTGAGTAGTGTTAGTTACTAGCACTTGTAGTGCTGTTGTACTTAGACGACAACAAGAACATCCTTGGTACTTCTTCGAGCAGTTTCTGGCGCTTTGAACAGGGCCACGGACAGATACCATGCACAGGAAAAAATCAGAACTATGTTCTCCTTCTGGGGACAGCTAGTGTCTATCGCTTGTGATTCGATACGATCACTGTAGACGCATTGTCTCGGCATTATCTTTCGTCCTTCGCCTAGAAGTGGGATAGTTGATTTGAGTACTAAATGTAGAAGAGGTTCTTCTTTCTTCCGCCATCTCGCATCTACACATATTTATGATGATAATTCGGCCTTGACGTGGTCCATAGAGAACACCAATAATTCTGCCTCGAACTACTCGCCCAACTACCCGATCATTATAAGTATCCAAGTACACACAAAACACCAATAAAATGCCCTCTCTGTCGCCCACCTCGGTGGGCGCATTGGCAAGTCGAGCGCGGTTGCCTGGAAATATAGGCGATTCATTGGATACCTTCATGAATTCAAAGCCTTCGATTGACGTAAATCGTCATGTCTTGCGGAGGAAAGGAGGAGAACTACAGCCCAGCACAGGTGGACGCGGCTCAAGGTCTTCTAGCATGATGAACGCATCAAGAACCTCTGAAGTTCACCATGCTGACGCGCATAACCAACATCCACCTCCCGCTCCACCTACAAGTGGCGCTGCCGAACAAGAAGCAGCTCGCTACCAGATGACGCGGACGCAACAGGAAAAAAGCAAGAATGCACCACTGTCCATTCATGAGCAGTTCCTTGCTGCCAATAATTTGCCGATGATGCAGTCTAACTACAAGTCCTTTCGCGCACATTCAGTGGATAAGATGTCTGAACAAGCGAGTAGGGGTAGGCATGGAGGTAGGCAGAGAAGAGGTGGTGAAAGTAATTATTCTGGCGATCATGCAGAAGAGGATGGCGCATTCTCAGAAGTAGGGTCATCGTCATCAAGAGTATTACATCAAGATGCTGACAGGAGAATGAACTACATGCACGATAACAGTGGAGCAGCACTACTACCTCGTGACGCTGATATGCACACTTACGGTAACGGGCTATTACACCAGCGTGACGCTGATATGCACACTTACGGTAACGGGCTACACCAGCGTGATGTCGATTTGCACACGTACGGTAACGGGCTACACCAGCGTGATGTCGATTTGCACACTTACGGTAACGGGCTACACCAGCGTGATGTCGATTTGCACACTTACGGTAACGGGCTACACCAGCGTGATGTCGATTTGCACACTTACGGTAACGGGCTACACCAGCGTGATGTCGATTTGCACACTTACGGTGCTGATCTACGCAACAACAATAGCAACGACATGACTGACCAAGAACGAGATGAATATCTTCGGAGAGGGTTGCTGCACTCCCGATCAAGTGTTGGAGGATCTTCGAGTTGTTCTGCTAGCTCCTCCGCAACGTCGAGGACGGGCATTACAGCATCGCGACGAAACGCTGGTGGTCCATCCCTAGATTAAGGCTTGCCGTAATTCATCTTAAGAGGCATCTTTGGGCACGATTTCAAGGGGAATTCACTTCAAAGATGCACTTTAAGATGAATATGGATAAGGTCTAACTAGATGAGCTTTACTTTGAAAACCGAGTGGCCCAATTGTTCGGACATGGACACATCAACAAGAAAGTGAAATCCAGAGCTTTTCGTCACGGGGCGCCGATAAGTGGGAATTATGAAGCACCATAGTTTGCTCTAGCATCCGAATACTCACGTTTAGTGCTTTTTATTATAGACAAATATGCAGCATGGTGGATCACCACCTCATGCTAGGCACATTCATTCATTCACTCATTCATCTTCTATCCTACTACAACAGGATATCTTCCGTCTTCCTCAACTTTCTAAACCTCTCTCCTCTGCAAAACGGAAGCGGATGTCATAAAGAACGCAGCTACAGAACTGCGAAGACACCCAGATGACGACTTTGACGAGCTACCCGCAGCAGGTGTGCGCAAGGAAAAATCATCTATCCTAGCTGCAAAAGGAATGAATAGGCATACTGGGATGTCATCGGGAGGGATTAAGTTATGCTAGAAAATCGAGGACTTTGGTATGCTCCAAAATCGAGGATCCCCTTTCCGCAGTCTTTCTCTAATCACTAGCTGCCTAACGATGACTGACGAGGAGACGCAAAGTCACGATGGTGGTGCCAAAAACAAGTCGAAGAACTCTAGCACTACGTATCCACCGCTCCACACAAACATGAGTTCCTCCTCTATGAATAAGAACAACAAGAGCATGAACCTCGCTGATGCCGAAGACGCCGCAAAGCACCTGCTGCAAGAACTACAGTCTCTGAATACTGACAGAGACAGTTCCCTAGCTGCCAGGTCGCGCAGTGGTCGCGAAGGCTCCTTCGGCTCGCGCGCGCCTTATGCCACGCACTCCATCTACGCGCAACAGCGTAATAAGGAGAGAACCACAGCGCAGGAAATCGGAGGAAGTCAGATACATGAAATCGACTTGGTGGATGTAGAGAAGATGTTGCAAGCTCAAGGACTAGGACAGCAATCTTCATCGATGCATCGAGGACAAGCATCTTCACCAGAAAAGAAGCAGCAAAGGGAAAAGCGGAGAAGAGAGAAGAAAAACAAAATGTCCTCTGCGTCACCTCCCAAGCATCTCTGTGGCACAGAGGAGCATCGTAATCGCAATGGAGAACAAGAACTCATAGTACAACAACAGCATCATCTTCAAGCACAGCAAAATCGTCGTGCTGGGCTTCAAACTGGAGGCCCGCTACCAGATGAGGGCACCACTTTAGGTGGTAGCTTTCGTAGGCTAGAGGATCGAGGCTGCGCGAATTTGGCCACGACGTTCTTGGTGAATCGCCGACTAGAGGGAATCGAAGAAGAATTAGGCGATAAGATGTAGACCATACAAAGATGTTAGAGGGAATCGAAGAAGAATTGGGCGATAAGATGTAGACAATACAAAGTGAGATAAGCATAATCGCATACTGCTACGTAGAAAACGAGGACATCCATAGAAGATCATCCACGGCTTTGAAAATACAGATAAAGTACAGGACTACATGGTTTGAAAAGCAATCTTTGTGTCTCAGCAATATTTAGCGCTAAATCCATCGATCATAACAATCACATGTTTGCTTATTCCGTTCTACTTAAACGAAAGAACATACAACTATTTTTTTCAAGAATAACACAAGGAGACTACTACATACTCATCAAGCCATATTGAATTTGCGTGCTTTCTAGGACTAAACATAACTAATCTGAATATCTTCGCAATTCGCAATGCATATGCATAGAAATCTTAAACTCTCCTCCCTTTGGGGCTGCGCTTGTACAGGTCAAATGCTTGAAATTTGGACAACATTGGAAATGGAATTGGATGTTAAAGCGTACGCGAGGACTATTCTTGAAGATGCAAGAACAATTTATGCTGCACCCAAGTGGGAAGCGGTCGCGCACGCGATAGAAGGAAGATGGATTGTTGTGGAAAATTGGTGCTGGTGAAAAAAGTTGATCTAAGTATGTTCAGGAGAAAACGAGCACTGTGATCAAATGTCGTCGGAAATTTGAAAAGCAGAAGCGCGGCTTTTGCGCACGAGATTTATTACATTCAAGACAACTCGTGATAAAACATACATAAGCACATCAAAATGTCATCCCCCGGCGGCGTCTCGGCTGGCGGTTCCTCGCCAGTGCACAACCTGCTAATGGGTGCAACTGGCAACAGCCTGGCCAACATTCCTATGACTTCGGTTTTGGCTGAATTTGAGCCTTTCCGGTCTGGCGTGGTCTTGGGATCAGGCGCAGCGCGAAGGTCGGTGACATTGGGTTACTACAAAGTCGGAGTCGAACTGGCGCAAGGGAGCGAGGGGGATGTCTTCGCGGCCGTGCGAGTTCCTCATAACAGGCAAGTGGCACTCAAAAGAGTCATGATTGCGGGACCGAAGGTACCTCCTCAATTTCCGTGCTAATTACATATACTAGCCTGATGAGCGCCTATCCATAGCCTCGTGAATGTCACAGAAATAGAAGATCTTCGATTTTTGACTATCCACATCCAGACCCATCATCATCTTCATTGAACCAGACCAAAAAGCACGTTTTGACGGAACTAACGGTAGCCGCTGCAGCTAATGATGCCATGTGGGAGGAGAAGAAAAGATTGGAAGCAGATAACGAAGAAGCCAACTTCTTCACGTGGGAGGAGAGCGGCGCACATTTATGAAAAGTATGTGTATAATGTGGAAGTGCCAACACAAGCGAGTCGCACCACCATAACCACGATGTTTCTCACCGAAGACTACAAAAGATGATAGCCAGGTCAACACTAGCTTACTTACACGTAAAATGTCCTAGTTTTCCTCTTTCATAGCCCCCCTACATCGTCCACGTCCGAGATTGGTTTGCTGGGGTGGATGGACCAGACCGAGAGATCTTCCTAGTCATGGACCGTTGCGATTTTGGACTAGATGATCTCATACGAGGAGTGAGGGAGGCAAGGGTTGGATATGGTATGATTGGTGGATTGTTCTAGGTCACGACAGTGACAAGCCGCGACTTTTAGATCCCCTCTCGTAAATCTAAATGTTTGGTCTCGTTCTTCAATGTCAACGGCCGACACCCTCTCTAGTTATTACCTGATCTTGCTATCTTCAATTTCATCCACCTTCTTGTCATTCTTTGAGATTTTTACAAGGAAGGTGAAGTGCGAGCTTCCCAATCTGATTCCACGTTCCTCTCTTCCTCTCTTCCTCACATTTCATTCCCCAACGTTCCTGCACTGCTGCTGAGCCCGGTACTATTGGCCGTTACCGCTTTCACGAGAATGAGATCCGAAAAGTGTTTCTCCAGATGTTAGAGGGCCTGGCCTTTTTAGGCCGTGTAGGCGTGATTCACAGAGACGTGAAGACGGAGAATATACTGTGGAAGCGTGGGGACGGAACCTATAAACTTTGCGACTTTGGGGTGGCGGTTGTGGTGGATAAGAAAGATTTATGAAATGAAACTAGTATTTGTATTGGGTTGAAGTAGTTATGAGATGGAACTAGTATTTGTATTTGGTTGAAGAACTAGTATTTGGATGTTGAAGATGATCACGAGAAGATGACCTTTTCAGAAGGTACAATCAGGCTGAAAGGGCCTCAACAATCCCATTTGACAGGATGGACAATGAGGTAGCATGACATGACATGACATGACATGACATGGCCGGTCATTAGTTGATTTCAGCATATATCCTTCCCATCCTTCTTCCTCCTTCATTCCCCAACCCTCGTCTGTCCGTGCCGACCAAAGCTCGAGCTCATTGCGGCACGTTGTGGACCATGAGTCCAGAACTTCTACGTGGCAAAGTCCACGATGCGAGCACTGACATCTGGTCTTTGGCTTGCGTCATCTATGAGATGGCCTTTTTAGACAAGGCCTACAGCAGCTTAGAGCTGATGGCTTACCAGAACGACCATAGTTTGGACACGCTGCAACCACCGATCGTTTGGGTAAACAAGGCGAAAGTGGGAGCATCGTCGCCAGCTGGGTGTGGGACGCCTGGATCGATACCTGGGATAGGGAAAAGTGCGTCGTCGCCTGTTATTATGTTGGAAGATTTATACAACACCTGAAGATTTGTACAACACCTCCTGATACAACTGAAGATACTGGTTGAAAACTTGAAACTACATCAAAAAATGTAACGTAGTAGAAAATTTAAGAACGAACCCTGTGTAAATAATATCTGAGAAACTTCTCCTATCGCTACGGCTACTCTATATATGCATCAGGAATTTATTCTAATCTGAGTCCCGGTCTCCGAGGCGCAGCTCATAGTCCTTCCCATCTAGGCGGCGGATCGCCGAAGACTAGAGGCCGTCTAGGCGGCGCCTCAGGTCCACCCCCACAGAGTAAGATTACGTGGTTGAAATGGATATACTCTCGGGATTTGAAGAAAGTCCTCTGCAACATGTTCCAGCCGGATAAGAAGTTGAGGGGTACTATGCCTATTTTTTTTTTTAGTGGACTGATACTAGATGTGCATGTGGTGTAACATTTTTACTGATAATTGCCCTTATGGCAGTCTGCACTGAACTTTGTCGGAGCTCACTTGCAAAAATATGCAGGTAGGTTTTGATATATCGGAACTCGCCCGCGATACAAAAAAAAAAAAAAGCGAGATTAATTGTATTGTATTGTATTGTATTGTATTGCATTGTAATGCCACTCATGCACATGCAGAACGTGGCCAACAAGATTGAACCTGGCCTACTGCATCCAGCTTCAAAAAATTGACCTCATCAGCCACCGCGCAAGAATTAAAAAGCAACTACGAGCTTTTACGAGGTGTAGTGGAGAAAGCTCCTGTCTACAGTATTTAAGGGTAGGTTAAAGGTGCTTTTGTTACCGTTTGTTATGGCTCTCCTAAGGAGGACAGCGATAACAAGCGGGAGAACCCACGAACACCAAGAACCTACCTCTAAAGTATTGCCAGTGTGGACCCCAATGAGTTGGTGATCACCGAAGAATTTTCCGCAAATCTCTTTCTCAATGTGGAGTCGCGACCGATAGGACACCCACAGCCGCCAACGAATGACCTGTCGCCCATAGCTTTAAAAAAGCATAAAGAAGCAGTGCAGCGTAGGAACAGCAGAGCTGCACTAGCTGCAGCTGCGAATGGAGGCGTGCCAGTTGTAGCTGGAGAGGGAGCAGTTCAACAAGTAGTAGATGATGCGAGAGCAGTTCAACAAGTAGTAGATGATGCGAACAGGAATAATGCTGGTGCTAGTGGAAGTGGACCACCTAGTGGTGGTGGTGGTGGTGTAGTTGCAGGTGCTAATCCTAGCAGTCCTGGAAGGGAGTCGCCTTCTGCACAACGTCCTCCGTCTAGTAACCCAGAAGACAGACCAACTAGTGCAGCAAGGGCCAGCCGCCCTGAGGCACCACAACTTCAGGCCATACTGCAGTACGATTGCTCGTCACCACCGCTTCCGAGGAGAGAAAGCACGAACGCTGGAAATGACAGCAAAGCTCATGACAGCAAAGCTCCAAGTAGTACGTCGCCTACGACAACGAAGGATGGGAAACAACGAGATAGACCACGATCTGTCTCTAGATCCTCCACATCGCTAGATCCTCCAAAAGGCGTGGGCTCTAACAACTCCGGCACAAGAGCAGGCGGAAGGGCTAAAACACCACTGTCGAGTTCAAGACCTAGTTGTAAAACTCGTTCGACATCATCTAATCAGAACAAGAGTGGGGGACAAAAATCAAACGGTAATGCGCAAAACAAAGCATCTTGTTCCAAAGGAGGCGAACCAGAAGAAGAGGATCCAGTGATGGTTCTCTGGAGACAACTACAAGCCGAAGTAGATCGAATCGAAGTGCCTACACCTACTTCACCGGTTATTAAGGGTTGAAACATTTCATATTTGTACGCATGATTTGGCACATTTCAAGAAGAAACGTGTCAAATATGTAGGGCAAGCATGAATTGTTTCAACCTTTAAGGTTAGAAGAAGATCATCCGCAGGCGGTGGCTCCTCGGTGTCAAACTCTGTGTCTCCCGGTGGGAGAAAAAGTAAAGCAAGAACTTCTGGTAGTACTACAGGTGCAGGTGCAGGCAACCACGGCAAAGAAGTTGTTTTGCAGGTCGACGATCCTCGGGGGGCGGACTCGCCTGACGTTAGGAGTAATGATGTTAGCAGTCCCAGTCGTCCTGACGATGCAAAGATAAGACGTAGAACCAGTGCTACGGCCACATCCCCAGCAGGAGTTCCACTGCCGATACCTATCGCCTCAAGTGGTCACAACGCTGCAGCTGCAGCCTCTACGTTAATTAATGCTCCCACTGGGTCCTCTGGACGTGCTTCTCCGAAGAAGGATCAAGGTGACCCGTTCTCATCTATGGGCCTACCCACATTCGAGGAGCTCGAAAGAAGAAATCTTGACACCAGAGGTGAAGCTTCTGCTTCGTCGGTGTCTGAGATAGAAGCAACCAGCAATCTTCTGGGCGGGATGACAGTGGAAGACGACTTAGAGGTGGTTGCTTGCTCACCAACTCTAGTGGTTCTGGATCATGGTGAGCAACCTCTATTTCATCAAGGAGATTCGTCTGGAACGGTAGTAGATCGTCGTTCACTCGACCAGTTGTACCACGATTCTACTAGTGCAATGACCTCGAGAACAATGACCTCGAGAACGAAAGAATTAGAAGTCCCCACGAAAGACATAGTCCTACCCGACTCGCTAGATGACGCTCTTCTACTTCACGGTGCATCTTCATCCTCGCTGAATACAAGCTGCATGTCGAATCAGTCGAGGCCTAGCACCACGTCGTCTACTTCAGCACAGGTGCTGCTGAATCGAATTGGGCCGTCTGCGAGTTCACCAGTCGTTCTAAGTGGAGGTGTAGTAGCTGGTGCTTCTTCTGGAGGAGCAAAATTGTCATCAGGTGGATCAAGGCCTGCGTCAAGCAGCACAACGACTGGGGGAGGAGCAGGAGGACCAAGCCCATCTACTTCTACGTTTGCAGCTTCCGGGTCAGCCACGTTGTTCACAAAAACTGCTGGCACTATTGGTACTTCTGCAGCTGCCTCATCATCCGCTACTGCATTCATACCACCAGTGCCAATTTCCACTTCTGCGAATGCGGCTGCGGTGGGTTCGCAGGGAAATTTATGCTCCTTCTATTCTCATACGTCTTCATCAGCCTCATCCGGTGTAAGTAGTTCTAGTTCAAGGGCACCTTCAGCAGGTTTCGTCGGGTCCTCCAAGACATCGCTTGCAGTGCGTAGAAGCAACGCCGCACCCCATCAGTTGCGCATCAACCGGTCAAGTCAGGGATTCTCGAGTGCTGAGCTTAATCCTGGAAAGCATGTGGTCGGTGGAGGGTCTTCGAGTAGTACAAGTACTACAATGTCGAATCCCATAGGTGGAAATAAAACCGTTAGCAATGGAGGTGTGCCTTCCGTAGGACGAAACTTTCTCTTCTATGGCGGTGGCGGAGCCAGTAGTACGACGAGCCTAGGGGCAATGATAGGATCTTCAAGCGTCGTGGAGCAAGGCGGTTGCTCGTCACCTGAAATCGATACAAGAGGAGTTACCACTGCGGCTTCGTGGTTCACACAACAGGCAGGTGTGTCATCCTCTACCTCTTCACTCTCAACATCTTCTTGTGGCTTGAACAAGCAGGGCTCTTTTTTTGGAAACAACAATATGAACAGGAATATCCAAGGCTCTTCTTCTAGTAGTCAGTTCATGTTTTTCCGACCGCAGTTGAATTCTGTACCTTTGGCCTTGACTGGTGTCGGGAGGAGCAGGTTGCAGGCGAGTCGGCTTGGAGGGGGGCAGACGCAAAGTAAATGAGTGGGAAACAGATTTGCATACAATGCACTCGCGAAAATCAAGTGCAGTAGTAACTTTAACATAGCAAGAAGATGAAATATTTTTTGGTTCTAATGTTTGTGCGTTCTCGCTCTGTGTATAGTAAGAAAATGACATCCGTGGAGTTCCGCAGAACCATATAAACGTCTGTACAGAAAGTTTGCCCGGTTGGACCACTCTAATCATGTGCATTTCAATAGATCTATGACGCCCTTAAGGCAGTCTGCACTGAACTTTGTTTTGATTTATCGGAACTCGCTCGCACTACAAAAAAAAAAAAAGCGAGATTAATTGTATTGTATTGTATTGATCCTGTAATAATTTTAGCCATGGCTACTCCTACTAACATAGAATGAATGTCAACGACATGCTGTAAAAATGCGAAAGTAAACACATCAGTGGATTATATTAGCAATGAACTTGAACACCAGCATAGCTTAAAACGACCTTAGCATTTTCTGCATGATGAAATTAAAAATGAAAGGTCCTCTACGAGGGCAGAACCACCAACTGCAAATGAAAACGAGGACATGGACTATGGAAAATGAAAACGAACACATGTTTTTCTGTCTATTCATTCACTCAAATTGATACTATGGCCACCAAATCATGTCTAGAAAGCACCAGGGAGTCTTCAATCCGTTTTTCTCATGATACAGTTATCAAATGGCTGCAGCGTCCTGCTGCACGCTGCCTGGTGAGCAGCTTTTTTTCTAGGACGAAAGTGTGTTCATCGTTACGCGGCCTCTATTTTCTACTTTGACATTCACTTTCACACGGTCAAAGTACCTAGGTTCTTGCGGATCTTTCCACTTTCTAATGCTAGTCTTGCGGATGAAGATTGAAGTCACAGTCAATTGATCGAGCTAAAACTGTGAAGAAGCACTATTTTATCTCTCTCCTGCTTCACACACACTGCATTATTAAAATGTCTACCTCACCTCCCGCGGTTACTGTTATCGTGACCGGCGCCGGTGGGCGCATCGGAACTGAGATCATAAGGCAGCTAATGCAGCACTTTCTTCAACAAGTGGAGGCGGAAGGCACGACCTCCAGTGTGGAAATAATAGCAGTGTTGAGGAGTCGGGAGAAGGGAGAAGCCTTGGTAGAGAAAGTATTGGCCAGCATGGAAAGTGGTGGCTCGGCTTCTAGTAATTAAGGCTTGGGAGTTGACATCTCTATGCGCGTCTCTATGTCTTCTTCAACTTCAAGTAGGAAAGCCACAGATATGCGAGCTAGAGACGCCAACTTTCAACCCCTAAAGTAAGACGAGCAAAAGACAGAGATCAGCTTCTGGAGAAGGCGCAACTACCGAGGGGACGAAGAACACATCAACTGAAGAAATGAACAACAACAATGTGAAACTGACTTTTGAGGTTTGTGACGTCAGCTCGAAAACCGATGTCCAGGCCTTAGCGAAACGTTTTGGCCCCTCAAGACCGTTATCCATACTGATAAACAACGCTGCTGTAACACCTGAACGACAGCAATTTACGAAAGAGGGGATCGACTTGCAATGGGCAACGAATGTACTGGGTTATCACTGGATGATTGACGCTTTTGCTTCGAATCTGGAGCTAGGACACAGCAAAATCGGCCCTCAAGAAGCTCTGTCCCCTTCCGTCGTAAACGTAGCCAGTTTCTATGCAGGCGAACTAGACGTAGACGATCCAGAATTCAAAAACCGTCCTTACGATGTCGACGAATCCTATCGTGCGAGCAAAATGGCGAATAGAATGCAGAGTAAAGGCTGGGCCGAGAGGTTGAAAGCTAGAGGAATTCGGGTGAACGCGGTTCATCCTGGAATCGCTACGAGTAAAGTCAGTCTGGGATTAGGATTCGACTTGGACAGAAGCCAAGGAGCAGCAGAAGAGTGTGCGAAGGGACCGGTGACAGTGGCTTTATGGAAGGGAGTAGTAGTGCTGGTATGATTTAGAAGCAGGGAAGATTTATTTTCACTAAATCATGAAGTTTTGGTTTTGTCATTGAAGATGTTGGAGTTCTCACCTTCCGCTCTCCTTTCATTTCCTCTACAAGCGGCAGAGCCGAAAAGCTCAGACCTGACCGGCCTCTATTTCGACTCGGTGAAGCGGTCTAAATGTAAATGGCAGGAGGACAAGGCTGGAGTCGCAAAGTTGATGGCTCTGTGTGATGGATACTGAAAAGCATGTAGTTTGAGTGCACTACTATGATTTTTCTCCCTCGTGGTCTTGCTGGACATTCTTCACTAAGACCTGTAACTCCTTGTACGTTGTTGAGACAGACTGATAAGTACAACAAAAACTGAAAACTCTTTTGATCCCCACTACGAGCGTGAGCGCTCCTCCTTAAGCGGTCGTGTTGTTTATGGGACTGGTGAGACACTTGTGAAAAATGGACGAGATACACAAAGAGAAAGCAAAGACGGACACTGGGTGGAAAAATACACAATGAAATGGCAAAAAGAATCGGATCGGTGTCTTCTGCTGACTACTTTCTCACAATGGACCATTCGATTAAACAATCTGGTTCCAGTTTTAGTCCAAGTATAATAATCGCCTAGGACTCCTAAAACACATTGCCTTACAGCAACATCACAACTAGAGGACAAAATGGTCGTGCAAGGACAAGGCGCGTATCCAACGGCGCTGTCTGCGGCGCCAACGCTACTTGAGGAATCGAGTAGAAAAGGAGGAGGAGCAACAGCCAAGCAAGGAGCATCAAGGCAACAGCAAGAAGAGCCGTCAAGAACGCCGATGTTTTTACCTGTCCCTCCTCTGCGTCCCAACTCACAGCACACATCAAGCCCTGAAGATGCTCACATCACACAGAATCAGAATGCATCTTCTTTCACGAGGACCTCCTCAAACACATACGCAGCAGCCTTCAGACGTCGATCGAGTGTCATGTTCGATATGTTGCGTCGCAGTTCAGTGGCAGAGCTCTTCTCCTCTCCGCCACATGAGACACTACAAAGACTTACGGAGTTCATACGGAAAGCTGACTCTACGTTGAGGGCTACTGGGAAGGTCATTAGTAGTAAGTAAGTACTTATTTTGGCAGACACGGCTTTTGCTTGGGTAGTAACAAGAATCCTCTGGAGAAGACATAAAAATATACCTTCCTTCGTTGTAACAAATACAAACATGTGACCATCTTTAGGAGGTGGAATCTATAATCCTCAAACTGATTCCCTCCATTCAGGTCTGGCGTTCTTCCCTCACTGCCGACGACCTCCACACCTTGCGATTGATCCAGATTTTCTTTTTCGGGAACCACGTGTTACCCGTTGTCTACTACTACCTCTTCGACAAGCAGCCGAAATTTCCTGCTACCATCAGTCATAATCTCCGCAACGGTTGGCCCAAGCTGATGAACCATGTCTTCTTCTTCATGGCTTGGCTCTACTTGATGCCCTTTGTGGGGAGGCGGATTGAGGTAGATCAATTGCTAGCGATGAGCAGGTCGAAGAAGGAAGTTACTGGTCGTGGAGGCGCTTCATCTTCAACAAGAACACCCTCTTTCGCGGAATACTGTAGAAGTGCTGTGGCTTTTATGGCAGCTATGCGGACGTATTTGTCTTCGAAAATGAAAGACCTGGCAACTACATCTTCTCAGCGGATGCTCGCAGACGATAGGAACTTCTACCAAGAAGACTCAGTGTCGGAGCAAAACTTTCCTGGTGCAGCACCTGCACGACCTAGCAACGACTCAGTCGCATCACTGCGCAGTAATCGCGGTGTGTGTCTGCGCTTACGAGACTTGGTGAGTCTGTCGTCTTCGTCTTTGAGTGATGTCACTGACCCGGAGAGTGAATGTACTCACACGACAGTCGACCACGGAGAGGGCCACGACGAGGAGGAAATTGAAGAGCACAAAAACGTCAACGTGAACAATCATCCTCGCTCTGCAGCAGCACTCCTGTCTTCACCTTGCGGCTCCGATGCTACTAGGAGGCAGACAACAAGGGATCATATTGCTGAACATGAGGTAGACGAGGAGACTGTGAAGAAAGGGGAATCTGGCGAAGAAGCAGCGACAAATTCTACAACGTCGTCTAGCACCAAACCCGAACAACAAGAACAGATAGTTGACCAACAGCAACTACAACAGGATCAAGAAGCCACAAAAGCTTTTGCGGAAAAATGGAAGAATGTGTTTGCAGATTGTCTTCTCGATAGCGATCCTGAAGTTGCGCATAAACTGGCTTCCTCTTTCGTCGACAAAGTCGCAAAAGTTTACTCGGTGTTTTTGGCTTTGCGACGTGGTGGGATGAAAGATGGGACTACATCGAGGATAGCAGAATTGAAGAAACTGCTACTAGAAGAAGACCCTCCTTCTGCTCTTCACACTAGTGCTAGCATACCACCAGCAACATCAGGTCCAGCTAGTGCTAGCATACCACCAGCAACATCAGGTCCAGTCCAGGACAAAACCCAACTACTAAGTTAAGGCTGTACCTAATACATCTTTGGACGCATCCTTGAAACGTATGGAGGAGTATCCACCTAAGGGAATAACTCTCTCCTCCATACTTATTTTCAAGGATGCACTTGAAAGATGAACTTCGGACAGCTCTAACTAAAAACCACCACGACAGCACCCCAATCTTCTCCTCTTCTTCAAGAACATTTGGATCGACTCCGCAGTGCACGTGTCCAATTCGCACGCATGATTTTAGCCTGCTCCTTTCTCTGTCTAGCCGTTTTCAGACTGGGTGGCGGTCGCAGATGGGGTAAGGTCCCTCTGCACGTGTGGAATATGTTCCACTACTTCTTTGCGGGAGGGTACATGACGACTCTACACTTGTCGTCGCTGTATGTTTGGTCGCAGACGCCGTTTTATTAAGACTCGATCATGTGTACTACTACCACCTGCTACTAGGTCCGACAATGTTCCTGAACAGGGTGAAACAGGAGGAGGAGGCCTTATAGTTATTAAGTGTCAAAAATTGAAATTCTTTCTCCAACATATCTAGGCCTCTCCAACATATCTAGGCAACTTCGAATCTATATCTAGGCCTCATTCTAATCCCGTCGTCGTTGGTTCGTCCTCAGCGCAGCTGGCTTAGCCACTTCAATCACGTGGATGTCAGCGATAAAAGCAAGGATCGGCATGGACCCGTTGGATGAGGAATATGGGTTTCACGTTTTGATTCGTGATAGAATGCTACTTTCTGCTGGTGCTGGTGGAGGGAGCCCTTCAAACCAGATCTTAAGGCTTCAACAAAAAAGTCACCTTAAATTCTTACGAAGCATTCTTGAGCTTGACGTATTAATTTTCAGGGGGGATATTTATGCTCAAAGATGCGTTCCGTGATGAATTATATAATCGGTAAAAATGTCTAAAAATAATCCCTGGAGGTGCTGCGTTCCTACGTCGGCAATTGCGGTTATTGTGGTGGGTCGAGCTGCTAGTGCAATTGTCGGAGAACTCGCTTTTCATCGCTTTTGTTGCGGGACTGCGGAGTGGCCTGAAGGAGCACTGCGTCAACGTGGAGCCAGTGGATTTGGAGAAAAGAAAAAATAAGAATGATCATTTAAAACTCGTTGTGGAGGGCAAAAGGCTTGAGAAGGGTGCAAGTGAATGAACACAATCTTCTGTTACTATCACACATTATTTTGATTTTCCATTTCCAAGAAAACCGAATTGACAAGTACTTAGATGAATTATGAACATTCATTTAGGTCAGAACTGACTCCTACTTGTAGTTCGTGTACAACTCGAATTTCATTTATTCCTCTTTGCGCAATGCCATAATCCATTCAACTTAATGTTGTACTAACTGTGCCGTATATCTTCCATACAAAATGATGATCGTTTTTGACTGATCGATGGATGAAAGCGCAAACCGTTTTTTGTTTGCACTTGCACAGATCACAAACTTTGAATTTTTAGTAAGTTAGCCGTAGGGCATGTGTAGTGCCAGGCTAAAACAAATAGATCGACTATAATGTTGTCATATTTATCTTAGGGGGCTCGTTTTTCATGTTTTGCAACCAATCTATCATATCCGAGCGCCATGATTTACCAAGTATTGTAAGTATTTCTCGTTTGGTCCTTTTTTGATGAAGTTAGAAGTAAATGTCTAAGTGGTTGTGGTTACATTGGTCAGGAGCAGGACTCGGGAGTAAAAAGGAAGTTAGTAGAATACAACGCACTGCTCACATCCAGACTCATCATCATTCTTGGTTAAACAAGGTTCGAACAGATTATGCCAGCAGTACGTTTTGGAAATGGTGTACATATTGACCAAGTTGCATTTTAGTTTCGATAAGATCAGAAGTCTCGGAGGAAAATTTCCAAGATTCCTTCCGGATGCCGACCAAGCTCAGTCGCTTCGCTGTTGATGCCGTGGACGCTACTAGCTTGTTGGATTTTTGACATTCCGAGTCTAAAGTCGCTGAAGAAAAGAGGGCCTTTCCACAATCGCACTCTTAGACACCCGATTTGACGTTTTAATTGATGGCATGATCAAAAATTACAGCTATAGCATAGAGAACAGGCCAGAAAAGTTATCCACATCTACCTTGACAAAATACGATGACTCTCCGACAAAACAAGACACCACATCAAGGGACATGATGACGAATCCTCTGTCACCTCAGCACCCTCTCCAACGGCGCGGATCCAGACAGCAGCAAAATGTTGTCTCCGCGAATATCGATCGACAATTTTGCCGCTGTCTGGGCGTCGGAGAGCAGGTTGCGGAGGTGTTATTCGGGACATGCGCAGGCGAAGAAGAAGAACCAGTGAACCAGATACCCGATGAAATCATACCTATACCAGCATCACATCCGCTTAGGCAGAGAGGGTTTCTGACTTTTGACGCGCCAGCGCATGGAGTGAATTTTTCGTCGAGTGGACGGCCCTTGAGAGCGGGAAGGGCTTTGTTTTTGGCGAATGAATGGGACATACTGCCAGTAAGGTACTTAGTACCGGTACTCAATACCGTAGTAACTACTCTGTTAGTGCCAGTAGGGTACTCAATACCGAGAGTAGATTCTGATGTTTGTGTTTGATTTTGCTTTCCTAATAAGATATCAATCGAAGAACTAAAGTGGAGATCTCTGTGATCCCTTTGCAAACAACTTCGTCGTCCCCTCTTATCTCTCAATACCTCCACTGAACATCGCGGCGCACAGACTCGAGCTTTTCCCTACTGGCATGCGGTTCCGCATACTGGGTGAGTCTATTCGCAAGGAAAAAGACCTCCAAGACCAAGATGATCGGCGAAAGAAAGTTGAAAATGATGAAAACTCATTTCCAGTGGGGCAGGAGATTAGCCTTGGATTTTCTCCGTTTATCCTAGTGCGGAACTGTCGATTTGAGTCTGACGACCCAGACGATAAAATGGAGACATACAAGATTTTCAAAGTCTCGTGGTACGGTCTGGGACTATGCTATTATTAAGGGTTACCACATTGCATTCTTCACTACCATCCTTGTGAATGGTTCCGGTAATTGGTAACCTGAATTTGATCATCAGGGAAAACAAGAAGAGAACCCTTAGGATCAAATTCAGGTTACCAAATACCAGAACCATACACCTTGACTTTTTTTCCAGTAGGAAAAGGGTCAGGGATGATCTGAAGAATGCAATGCCGCAACCTCTAATATTACTTTGCTTTGGACGTGGAATTCTGCTGCGCAGCGAGACGAGGGTCGAGGACGAGTTCTGCTTATGGAGGGGATTTTGCTATTTTCCTGAGCCACCTTTTCATCTTCTAGCAGCTGTCACAAGTACTAGTCGTGCACTTAGTATTAAGATGCAATACCGCAGGACTCTTGATGTGACCGTGAAGAGGCCGTTCTTTTCAATCCAAATACACGTCTGACAAGGAGGTAGTACTAGCTGGTACCTTAGACATGAAACGCATGACCTTCCATTTTAGTCTTCCCTGACCCATTTTTACCTTCCATTTTAATGATCCTTCCGGTGGAGTAAGAGGAGGCTCAGTATCTCTCGTAGAAGGTACTTCCAGGTCTGCTTTAGGCGCTACAATAGACGGCTCTGTCGCATCGTTTAGCTCGGAAGCGACCCCTAGACTGTTGCAACTCTTGCCGGACACCGACACTGCAGCAACACGAGCCAAAGAGCCTTCCTCGTCAGGGCCAGCAGTGCCACCACACAAGACACCGGAAACGTCGCGGTCTAAATGGGTTTTAGACGTCTCGAGGTGTATCAGACAACTGACGTTAAGTCTTTTTCCGCCATTCTCGATCCGATGCGATCCTCTACCGCACAGAGAGACCACGAGTCGACGTTTGATGGCTGGTTTTCTCGTCTACCTGCTTCCAAACCAGAAGGAGATGGTAACGGTCGTGTATGCAGAGTTGCATGCTCATGTGCACAAGGTGCTAGTTGACGGCGAGGAAGAGGGGATGGTAGTTATGGTGCAATTTACTACTCAGGACGCCGAGTCTTCGGAATCAGACACCTTCAGCACACACCATAAACTCCTCATTGCTCCATGATCTTGTTCTAAAATTTCAAGTCCAGACAATCGAGCTAAAACCAGCACGACTTCTACCGTGACTGGTGCTACCGCAGCGGCCTTAGCAGCTGGCGCAGTAGTCGGAGCAGCTGCTACTACTTTGGGTCGTGGTGGAGCAAGTACAACAAGTGGAGCAGAAGATCTGCAAGAGGATGACACAGGTGATGAAGGTACAAGAGCCTCATCCTCCTCTTCTCATCGTACTAGTTTAAGGTCAACATTTAGTGTCCATCTTTCTCGGCATCTCGGTACCCTTTTCCCGTGGTGTATTCTCATGAAATACGAGGTAGAAGGAGTCACGATGAGGGGGTCGAGATGCAATCTAGCAGACTCTAACTAGTGAAGCCAGACTGCCTAGAAGTTCGCCACCCAAGAGGAGAATGCAGAAGGTAGAGCACGTCTACGAAGCAGCGTTGCTGCTGTATGGGAATGACAAGTGTGAACGTGTGCTACGGGAAATCTGCATCAGAGAAGAAACGCCTTGTTTCGAAAAAGTCGGCATAAACTGCACAGCCTTCTGCGTGGATCACATGCATCAGCTTTCTGCCAGGACGATCAGCGAGAAGAAACTGTGGCTACGAGCTTTGGCCAACACCAAAGTCAAACTCCAAAACAAGGCTCCTACGCCAAGCTGGCTCGAACTCGAGGCGTATCGAGAAGCGGTGAAGGAAACTGTGCGACAAGATAATCATAATGCAGCGACGCTTGGTGGAGGAAGTAGTGCTAGTGCTGGGTCATTTCATCTACCAGCTGATGCAGCAGACGCAACTATCTATGAAGATGCAGCTGTAGCACAACAACTGCCTTCATCTTCAAACGATGACTTCATGATGCCGTTGCTACCAACAAGTAACCGGAAACCTGAGGAATTCTTTGCGTCGCGTGCGAGTTTCAGGAGTCCGTGATGAGCGGGTGGTGGGAAGGTCAGTAGATGGGATCATCTTCAATGGGAGAAGATGATGGTGGAGTAAATTTGCTGTACAGTGACAATTCGCACATACTAGTTGATTCAGCTGAATCACGTGGTCGAAGGATGATAAACAGAAACTAAGAGTGATGAAGATTGCACAGAGTCTTTCCGATACTCACTTTGCGCGACCAAATGACGTACAGGAGAAGCTAAAAGAGATGAGCTGTAACTACTACGTGAAGAAGCATCGTTTCATTTCAACACTTCTCGACAATGCACCACTCACTCGGTAAATGCTTGTTGTCCGACTGCCATTTCTCTGTCAATCAACGTCTGTGTTATAACAAGCCACTCACCCTGCAACTCGATGACTCGTCGGTTCTTCATCTTGAGCTCGGTTTTCCTCCATACTCCTTCTCTCTATCAGTCCACTCATCATGTCATCCCCCGTAGCAGACAAAAAAGTACATTGCATGTAGAAAAAGCATCGAACAAACCTCACTGTCATCGTGTGTATGACATACCCAAAGTAGAGAAAGAAGAAATAATGGAAATAATGACCCTCAAAGTATCTCTCGGCTCACTCAATTGCTTCACAAGTAAACAAAATTTCACTGAAAATAATGTCGCATTCCTCTTTTCTCGCGTCTCCCGCTAGTTCGGCGATGGAAGACCTCATTCTGGGCAGTACTCCGAAGATAAGAGATTTCTCCACCTCAGCGGCTAGCACTACAGCAGACTTCCATACTGCTCCTGTCCATCCTGCAGTCTACTCCACTACTGCTCCACCAAGAGGCATCAAGGTAAAAAGAATAGGAATATCGAAGCACTCATCTTCTCCAACGAGCTTCTTTCGCGCCGACTTCCCTGACCCAGCCTACGAGAAACATGATACGCCACCACCGACTACTCAAGGCTGTCGCAAGGTCATGCGAGCGACCAAACAACTAGAGGACGTGGCTGCTCGATTGAGAACAGCCGGACCGACAAGATTCGGACGTAGATACTGCCCTACACCATTTGGAGTATTGGATGAAGTCTTAGGGGTATTGACTGGTGGTATGGGGATGTTTTCACGAACATCTGGAAGTGATGTTGTTTCGAAACGGTGATTTATGTGAGGCGTAAAGAAGTAGTGGCTTTCTGATTCCTTTTGTACAGCGGTGCACAATCGAAATCGCAAATGAAAGATTCTAGCTCGTTTCCACAAACGACACATGAAAACTAACGAAACTACAAGCCAGCCTACATGCTTGCATAATTTGAAGAAAATACAGGAATCGAGTAGAGAAGGTTTCATTCACTTGTTGCAGAATCATTCCTGTATTTGGGACAGGGTTAAAGGAGAGGGTGGAAAGTCTTGAAGAGGGTGGAAGTACATGAAAAAGCTTGAAAACAAACCAAAAACGTGGACGCACATCAAGTAGATTATCCCTTCAAAAACTTCTACAGCTGGTCCTGGTTAGAGACTGAAGATGTGCCAATGAATAAGTTAAATTGCTTGAGAATACATGGAGACGAGAGTCGTATCTGATTAGAAAAGTAAATCAAGATCTAGTTGGACTTCTAGTGGAGCATATTAGAAAAATATGAGCTCATCATCCTGTCGTTCCCCGCTCAGTGGCGCAGCTGCCACCGCACTGATCGATGCAGCTGCTAGCTCTTCTTCGCCAAGGCGAGCTCCACCTTCAAAGCACTTGCTGCTCATCCGACACGGCGAATCCGAGTTCAATGCGGCGATGCGGTGGCCAGGGAATTGGCTCAATCCTTTTTTCTACTGGCGAGGTTGCGATCCAGGTCTAAGGGATCCGTTTCTAACCGCACGTGGGAAATCTCAAGCGCGCAAGGGCAGGAGAAGATTAGCGGAGGAAATCGAGAAAATGATGGTGAGGCAAAACGAAAAGAACGGCAAGAGTGATCATCATCATGTTATGGGTGTACGGAATTCATCTCCACAGTCATGTGGAAGAGAAAGACAAGAGGAAAAAGGGACCCAGATGATCCCTGAGATGAATTCCCGACGCCTCTAATCATGGTAGCTCAAGCGCAGCAAGCAGTAGCGACAAGAACATCGTTTTCTTCACCTCTCCCATGCAAAGAGCGATGCAGACAGGGCTCTTGATGCTAGGAAATGAACTGGAAACATCTACTAGTGCTGACAGTACATCTTCAGGCAATAGATGGTTTGACACTGGTCCGAGGACATCTTCGTCATCAAGTAGTAGAGGACCCAATACAACTGCGAGTAACTGTAACAAAATCGCACCAGGAGGACCGAGACTGTCAACCACAGGTACCACTGGTGGATCTGGTGCTATGCCTGGTGATGTTGTGGTTGAAGACTTAGACCGAAATTCATCTCCAGAAAGGGCTCGAGCAGGTGGAGCAACTCCTAGTTTTGGTCGTGTCAACTACACTTCTGAAGCTGGAAGTAGTCCTAATATTAAGGCTCAACTTTCAATGGTCATTGGGGTTGGTCACTGGGATCGCAGAGAGGCTCTCCTTAGAAAACAGGGGAAAACACAGGGAGAACAAGTAGAGGGGTCAAGGGCCTTTGTCTTTCAGCATCAGTGACCAATGAATGCTGAGCTTTAACAATAGAAGTAAAAATAAACAAGTGCCGTTACTTGGCGATGCTAAGGAAAGTAAGTCGCTTGAGGAGGTGATGAGAAAACACGAAGATCAACATGACGAAGATGTTCTTCTTATTGAGGGTGGACAGCACCAAGAAGATCTTCAAGACGAAGATGTAGCAGGAGTTCGACGAGGTAGAAGAGGTGCCGCAGGAGGAGCCTCTTCCAGTAGTAGAGAAACATCGCCTTCAAACTCACCTACCAAGAGGAGGAGAAGTAGACGTAGTAGCTGGCTAGGGATGGCGTTTGATAGTATCGGGTTGTCGACACCAAGGTCGAAGAGGAACAGTCGGAGTAGTAAGATACATCCACAACCATTACTGTCCCAAGCAGCAGGAGCAGAGCAGGACGCTTCGCAGTTGAACGCACAGTCTCCTGATGTGGAAGTCTCTTCACCACCTCATAGTCCTGAGCTGCTTGAGGAAAATGGCAAACCTAGGCGATCCATCACATCAACTGCGGAAGTTAGAACGAACAAGATGTACGCTTTGCCAGCGATGAGGGAAAGGTACTGACTCCACTGGTGGTCAAAAGGAGGTTTATTTGGGTGGAAGTGGAACTTCTTGTTAGGTTTTCGTTTTCTTAGTTTTATTGAAGATTCACTTGCATCTGCTACTTCGCAACAATCTCCATAGTAGTGGACGTACCTTATCTCCCTAGACGTCGTACCTTATCTCCCTAGTGACGTACTTACCTTTTATCCACTATATTTCAGGTGCAAGCACCTTGGTGATCTCGGCACACCGGTAGAAGACCTCGAAAAACAGTATGACAAAGTTGTGGACTTCAGCCTCATACCTCGTAATTTGCGGGATCGCTGGTGGCTACCGAAGCAGATTTTGGACCAGGGACGTGCTTTCGTTCACAAGAATAAAGAAGGCAGTGGACAAATACAGAAGACGAGGAACAACGGTCAAAATCGATCTTCTTCAAGCAACAGGAATACTAGCAAAGTAGAGCCAGCTGCAGAACAAACAGGGGCGGAGGAGGAGCAAGAAGATCGCAGTTTCTCCAGCTCAACGGGGGAAGAGGACTTCGAACCCGAAGATTTCGAGCCAGCGCTTGTGTGCGGGGTAAACGAAACGGAAAGGGAACTTATGAAACGTGATCATGATAAGGAATCCTTCAAGGTTCTTCAGCAATTTCATCTCCTCCAGTGCATAAGTACTGGCACTCATGAAGGTTCTTCAGTCCATTGCATAAGTACTGGCACTCATCAAGCTGAACTCTACTAAGTGCTTATCTTCAATCAGAAAAATATCGAATTTCTTGAGCTCTACTATCTTCTGAACTCTACTAAGTACTTATCTTCAATAAGTAAGAAAAATATCGAATTTCTTGAGCTCTACTATCTTCTACGCGCTTGTGTGCGGAGTAAACGAAACGTGATCATGATATTAAGGAATCCTACTATCTTCAATAAGAAAAATATCGAATTTCTTCACCTACGACGCCTTCCCCGTTCATATCCCTCGTTGCCCGTGTCGCAGAAACCAAAGCTGTGCTACTGGCCCGACAGGAGTCGCAGCTGGTGCTTTTCGGCCATAGCATTTGGTTCAAAACGTTATTGGGTCCGAGCTATCGGAAGATGAAGAACGGAGAACTCGTTTCGTGCATCCTGCATGCGGATGGAACGGTGAGTGATGTGGCGTTTCTTTAACGAGCTATCGGAAGATGAAGATTAAGCGAACAAGTAGCTGCAGGACGTCGAGGTCTGTAGATACAACCTTCTACGCATAGACGAGGATTCAAACGAGGAGAGCGACAGTTTTCTTGTGGATAGCTTTTCTCTTCTACTTAAGTGAAAATCAAAATGTACCAACAAAAACCTTATAGACAATTGGATCGTAATTTCTCCCTGGGGAGAAGGTCATGCTCACACTTCATGTGGAAAATCACACACGACACATAACTCTGAGAGTATAGAAGTGCTGGTCGGCTTTCTGTTTGATGTATAGAAATCTCTCTTGGACGGGAACAGCATGAATGTACTTACCTTCCTCGGCTGTCATCGACGTCATTCCCTGTTTGCAGGTCATGACAGTTTGGCAGCATCCGCACAAGAAACTGGAACTGCCGTAAAAACACGCTTGGTGAATTGACATCGAATGAAATGTTGAAGAGCGACGTCGCTTGATACACTATAGTTGTTGCAACCCGTTGTCACGCCTGCTTACGGGGCGGGTCCTTACGACCCATGTTCAGAGGCGTCAGAAGATGATCAGACTTTTGAGAGAGTTGAATAAATTCCTCAATTCTTGCGTGCTTAGGCTTCTTGGACTGCAATGAAATCTTCTGCGCACTACAATTTCCTGCTTGAGTTATCATACAACTGATCACGCCACAGAAGAAGAAAATCCCACTGACTTGTTGAAAATACTTTGAAGAGAGGAGATGCACAAAAGAAAGAGCAGTACTTCTAGAAGAAGCACATTAGCATTTTTTTTCTCACTAGTACTTCTAGTAGTACGTTCTTAAAGGATTTGATGAGTCAAAGAGGTAAAGCTCCCAACTTCATGAACAACAAAGAGGCAGGAGGAACTTTCCCAATAATCTAGATCCACTTGTTGTGTATAGTAAGCTACTTCATCTTTTAGTGACTAATTTGAATTTGTGTAGAGTGTCATTGATCCCTGAAGATTGGCCCCTTCATCTTCTTCTTCGCAGACGCTAAATTGTGATTCTAAAAACTACTTTTTAGCTCAAAATAGAATATGGCATCCACCGACAAGGATGATGCGGCACCAGCCGCAGACGTCGAGGAATACCCCAACTTCGAGCTAGCACAATGGAAAGCCAAGTACCTGCGGGATCGAGATCCACAAGCCTTGGAGAAAATAATAGCGCAGGTGAAGAAGGATAGAATGGTCTCTTTTTATGTGGAATTCTGTGCAGAGGCGAACGTCACGAGAGACGAAAAACTCGTAAAAGAGATGGAGAAGGAGAAGGACGAGAAGGTACACAGCTTAGTTTTTGAAACACACCTGATGTTGCAGCTTTCCCGTCATTTGTTCATGGAGGTAGTTCTATGCATCTACAGATAGCTCTAGCACCGTTCGCCTCACCAGGCATTGACATCTTCATGTTGCTAATACTTAATTCAAATTGTTCTCTCAACATCACCTCTTCTTCAAAAACAGTTAACCACCTTCGCCGCAACGCTGAAAGACGCAGAGGAAAACCTTGGAGACGTTGAGGTGAAAAACGCTCTGCTTGCCAAGGCAGAATTTTTGAACAAGATCGGGGATATGACAGCAGCATTAGAGGCATACTCAAAGGCGTTTGAAAAAACAGTGGGCATCGGAGGCCGCATGGACAATATCCTCAGTTCATTGCGAATAGCGCTATTTTTCTCAGACGTAGACAAAATCAAAGAATATTTGGCGAAGGGGAAGGAGGAGCTGAAGAAAGGTAATTTGATTTGTCTCTTGTTTCTTGAATATTACCTAGGTAGGACTTGTTTGTTGAATACCTCGATATTATCGAGTCGATAATGAAGAAGAAGATAATCCTCAACGAACTCACAACCTACTCTTACGAACCAGGTCCAACCTCCTCACCTCCACAACTCCAATTTTCTCCCTACTTCACGTCACCTTTTTTCCCCTTCAGGTGGCGACTGGGAGAGGAAAAACAAGCTCAAAGTCTATGAGGGCGTTTTCAAGATCATGTCCAGGGATTTTGAAGCAGCAGCCAAACTTTTCTTAGAGGGCGTAGCGACGTTCACTGCTGTCGAGCTCGTCTCGTTTAAGGACTTCGTAATATTATATTTTTTATGTTGATTGATTTTGCTGTTACTGATTTTTAGGAGAGATTTGATGATCAAGATAAGAAACATTTCTTTGTACTCGTTCTTTCAAGCTTAGGGAAGTCCCTCTACCTTTCTTCGAATTGATCCCACCCCTTCCACCAGGTCTTCTACGCAGTCCTTTCCTCCATGGTCGGACTCCAACGTGCCGATTTGAAAAAGAAGGTTATTGAGAGTCCCGAGATCCTCTCCGTCGTGCACGAGAGAGCACATGTGAGGGAGTTTCTTTTTGCGTATTACGAATGCGATTACCACAAGTGGACTAGGGAGTTCGTCCACGTTATCGACCACTTGAAGGAGGATCGATACTTCCAGCCACACCTGATGCAGATTTGCAGACAACTGAGGTAATTATTTATGATCGAACAAGAACTTCATCTAGCGTAGTAGGAGGATACTCGACGATAGTTCCCCTTTTCTCTTTTCTATCTTCCTCTGGTCTTTCTTTTTTCTAGTTAGGTCGGCTCCACCAAAATTAAGGGGTTCCTTGTGTTTCTGCTTCCGGCCGCGAGATCGTACGCGCTGCCCGGAGCGCATCAATACACGCAAACGAATCGCGTCTCCGCCGGTAATCTCTATGCTCTTGTCAAGAATCTCAATTTCTTCTACGGCAAGTTCATTCTCCTCCATCTCCGCCATCAACCTCAACAGGCTTAACGCATTCCGCCAGTTTATCACGTCTTACAAGTCCGTAACGATCAAGCTGATGGCAGACACTTTTGGCGTGACCCCTGACTTCGTGGACCGCGAAATCTATGGCTTTATTAGTCAAGGCAGGCTAAACTGCAAAATCGACAAGGTAGCGAACGTCATCGAGACCGTAGATGATGCGAAAAACGAAAAAACACTGATGTACAAGGACATCTTGAATCAAGGAGACGACTTGTTGAACAAGATGCAGAAATTGAGTGCCGCGATTGACAGGTGATGAAGAAAAAACTTGTCGATTTACATTTATTACCCCTTTCGACTTTGTTTTTTCACCGTCATTTGTACCCCACCTCAACATCTAGACGTCATTTAGACCCGGGTCGCCATCTCACGAACCGCAGATTACCTTCAACATGTGTGTGTAATATTGCGGGTTCTCCGGACAACACGGCATGGCCGTAGAGCCGCGGACCTTGAACCTTGAACCTTCTCCAATTCCATCTCGTCCTACTCTGATGGAATTCACTCAAAATAGCAGACTCTCAGTTCACTCTACCCGAAGCACATTATGATTTTTTTATATCTCAACTTTTATTTTCCAATCGGAGGTTCTACCAATTTCGCTTTTCGTCAGAAAAGGCTTCGTGTTCGTGACAAAATAGACAGGATGATCCTGCGTTTCATCGGATTCTGCGCTTCATCGGATCTATAACGATGGTTGAATCAGATAGAGAAGAGGACGGGCGCTCTCTCCAGGTGGATCGTATTCATAAGGAGAATCATATTCACGGCTCATATAAGTAATTCGAACCTTCCTGTGATGTCCACAAGCCAAGAATTGTCGTGCTGATCAGTGATGTTCCTGGCTCTGTTCTTCGCTCTTGCAGCAATGCTCATCTTTTATATCCTTCAATCTACAACTTTGACATTGATTATGACCTCCACCTCCTCTTCAGTCCAGAACAAGCATATTATCGTTAACGGAACAAGTGAAAACTAAGGATTGCTGCTGTTTATCATCTGTAAACCTAACGACTACGACACCCATCAATTCTTTACAAATAAATACAAAGAAAAAATGAAGTTCATTGCTGGTCAAACGTACTTGGGGCCAAGACCCGGCATGGTCTTTAAGCTCGGAGCTAGCGGACAAGGGTACTACGAAGACTTGGGTCCAGAAGCGCATGTGCAGGCATTCTTCGCAGAAAAAGAGGACACGGTGAAGTACAATAAGTATCCAAGCGATGGGACATACTACTCAAAAATAACCGCAATGATGGCAGAGAAGGCGAGGGAAGAAGGTAATTTACTAGTTTATGATGTTGGTTTATGAAGATGTTCACGTTGTTCTTAACATGATGGTCAGAAAGTACTACTACTTCTCTACGGATGAAGATGATAAGATATTGTTTCTACTAAAACCAAGATGATGCATAGACCAAGGTAGATCATTCACCAGAATCTACAATATCAACAGCCGTCGAGCGCGCAAAGGAGCAGGAAAAAGCAAACGGTCAACAAGCAGCTGCAGCTAATGGTAGCGCACCAACAGACGCAGCGGCGAATGGCTCACCCGCAAAGGAGAAGGCGAATGGACAAGCAAACGGCACAGCGATGGAAGTGGAGGGTGCTTAATTTAGGGCAAGAAGTGATCCTCATCCTCGTCTTCTGCAGGATACTATGCCCATGTATGCGTTGAATTGATGGCTCACTCTCCCAGGAGGAGCTCCCATGACAAAGCAAATGACATTTTTGGTTTCATCCCCTCACATATTTGCTGAAGATTAATACTGGAACCCATTTTCTCCAGCTAGTCATGATAGCCTCCCGGCTCGAAATGATGACAAAGTGCACTTGCGATATTACTTGCGCGACAAGGTACAAAATGAACGACATAAAGAAAATAGACGTGGTCACAGAAGTGACGCTCCTCCTGAGACAATAATGAACATCACGTGGACAAAAATGTCGTACAGCACGTCGGTACTGAGTGGCTCCGGAATAGATGAAATGAGAGAAGATGAAATTCAAGTCCGACCACTGCACATCTTTCAACCGTGCCTCTAATTCCAAAAAAGCTGTTAGTTCTTGCCTTACAACCGTACTAAAAGAAGTAAATGAAGGAGATGAGGATAACTGAGTAAAAAATTGGAGATAAATGACATGAAGACCATGACTTCGTTCTTCATCAGCACGACTTAGTGGTCCTATTAAAAATACATATAATATATTCAATCACAAAAATGGGCAACGCGTCCTACAGCGCTGGTGCAAGCAGCATCGATGAGGTGTGTGCTTTCGCGGAGTCTCTAGGGGTTCTCTGCTCTAGGCAAGTCGGTCTCGGAGAAGAAGCGGTTTGGGTGCCCATCGTCTGCTCAACCGAAATATCTTTGCTGGACCTGTTTGAATGCCTCAGAGACCAAGATTTGGAACGTTTGCGGACACATGGCAATAATCTAGAGCATTTCTGTCGACATCTGGTGACTGCCTTGGGGGCTTTGGTGGATGGAGTTGATACCACGACTTCGACTTCGACAAATAAGACAAATAAAAGTTCTTCAATTAAAAATATATACAAGGAGTTTCAAGCAGGATGGCGCTTGAAAAGGAGGGGAGGTGCGACAGCAGGGTCGCCAGGACCTTCGAACAAAGCTGTTGTAGTAGGAGCTGCAAGTCGCGGCGCGCCGAAGCCAGAGGAGCTGAAAAGGGATGTACTAGATGCCCATCTCACCTCCGCTCAATCCCTTGTTGCTGCTAGAATCCTCACTCGGGTTTTACCATTCGTGTTACAAAAAGCAACTGAACAAGACAATGGTCCGCCCTGTGAACAGACATTGCTGTGGGGAGCAGCGGCTATTGTGTCCCCCACTCCCTCTCCAGAAGCAGGAGGAACATCAGCAGAAGAAATATTGCCTACATCTACTTCACCTTCAAGACGCCGTTCGAACCCTGGTTTGCAGATTGTGACTGCGTTGTCGTCATCGTCGGTAGATGGAGGAGGAGAGAGTTGTAGATTGGGATCGACGAAGGAAGATGCGGGCGGGACAACATCCGCGGCTGATACGGCACTGGAAAACGCTGGTAACCCAAATTATCCTGCTGGTGTTCATCTTGCAGGAACTCCTAGCAAAATGAATCGAGCTGCTGTTTCTGCTCTTGGCTGGGAGCTGCTGCAAATTTTGTCCCGATTGCTATTTCTAGAGGACTTCACAGTCCGAGCGCCGGATGGTAGTCAGCCTCTGCGGAGAAACCCGAAATTGACTCCCAGTGAACGCGAAAGACTACGTACTTCTGGATCGAGTTCGTTGGCGGGCACACCAAGAGCGGCGCGGACAAACGAGGAAGCAGGAAACACAGGCAAGGTGGACGATGACAATTCCATTCTTAAGGGTACAAGAAATCTCCCATTTTTTTCAGAGGTACAAGAAATCTCCCATTTATTTCAGAGGCATCTTGGTCCCGTTTTCATTTCTAACATTCTCGTGCCTCAATTCGAGCAAGTCGATCCGCGCTTACTCTGGCGCGCAGGCGTTGGGGTGACATCAGCGTATCCAATTCCACAACCACCTCTAGCCTTTCTTGCTAGACGGTGCGAACTCTTGAATCTGCTGGTTTCGTGCTTGTCCAGTCCTTACGGCTTCCCGAGTAATCCATCTCGCTTCCAGAACCGCATCTGTGCTGGTCGTGGACCACTGTTGTTCCATTTTAATAGAGGAACAAATAGAGTATGTTCCACCCTGTTAGAGGTGGAACAAATAAACAACTCCTTCAACAAGATGCATCTCAAGATGGATTCGGGTGAGCTCTTCTTCTAAAGACGGCTATTCCGGTCTCCTGGTGAACTACATCATAGGAACAAGGTGGATGCGATGTTGCCAGCATTTGTGTCTGGGGTGCTGCCGTACAGTGCGAACCTCTTCTTTAGCTGCTTATCGACAGTGTTCGGGTGGAGAAGGGATTACAGTATTTTTGCTTACTACCTTTTCTTGGAGGACATGCTCTGGCAACAAGAAGATTCCTGTTTTGAATTCGTTAAGAATAAGTAGGAGCTTTTTGAAGAGTGTAGTTGCCGGGGGGGCTCGTTGTGCAGGATCCATTTAACCTAACCTACCTTAGTCTGTTTTCCTAGTTCCATCCGTCAGCATTATGAGACCCAATCAAGAACTCAGCCCCCGATTCTCGTGTCGTCACCAGCAGCGGCCCTGAGGAGAATATGCTGGTTGAATTGTGTGCCCAGCTATTAGTCGTGGCTTTAGACCAAACAGACGATGCAGATAAGGATGACGAAGCAAATCATATGAGCCCATATCAACCGCACTATTCCTCGTCCGACGAAGAAGAGGAGGAGGATAGTGGTTCGATCTCCAGTTCGGATGAGGACCAGATTAAGACATCATCTTCTGGAAATCCATCTTCAGAAGCATCTGGAGCCTCCGCGTAAGAGGAATGGTCCATTTTTGTGAACACTAGGACCCATTATCTTCTTATTTCAATCATTTGCGGAACAACAGGTAAGAACTGGATCAGTCCAGGATGTAGTTGAGATTGAGTTTCAAGATGGATTTCGGGAAGGTCTAACCAGAGCAGTGGCACGGTAAGCAGAGAAATCGCCTACGCGAACGGTGGTGAACAGACTACTATAATATCCTCTTCGACGTCAGCAACAAATTCGAAGAGGACCGTTGGGGAGGCCTCTGCTGGCGACGTCGAGTCCGCGTCGACTGCGACGACAGGAGCCGCTGGAGCAGCTACGTCTTCAAGCAGTCGGAAGAAGAGCAAACAATCGAGGAAATCGAATGTCGTGCCTCAGCCAAACCTGTTCCGTCAGTTGCTCCGTTCGATATCCAAGACAGGCGATTTGGACTTCATCATCGATGGCTACCTTCGTTTGTTCGAGCATTCACGGCGTGGGCATTTGCGGCCAGCGCGTGCCGGGTGCGGGTCACTGCTCTTCGCGCTCAGCAGTTGCAGCACTGTGTCCTCGAGTCCTACGACGAGTACTGCTGGTGAAGCAGTATCTTCTTCAAGCAGCATGCTAGGAAATATGCTCTCGTCTTCGTCCTCTTCGACTTCAGCCTTCGCGTCTCTAGAACGCTGTGATGCCTTGTTGCTCCTCCTCTTGTGGCAAATGCTGAGTGCAAACGAACATTTGATGCCCCGAATCGCCGCACGCGGGAAGAGCAACGCCTTCATCTTCTTCCTGTTGCAGGTCGCGGCAGCTGCGAATGCTAGGAAAGTCGATAGCTTTGCTGATTTGCATCTCTGCAGTTTTTTGTTACTCAGGTTTTCGGGTAATCGAGCTGTTGCAGTCGCGCTGAACCAGCAGTGCGGCACCCTCGCAGAGCAGTATGAAGACCCAACCTCAGCCGGATCTGGGGGGGTTGCAAGTATCTTCTCGAGACTGTTGACAGCATCAGACTCGACATCATCCTCGCAAAGTGGTGGCGCTGGGGACGATAACGGTGCACCGTTAAGGCTACCGTCGGAGCATCCTCAGCATCATCGCCCCTGGCTCTTTTTCTACTCGAAAAAGAAGCACTCAAGCACTACGCTCTCAAGGAAGATGCGAACGCGAACGCTCTAACAGCGCCAGCTACTATTGCAATCGTTTTACGCTCTACGTTCGGAGACAGCCTAGCCGCGAGAAAAAACTTGAGCTGTGGAGATGTTTTGATTATGTTGATCTATCGTATGGTGTCGGACGCAGTTTCCTCTCGCGATGACGCTTTGGTAGACCTGTTGCTCACGGCGCTGTGCAACGTTTCGCCGTATTTGAAAATTATGAAATGTGACCGCATCTTAAGCTCAGACCGCCGTTCAGTCCTCATCATTTCCTACCGACACTACATGCATTTACCCATCCCCATCAGCATGATGGCTACTTCACAGAGCTACGGTAACCTCCTTACCACAACCCACTGTACACACTTCATTCCTCTATCAGCATGATGGCTACTTCACAGAGCTACGGTAACCTCCTCACCACGACAACCCACTGTTGTACACACTTCATTCCCCGAATAGCTGCATGATGGCTACATACTTCACAAAGCTGCCTTAACCTCCTTACCGCAACCCATTGTACATCACACTTCATTCGTCTAATTCCAACATCGCCAAAGAGCCCTGTCTCCGCGTTTTTCAGCTTTTCGAACGGCTGACTAAACCAGCTTATTTACTGCGTAATGTGGAGGCGTACCAGAACATGTTCTTCCTTCTGGAGTTCTTCAACAACGTCATTCAGTACCAAGCAGAGGGAAATCAGGCACTGATTTACTCTCTAGTAAGAGGGAAAGAGTTATGAAAAGAGAATTAGTAACATGTTGGTCGTGAGGATTTGGATTACAGTTGCAATTTTGTAGTACTACTATTTTACAGGAGTCATCTTCTATTCGTTGTATGATGCTACTTATTCCAAACTACAGTTTTTTACTGTTCCATCACTATAATTTTGTTGATTTTAGTATCTAAATAATTTGAGATTTGTCCATAATTAATGATCATCCAATTTCCATCCATTTCAATAAAAATGCAATCTCTTCACTTGGATTTAAATTGATTTAATTTGGAATATAATCAGAAATAGTATGTAAATTTGAGACTCGTTTATAAATAATCCAAATTTCATTCGTTCCGATCAAGGTGAAACGTCTCCCCTTGAATTTAAATTGAATTAATTTGGAATAGAATCAGAAATTCTTGTTTTCAAACGAAAATTTAAGAATTTCGATTTGATGAGAAGAAATTTACAGCATATTAGTTTTTCAAAAGAAACGTAAAAGTTGTATTTTTAGAGTCAGCAATTACATCAACTCCTTGGTCTTCATTCCTCACCTTCGACCGGTTGATGAATCTAGACCTCTTTCCTGAGGAACCGAGTGTGATCGGGCGAAATAGGAAGCTAGACGAGGAAAGTACGCCAACGCCATCGAAGACGAGCATTATGCTGATTTCAGAGTTAGTTCATCTAGTAGAACATGAGTCAGTGCTGCGGTTGTCGTTGTTATTTACAGTGTTGTACCTTTTGCGACTGAAAAAGCATCTACATCAGGAGTCGACGCACCAAGTGCTCTTGTCCGCTCTTCGCGGGACCCAGGCTTGCCGTTGTCTTCAAGAGTCTAGAGCAGTTTTTCCAGCATTGAGATCGATTGAATTTGAACGGCTCCAACTTTATTTCACCGTGCGCGTTTCCCCTTCCTCGTCCTCTCCTTCTAACTCCCACGATAACACTGAGCGTAAGCGTGAATGGTTCTGGGAGTGGAAGGCTAGGATGCCCCTAGGCGCCATCCAAAGACTGATTGACGCGCTAGCGGGAGAGATCGAAGCCGCTTGTCGAGAGACTGAAGATTATGGTGTACTAATGCAAAGAGACTAAACATAAATGTGCAGGATCCAGAACCTAAACGAGCCTGCCACCTGTGTTTCTGAGGAGATTTACAAATTATAGAACTACTATAGTTTTCGTCACTTATAATAAGACGGCCGAGAATAGAACTAGTATCACGGAGGTGGACACAAGGACACAAGAAAGATGCAGTTGACGTTTTTATAGTGAGTAAGTGAGCATAATCTCCATACGCAAGAAGCAAAGCCGTAACCTAACCTAACCAACATCCAAGAAGTTTCATCTCTCACTATGTTGTCATTTTCTATCTTCTTATACTCTTCTAATATCTCGCTGACGCCGTCGTCGCCTTTCTTAAGTCCAGTACAGTCGTAGGCTTGCTTCCGGTCCCACACGCGATTGTGACGAGGACCTATGTGGCGAATCTTAAGGCGGACAGGTTTTTGGTGTAGTTTCTCTTTCTCTTACCGCAGCTACAGTTTTACTCTTGATGTCGAGGGAACAGTAAAGCCGCATGGGCATCAAAACTAATGGAGGAAACTAGAATTTCTACACACGACATACTTGTCGTCATCCTGTGGAGTAGGGGTGTTGCGGCATCGACGTATTTTACAAAAAATTAGAACTTCTAGTACTTTTTTTTATGTCATAGTATCAGCAAAATCCTACCTGCGTCTCTAAGAATTTCTACACACGAATCTGGTTTTCGCATTTCTTATGGGGCGTTTTATTCTCCAGAAGGCCAGACTTCTATCCTTCGTGGGAGAAGATAAGATTGCTACCGTTGAGGAAGTAAGTGTTGCATGAAGAGAGCCCTGTTGTCGAACAGAAACACCTACACGACCTGCTTTTGAAAAACGCGACGACCTGTTGCAGAAAATAAGTTTCCCTAGTAAAGAGAATACAAGCTAAACGGTGTGATAGTGATTTTGATTGCCAGGTGTACCTGTACGAAAATCGATGTAGACGAAGTGCATGGTCAACAAAAACTACATGCTTACGCGTAGCTGACACACTTTTGTTCAGCAGATACTTCATTCTGTGGGAACAGGTTGAAGAGAGTCATTAGTCGTCGTAAGTAGTGAGCACCCGTGAAAAGAATGATTCTGTACAGAAGAGTGGCGAAAACTACTCATCCTCTGCTTCTGTCCTGCGCGTTGGCGGTTTTGAGGTATAATTTAATTGATATTTCTGAAGATCAGGTCGTAGTAGAGAAAGGATCTAACATCATGTCGCTCCTTAAGATCAAGTCGTCTTAATCTTCTGTGGAGTTAGTGACATTCTCCTGTTCTTTCTGATCATGTCGTCCTGGGAGTAGAGAAAGAGATCATTTTCTGTGGAGTTGGTGACATTCTGGTCATGTCCACCCGTCGCGGTCGTGAGAGAAAGAGATCATCTTCTGTGGAGTGACTGACATTCTGTTGCTTATCGTGTCGTGAGGACGAGTAGAGAAAGAGATCATCTGTGGAGTGACTGCCAGTGCCATTCTGTTGCTGATCGTGTCGTGAGTACGAGTAGAGAAAGTGATCATCTGTGGAGTGACTGCCATTCTGTTGCTTATCGTGTCGTGAGGACGAGTAGAGAAAGTGATCTTCGACTTCGATATTATAGAGTGCGTAGCGTTTCACTTTCTAATTCAACATATTCATACAACTCCTTCAACACTGGCTCCATCTCCATGGTACCAACAGTATTTGCATCAGATCTTTTCATAGAATACCCATTTTCTCACTTTTCCTAGAAAAGTCTGTTCATCATAGAAAAGTTTTTCATAGAATACACAACAAGAATTTTTAAGGAAACATCAAAGACTGCTCCAATCCGAATCGACTAACATCATCATCAAGGATACAACGACCACTAGTCCTTCTTCTAGTCCTTGCATCAACATCAAAAAAGGTACTAAGCCTTCTGACTTTTCATCGTTGCAAAACCACCTGAACAAAAGAAGACCACATACCAAAAAGATGTCCGTCAAGCAGATTGTCCTCGGCGCCGCTGCCATCAGCAGCACTTCCGCTCTGCAGTTCACATCCAACAGTAATGCTAATCTTCGTGACAAGTGCAGCAGTGTTCTCGATGATTTTTTGGAGGAGGCGGAGCGCAAAAAGGTGGGCATGAAAGACGAGGAAACGTACGTCACCGACGGAGAACAAATTCAGCGGTTCTACGCGGTCATGCGAGCCTCTCAACAATGCGCAGAGGGTTAAGGCTCATCACTGTAAATTCGAAATCATTTTATGTAGATTTTTTCAAAGAAGAAATGTATGAGTTGTTTTACTCGCTTATTTCAAATAGATTTCATTTTCAAAGATTAAGAAATGAATTGAAATTCAAACTGTTTTTGTGCTCGTCCTACTCCTGGTCTAAATTACGAAGGTGCCCAAGTCGAATGGCAAGGAGGTTAAGCCCGCTTACTTGAAGGCGGAAGCTGTCAAAGATCAAGGCGCGCTGAATGAAATCATGAAACTGGCCAAAGAGAAAAAGACGTTCAGCATTACGGGAGACAACTCATCATAGTACGTAAAAATAAGTAATTCCTCTCGAGTCGAGACAGGTTGTGGAGCCTTCTAGTCTCACTCATCATAGGTATAGTCATAATTCATCTCCGCAGAAGTATCTGGTAGCACGAGGACTAGCGCCATTTCATTTTCAACAACTACATTCTACTGATAAAATTTCAGCCACAAGAATACTCTCAGTCTCCTTCTTAGGACTCTGAGAGGACCATGTGCCTGAATCTGACTGAATCTGAAATAAGAAAGGTACTAGCTCAAAAAGGGCATCCTTCCTGCAGCGCCTCGATTAAATTCGAAGCGTGAGTACCTACTTGCTTATTTCAGCTTATCCATTACTAGAATATGTTTTATT